TCCCTCCATAATTCTGGCAGGGGAAGCATTTCCACATCCTGCTGAATTGATCGATTAAATTGGGACTGACTATCAGCGAGCTCCTCGTCAACGACGACCACTTTTTTTCTTCTCGCGAAGTTTCTCTCACGATCTGCCCGGCTGAAAGCTTTCGGAGCACAAGGTTCGTACAACCCTTGTTTATGGCCCTTCGGGACCCAAGCCGAATTCTGAACACGGTCCTTGCGCCTATCTTCTCGAAAAATCTACGGATAGACATCTGGGAAGAACTGTAGAAAACGGAGTAGAACACTCACGTAAGAGAAGAGGAGATCTGAGCGATTCCTTCGGGGCTGTAAACGAGATTCGTTCAGCGAGCAATGAGTCACTTGTTTGATGGGTCTTCACTCGATTCATCCGAAATCGATCCAGAAACTGAATCCAATAAATCCGTTGTGCCCGCCTCTCTCAGATATCAGTGTTTGCTTTGCGTACAGGAGCCTCGGAAATAATTATCACATCCACCCATGTAGATATCGAGAGCTTGGCGCGTTGAGCTCAACCTAGAGGAATGAGCGGGCTCGAGAGCATGATTGAGTACCCTCTAATCGGCCAGCCCAATCGGGTGAAGTCCGGAGGAAGGACTGGTGACCTTGCTAATGCCCCTTTCGGATCGCTGTGGTTTCCGTGACGCTCCCCTGAACCTTCAGCCTTGCATTCGCACCATGCCATCCCAGCCCGATGGAGCGTCGGCGTCGTCAGATTCCTCGCAACCTCGGGCCAGGTGCTACAAGTGTAGCAAAAGCGGTGCGTCTACATGCATACTATTTATTGTCAGAGGATGAATCGGATCGAGACAGCTCACTTTGAGCTGGACTTCGTCCGCGGTGGGAGAATGATAAAATCCTCGCCAATAAAATATCCTGTGATTTAAGAGACCCAGCGAAGGCGTAGTATCGCCTCTGGGCGGCATCACCGGCAAGGAGCTTGAAAAGCTTGTCGACGTCGCTGCTCAGAAGTAACGCTCGCGAGCACCACGCAGCTCCGGAGATGCTCGCGTGTTCGGTTCCGATGTGCAGCCCCCCACTCTGAAGTTCGGTGAAGAAAAATGAGCTAACGGACGAAGCCACCAACCAAAGGACGAGCAGATGGATGAATAGATAAATGAACTTCCATCCACCATCGTGTCTAAGCGAGGATCTTCACTGGAACGAGGTTTCATTTGTTCGTCTGTCCGTCCGACTGCTCCACCGACTCCCTATCCGTTCGTCGGTAGGTCGGTCGGTCGCTCAGTCTGTCCGTCCCTCTGTCTGTCCAGCGGTCCGTGTGTTTGTGTTGTTAGCGGTCATTGTGGGCTTGCCGAGGTGTGGAGACGATGTCGGCGGCAACGCAGATGAAAAACTTCACGCATAGCTAACAATACACCAGTCGGCGGCAAGGATCACCGACACGACTACTGTTCTACCTCGACGATGAACGCGTCAGCTTTTGCGAAGAGTAAAGCAAGCAGAGAGCTCGCGACATGAGAGCCTCGCAGTATGCAGAGAGAAAAGCATCGCGGGAATAAACGAGCCGCTGGCAATGCAAGAGTCGACGACATCGGTAGCTGTCGACCTTAGTTCGAAGATGTGTTGCCAGGGTCGTCCCTGATTTGAGTTTTCGTCGGTTCTGGAGTCCGACTTCCATTAACACGCTTCGACGACGGTGTCGGCATCGCTTGCGCGTTCTCGATTGACTGAGTCAGTGGATCCTCCGCTTCGACGCGGATAAAATTCTGATAATCTCAAGTCTGCGGTCGACCCTCTGGTTATTGTGCTCTTCCGTCCGGACATGAAGCTGTGCTTGCCCTTCGAGTTTTTTACGCCTCCCTTTTCATCTCGTTGTACGTAGGTCTCTCGACCATACAAAGCGGTGTCACGAGAAAGGCACTGGACTTCACTCGGAATCCAAATTCAGTGAGCCGTTCATTGTTCTAATATTCGATACGTCAAATCTTGAGCGACTCCCTCAATTGTGTGATCTAGAACTTGGACGCCCGCTCGGTAGATCGCTCCCGGGAGCGAGGTCTCCCCAAATCTTCACGTTGTTGTTGTTCAGCCTCGCTGTTGTTCATGATGTCGTAGCGTTCCGCGACGGCATCAACGCAAGCGGAGCACTACAAACATGCAAGTCGGACAGACATGCGGACAGACAGACCGACCACGAGCGAGCAGTGAGGAAGGCGCAGTATTGGCGCCAGTCACTGCGGAGGCGCTTACGAGTGAAATATGCTACGTTTTTGCTCAAACGAGGATTCAGAATCTCAGAAACGCTCTCTCGCTTTGCTATTCTGATTCTAATGGTGTTTTGTGTTATTAGATTAATTATATTTCCACATGGGTAGCCATCAGGCGTCGCAGCGCCACCAGCGACGGGAGCGAACCAGAATCAGGGCTTCTGCGCTGCGTGAAACATAAAGTCTTCGGTTCTCAACTCGCGGGAGCTCGGCAGCTCGCTCGCGAGCCTCCACCATGGACGGGGGAGTCTGATAATTTTCGTGAATATTTTGCCTGAAACTGTCCAAGGGGGAAAACGTGATACGGAGCAAGCACAAACCGAATCCGACTGCGGATAGTCGAATTTTATCTGAACGTACTGCTTAACTGCTCTGGAGCGGAAGCAGGCGAAGGGCCCGCTCGAAATTTCCCGCGTTAGGTCCGAAGCAGTAGATATATGAGGGTAGCTATTTCGTCGAGGACTCGGTCAAGGAACTCGTCCTAAAAGTTGCCATTCCTCGAAATGACAAACCGGGTGATGTCCGCTCGTTGAGTATTTCCCCCGTCGATTTAGCTATTCGTTCGATCTTTCGGCGACATCCGACATCTATATAGGACAGGGATCCTCATGATGACGCTCTCGGGACAAAGCGCGCACAATTCTCGGAACATGGTATCCATAAATGGATCGGAGTATTATTCCTCGCTATTAACCAAAGGTTCGTTCAAACGTTGCTGTTGGGGAAGGGGATCTTTGTGCTTCTTGTTGAGCTGATTCCGAACAGAATCGCTGCCTTAGGTATTCACTGAAGGCTTGCATCGCACACAAACATTGAAGTGAAGTCCGACGCTCAACGAGCCTTGATGGTCTTTGGACTCCTCTCCAGAGTCGGGGACTCGCAGTTCGGATCCCGATATCGCTGCTTGTATCAATTCATCATTGAATGGAGCGGGTTTTCATCCTCCATCATTTTCCGATCGTAACAAGCAACGCGAAATGTACGCGTGATTTCGTCTCGTCGCGTCTTCTGAAAATTGAGCTACATGTATGAATGCCGATGAATGGTTTTCGGGACAATCAGTCGATACAAGTTTCCGTTCGAAAGAATTTCGATCTTTCTCGAATTTTCATTCGATCGCAAAAAATCCACTGAGACTATTCGCAGCTGAGTATCGGCGATCGGAACACTGTCTCAGTTGTAGCCGTATCGATACAAAGCCGAACCGTCTTTTCAGACAGCGCTTTCCAATCGTTGCGTCTGTTCGAAACTTCTCTTGCCAAATGCGAGCGGTGTTGAATGGCGTGACATTTTTCCCGCTTTTCGTGATGCATTACTCGTGGTTCAACAAACCATCTCTTTTTCGCTCCGAACCGCAAAGCGTGGAATCCGGACCCATGAAATGTGGGTAGCATCAAGAGCCGCCTGTTGCTTTGATCCAATAAGTAGCTTCGGCAGCGGAGCGTCAGGACCCCCTAGAACTTTTCTGGGATTCCTCGATGATTCCTCCGAATTCTTGGTCTTTTTTTTACCCGATACTCATTGCGGCTTATTAGATGGGCTCTCGCGCGCCCGCGCTGCGGCTAGTTCGATTTCCGCTCCTATCCAAATACCGATACAACTACAACCTCCGCTGGTGCCGAAGTGGCAGCGCGAGAAATTCTATGATCGAAACCGTAGTCGTCGTCTTCTTTTTTTTCCGTCCGCTTCTCTCGCGCCGCCACTTAGACTGTTCAAACTGCGCAGAAATTCTCAGGAGCCAATATTATTTTCGTTTGGTTTTCGGGCTTCTCGGAGCTCACTCGGCTTATAGGCTTGCCGTCGAGCTGGGCTTCTGTCGCTTGAGTCGGTGATGATTTTCGGTTCCGAGCTACATATACGACTGGTCTGTTGACTCACGTTACGTTGTCGGTTTGACTTCACGTAGCGGCGGCGGCGGGACAGGAGCGTCTGGGAAGCTAGCCAAAACTTAGTGGTAGCCAAGGCTGCTGCTTCCAAGCCATTATCGGAGACCAAGCGATCGATCGTCGGCTATTGTCGAATTTCTCTTGCGCTAGTTCTGCAATCGATCGAGCGCGGCTAGCGATCGAAGAAGCGTTTGTTCCTACTCCTACCGCCTCCCGGAGCTCGCTTCTGAAATCCCATTGGGATCGCTGCTGTATGCTTCAGACCACGAGTGCTCCAGGTTGCGCAGTGAGTAGGGAGCTGAAAGAGCACTTGTCTGAGCCAGTGGGTGGCTTATGCTTCTTCAGTCTGTTGATCAAGAAATTTAAGGCGATTATCAAAGTCCCTCTGGTTTTCCCTGATTATATAATAACATAGAGACTAACAATACCATGGAAGGGTTGCCGGAATGGTTTGAGCGAGGAAAAGCAGTCGCTCGCTTGAAGGAGTCCACTGCTCTCCCGACGGACCACCCGGCTGACGCAGTGTGGCATCGGTGCCGTTGCTGCTCACCGCCTCGATTGCTTGGACAACAGTTATGCGAAATCACGGGCGCGAGCGAAACACTCGGTGTTGTTGGTGAATTCTATCATTTTTCTTGTTCTTGTTTCTTCTCCTTACCTGGTCTAAACAATAAGCTATTATGAACGATTTGACGCCGACGCCACGACGGGTGCTTCTGTATTTTGTTGTTGGCCTCGTCATCTCGGCTGGCGCCGTTAGATTGTACCAGGGATTCTAGTGACGAGGAGGAGCGTTGTGTTTTTCGGATCAGCTTCATCTACAGACTACTGACGACTGACATGGCTCTCTGTTGTTTCAGAAATCTGCAAAGTGCGAGCGTCCCTATTCCAGATCAACGGACGCTCGAAAGAGCCCCTTGTTCTGCCGGATCCCGAAGGCCCGGTGATTTCGAAGACGGAAAAGGTCTACGTGCCTGTCAAAGAACATCCCGACGTAAGTACACGCTACGCGTTCACGCTTTTCTCAAGAGGCTCTTCTGACATCTAGCATGGCTTCATTTAATCTTCGGAATGAATTTAATGATGAGAGAAGAAGCCGTGGATGGCTCCTCGGTGGAAATTTCTCGGCAGAGGAAGCTCTTCATACACCTAAATCGAAGACATAGATAAAGTCGTATCAGACTCTTGCGAACTTCGACCACGAATGAGCGGAGGGATAATGAATTTTCGACTCTCTTCTGTGAACCGTGTGTAGATCCATGATATCCTGCCACCTCGAAGCCTCTGATAAAAAGAGATCAAGGATGGGATTCCATCAATTCGCTCGACGATTCTCATTGGATGTCGAGCTTCTCCTCCAGCCGATTTATCGTTGGCTCGTGGTGTCACAGAAAACTGATTTAAGGACGTTTGCCATTGCGAACGACAGCGTCATGACAGGTGCTTCAAAGTCCGTACAGTAACTCGACCGCTGTGCTCGCGAGAAGAGCCGCAGGAGAATACCCGCGCCTTGTTCTACATCGAACGCGCTTCAAACCCCTTTTGTGGTTGGAGTGGAAACTTGCGCTCGGAGAACTTGCTCCATGGGTAACATCGTCATCATGGATGTGGAGTGCACTGTGCGAATCTCGCTTGGAAATACGGACGAAGGATCAGGCGTTGCAGTTTGCGGTCCGGGACGAGGGCCGCGAGAGAGTATACCGCGAAATGCGACAAGCGCAGAGAGAAAAAGCTCCAAAAAAGTTTACTGGCCACGATGGCATGCGGCATGTCTGTCGGTTGGTCGGTGGAGCGAACGAGCGAGCGAGCAGGCGGTCTATCTATCTACTGCTCCCGCTGGTGGTGCAGCGGTTCTGATCCGTGAGGAATTTGTCGGTTTGGAATTTAATTACCAGATCATCGACCTTCTGCTCTGCAACTCGCTGCGTCAGTGGACGCAAGGTGGCGCTACGGCTTGGTCTCCACCGTGGACAACGACGACCACCGTTCAGGCTGGAGCACATGCTGCTCGATGACATTTAACATGATACTGCTCGGCGTCTCGCCCAAATGACCGCCTCAACGCTATTATGTCACCATCAAATTAGACAGCAACACAGCCGAATGGAAGCACCGACAGACTCACTGAAACATCGACAAAAAGACTGATTGACTCTCAGTCAGTCAGCCAAAGTGACACAAACGACGCGAGAAAATGGGTTGTCGGATCGGATACCTCTCAAAACAGCTACGGCGAAGCAGGTAGGGGGAAGGGGCGCGTGATGCGCAAACGCTCGCTATCGCATTCGAGAGTCGCTCCGATGTCGCTCGCTATGCGATTCCTTGATGCGGAACATTTTACCTTCAGAGGCGCACTCTGCCCTCCGCTTACCATGGCCCGTTGAGTGGGTGCCCCGCGCAGCGCTTCTCCATGCACGGACCCACGCATGATCGATGGTCGGAACGCGTGCCGCGTACCGAAAAATGGAGCAGAAATGTCCTCTGGCAGTGGGATATGGGCATAGGGAGTCCCTCGAATCGCTCGGATAATCTGGAGTGAATCCGTGCTTCGAGCACGGAGAGTTCTGTCCTGTGCTAGGGAAGGAGTTCCCCCAACCACTTCCATACCCGCGTTCATGTCGGCGGACGTTCGAAAAACTTCAGATCGCCGGCTCTCGCTTTCCGACCAGAAGCCTGCGGGGCCTTCGCGCTCGCTTGAGAGTGGAGCACGTCGATCCGGTGAGGTTGGCGGCGCGGCGTAGAGAATATTCAGGAGCTCATGATAAACCTTATCGATTAGACCCCAGAACGATTTTTGCGGCTGAACGTCGAATCGAGCCGATCTGTCGGATGACCGACCGAACAAGCAAGCAGTAATGGCGGCACTTAATCGTCTTCTTCCGAAAAGGCTCCCGGGTCCCTTCGCAATTACTATAGCATACCACTCATGCGTACGGCGAATCTCAGTGTCATTTGTCAGAAACGAAATTGACATGTTGTCTGTAGGTTCAATCGACCGCCCGCTCGCCTGCCCATTCGTCTGTCGGTCCGTCCGTTCGACAGTACGTTTGTCAGTTCGCTCATCTCTCTGACAGTCAGTCAGTCAGTCAGTCAGTCAGTCGGGAGTCGGGATTGTCGAGCTTTCGGAAGGCTGTCGTGGAAACGCTCTCCTTCGAAACGCTGGTGCGGAATGCGAGAGAGATCAATGGCCCCGCTCCGGAATTATGTATCGATTCGAGCTTCGTGTTGATTGAACATCGCAGGGATTGCCCGGGAACCGATTTCCGCATACTGGCGGAACAATGCGAATCTCCCGTACTTAACTGTACGCCGCTCAGATGGCGAATTCCGGGAAAACTTTCGGCTCGGGCCGCCAGTATCGACCGGCCGACTGACGTAATAAGTTAGCGAGGGCAATTTAGCTTGCCTCTATGAATAAAAATGCCTATGTCGGGCGAACGATTTTTTCTTTCTTCTGGGAGCTCTAGTCGTTTTTCGCAGATTTTTTCGGCGTTCGGGGACCAGGGCCTCTGCCGCTTCAATAATTAGAGTTGGCTTCACTTGCTCGCTGTGTCTGTCGAGCCCGCGAGCGCTTGGCCGAGCGGTCGGTCGGCCGGCCGGCCGGCTTCTTGGTTGGTCGGTTTGCCCGACCGACCGTCTGTCTGTCCGCCGGTTCGTCTGTCGGTCGGTCCGACTGTCTATGTGTTCGTCCCAGGAATCAGCAAAAATAATCTATGCCTTAAAGTCACAGAAATTCTCAAGTGATGAAAAATCACGTCGAGGCCGAAGAAACGTGCCTTAGGCGGGGAATTCATCCCACGTCCTGCGGATATCGAACGCTTGGGAATTCCTATACGACATACAGCTCCTACTCCTTCCACTAACGCACTCCGATTCGTGTTCGTTGTCTGAGAGCAGAACATGGTTGCTCTCCTCTACTGAACGCGAGTCGTTTCACGCGAAAGAGGAATCGTGCACGAGCTCTTTGTTCCGGTGAAGCTTGTCATGAACGTTCGCAAGAAAAAAATATGAAACAAATTATAACCTTCGGACGCTTGTCTTATTGTTCTTCGATGCTCTTGTCCGGGTCGTGGTTCTTCTTCTCGTCCAATCACTCATCGGTCGATTGATCGATCGCTCGGCCGATCAGTGATTTCGAGCCTACAGGCGTCCAGGCTCTCCTCATCCGACCCTCCCGATTCCTCTGACACCGCTGACGCTGTCTCAAGTCACTTTCGTCCAATGATCGAATGCGGTAGAGGAAGTCCCGTGGAGCGAAGGAGCGCAGTTCCGCCGAAGTCGAGTGAACATCGCTCGCAAAAACCGACGAAGGCGAAAATCAGAATGAGCCGTTTACCGTGCTCCAAGTTTTTCCAACCTTCTCCCGCTTCGCCACCGGACAGGGGTTAGCGAAAACGACCGTATCCGGGCATTTCCCTAGAGAGGAACTCGACTTTCCGAGAGCTGTTGTCTTTTTGCGTGGTCAAAGCTCCCGAGGCTGTATGATCCGATTCTCTCTCCGTCTTTCCTGGGCTGAGGCGCCTCCCCTACCACTTCTATGAGGTTGGGGAGACGGGACAATACATAATCGAATTTGGACGATGCCTAGGTATACATATTTCTGCAGTCTGACCGAGACTCGAGAATTCCCCCAAAAGACTCAAGAGGGGACCAGATTGAATGCTCTCAGAGTTTTCGGGAGGACCGAGATCAGCCCAGTGATACGGTTCCCATTTACGGACCGTAGAGCTGTCGGGAAGGAATTCTCGAAGATTACATCGAAGACTTCCTGATCGCTGGAGCTCCGACCCATAGTGTGAATAAGAGAGGGGACGGTAAGGTCGAATGACTCCGTGAGGGTCGAGCCAATGGAAACGACCAGAATATTGACTTCGGTGTACAATAAGGCTCGAACATATTCACACGAAACTCACGTGTGCGGCCGACAACTCGAAGAAGGAGCCGACACTGGACGCTGAAAGAAGAAAACGGGGCAGAGCCTCACCTAGATGGATCACCATTTAGATGGAGACAGCTCGGCTCGTGAGTGATGGCTGAGGAAATCGAGCAGGTCCAGAGCAACAGAAACGCACACGCACACGCTCGCGCGCGACTCCGATCGACCCGTGCGGCGAGCGGCTCCGAACGTTCCCAACATGTGTTCAAACATGAGAATACAGCTCCGCCAACCCCCAATCAAGCAATAATTGTTTATGTCGACGATGTTCCCACGCGGGGAGTTTCCGCAGCTTCCGAGTCGGAAGTCACATGTACGTCAAAGCGAAGGGCGGATTTAAATCCAGACGCGAGCCAGCGGCGCGCCAACTTCTCGGATGCGATGAACTCGTCGGTGACTCGTTTTCGAGCGATGGCTGGTAACGGCGAAATCGCATAAGGAATTGCAGAAAAGATAGCATCCGCCTCTGACTGAGACAAGTACTTCGGGCTTCCTCTTTCCTTCCTTAGAAGTCTCCTTCATCTTCTCTCGTATCCGATGCAAGAATGTTGGCGAGTCGACATCAGCTAAATAAATGCGTTTGCTGCTGGGGCCGTCGCGTCCTCGCTGTATGGGCCAACGCCGTGGATCCGAACCATTAGCTATCGTCTCATCTCAGGCGCTCGAACCGTAGAAAAACCTGGTCACCTTATGAAAACAGGAAGCGATGCATTCGGAGGCGAGTGCCGTCAAGGTTCCCCCTTCACCAGAGGAGAAAATGTGGGGGAAGCTTCTTCGGAAAAACTGAGTTCCTTATCAATGCGGTCGCGATCTCATTTTCCGTCGCGGATTGTGTAGAACACATTCCTGACCATTCGCGTGCTGTTTGCTTTGTAGCTTTTTTAGATTTAGGTTCTTCATTTTACCAGCCCTATCCGACAGCACGAAACGGAGCTGACTAGCTTCCTAGTCCACGAGCCAGCAATAGCGGGCACCAGAGTGTATTTGTGCTTGAAAGCACAACACGAATGAATCATCATAAATCGAGTCGTTGTAACAAATATTTTCCTCTACTCCATCCATTCATCGAGTCCTCTTGCGTTTCCCCATCCTTCTCGGAAAGCCACAAGCCTTTTCCGGTACCCTACAACCGCCCGATTTTCTCGTTGCGTCAGAAATTGTCAGAAGAAGGACAGAAGAGAGACGGAGTCGCCTCGGGTTCTCGGTTTTGTCGTTCCCTTCGCTTCGGTCGTCACTTTTTTCTGTCTGTCCGTTCATCAGCCCGACTGTTTGTTCGTCCCGCGGTCTGTGTCTGCTCCTTAGTCCTGGGACTGAATGACTAACTTCGCCTCTTCTCACACAGAGATACAAGCGCTCCTTTACGCTTACGCGGGACGCGTTCATTCGGAGCCTCATCCAGATTGGCTAGGGCTCAGACCCATTCTAAAACCTATTCCTCTACGCATGTCAGGGCGCCGGGAGTTGGAGGAGGGCCGAAGCTGCCATCCAGGGCTGATTCATTCGGATTCCTCGCTGCTCACCCTGTGTTTCCTGTACCGATGCCTCCAAGTTGATTCGTCTAGTCTTCCTTGTTACAATGTCCTGTCCGTAGCAGAAAGGCCCTAGAGAGTATTCCTAGCTGGAACGAGGACCTGCATCCTCCGATACTGTCGTGACGGCTCTAACGGTTCGGACAGCCATGATTCTCTTGTGAGTCCTTGCCTCGCCAACGTGAGCGTGTTATCCGTGTGCTCATTCTCCTCAAGATGTTGCTCCAACGAAGAAGTTTCCAAGATACTTTGTGAGAGTTCGGATTCCGCCCTTCGCTTTCGTCAGTCGCATTTTCGGGTCTCTATCGCTCCTTCGCTTGATTTAATGATTGCCTCAATTTTTCGCGAGCCGGTTCATGATAGTCCTGTTGCATCCTTCGATTTCGGGCATCCTAGCTCTGGTTTGTCTTCCGCCCTGACTATGAGGGCAAGGTCACCGGCGCAGGCGATGCACCCTTCAATCCACATCCGAGTTCTTTGTGTTCAGGACGTTTCTTCGAGTTCAAGCTCATCATCCCGAGCCGAGCTCCCGTTCCGACCCTCCTGAGCGGCGAGCTGGCCTCAGTATGCCATCCTCGGGAACAATGCACATCCGATCTCGCTAGCTCTCCAAGAGCTGTTCTTTCAGCTTTTCTTTCGTCTCTGCCGTTCATGTCCATTGCGCTTCGGATCGGTGCCTCTAGCTCGCTATCCAGGGTGTTGATGATCGCTGGACCCTCAATCAGAATCTTCATTCCTAATCGCTCCCGAATCTATTGAGCAAGCCTGCAATGCCTCAGGCTCTCTTTTCTCCGACTATAGGCTCCATTGATTTGCTTCACTCCTCCGGGTTCTGGTCCACGTTAAGGTCTCCCCTGTTCCGTAGCTCCTCCAGAGCATCAGCAAATGCTCCGATCCTGATTCCGACGATTACTACATCTTGTTTTCTCCGCGGAGTCTCCCTGCTTCTATCGTGCTCGATGGCAGGTTTTTTCTCTCCAGAACTCTTGCTCTCCATCGATATCTCGTCTAAGCGGCGGTGTTGCTTTTCTCCGGCATATCACTCGAGGACTCTCAGAGACAGGTTGGCACCACTCATCTTGGGTCTGAACCAGTCCATTGAGCTTTCCTTGGGTACGAAATTCTCTGGCCGCTATTCTCTGAATGGGTTCGGTTGCATCGATTGCTGACGCTTTCCCTCTAATTTACCGATGATAAGGGTCGTCTTTTCGCTCTCGACCTCATTCCCATTCTCTCTGGTCGGGTTCGACGGGGTGCTCGTCGACGTCGTGGCGACCTCTCCGTCTTCCAGTAATTTAGCTTCTCGAATCGCCGGGAAGAATCTGGCTAGCTGTTCAATCACATTAGTCGTCCTATTTTTTTTGACTGACTGACTACCGACTCGCGGTGGCTTTTCTTGATAGGCGCGAGCACGGAATGTGTCAGAATAAAGTTCGTACCATCAGCGATCACAAGGCCTCTGTTCGGACTCGTTTGAACGCACTGTTAACTTTTCAATGTGTTCTCTGTCCCTGCCTGACATCGCTGCCGGCGAGCCAGCCACCCAGCTCGCTGGCAAGTCAGCAAGCAAGCGAGAAGTTCGGAAAGCACGAAACACAACAGCATCAACACCGCTGACCATTATTATTGGATGACCGTGTTCGTGATGATGTTGATGATGTTCATGGCAACGACTCCGAGTCTGCTAACAACGACAGACCTATGCCTCTGGGATATTCAACCAGTATCCTGCCCGGGAGATCGGGAGCCGATGGTGACGTGAGCGATAATGAGGTCGTTTACGACGTTCACGACAAGACGGCGAGCTGAGAGAAAAAGCTCTCAGACCGTCATCGCACTCACAGTATAAATTACGAGCCTCGTTTTCTCCGTCGCAAGCTTACCGCGCCGAGTTCCCCTGCGCCGTTTCCTGTTTCTCGGATGAGGGCGATGGATCCACAGCTCATAGAAAAGAGATTAACGACTTTCGACGACACCGTCTTGAGCGCGTTTAACTACTTCATGCTCGCTGGTTTAGAGCGATAAACGAGTCTACACGTGGTGTGAAATCGTTCAGAAACGCTGAAAATCTACCCGTCACTGCAGACAGACTGGAGCGGCTGCGGTTTGTCGGCCACCAGACACCCAGCTCGTCAGGACGGCGGTTGGTCCGCTCGAGAATCGGATCCGCCCGCATATTCGCTCTGGAAAGAAAGAAAAACATTTCACCCTCTGCAACAGAGGCACGATCTTGACGCGGCATGCGCTGCCGTGACGTGCCTCACTATTAGCCAACATTATCTTATCACAGAACGTATCAAAATCTGGTGTGTAAAATGCGTGCAATTTAGATGGATGTTCGTTGCTCCCGCCATCTGCTTTGCAATGACTCCGAGCAAATTGCCGGCGGCAGCCGCGGCAACAACTTCGCACAGTAATAAACGACAAATGGAAATCACTTTTTTCTTCGAAGAGACAGGAGAGGAAGTGACTGTGGAAACTGGAAAATCTATCTACGAGCAGAAAAGAGAGCTTGCCGGAGATCATTACGGGTCCCTGAGACTCCCACGCTCCCTCCTCTGGCTCTCACTAGACAGTCTTGCTTATGTCATGGTCTTTTCCACTCACCATGCGGATCTCCGCCGTGTTTAGACTCGAGCGCGATACGATCTGCGAAATCTTATTCAGAGGAATCCCTCTACGGATCTGGTCTGCAGATCGGGGAAACGGCGCTTTACGAGGAACTTGAATCCCTCGTGCTCAACTCATGGTCAGGGTCAGGAGAGCGTTCCCCCCCAGCCCAACAGACAGCATGTATTTCGATGTTCGGCCTCGATAACTCAATTGTTCATTTTGATTCCAGTTCAATTTCGTGGGTCGGATCCTCGGACCCAGGGGAATGACCGCCAAGCAACTCGAGCAGGAAACTGGCTGTAAGATCATGGTCAGGGGCAAGGGGTCCATGCGCGATAAGAAAAAGGTAAGCCCGTGTCTCTCAATCATTTCGCTGAATGCCGTTTTCCCCTACCGACATGCCACACGATCGAACGAGGGCGACATTGTCTTACAACTTGCTGATCCGGAAATCATCCTAACGTGTCTTCCTCCGGATCCCCATTTCCTGAATCATGACGAAAATTGGGCCGCTCCTGTTTCTGTGTCCGATTATATCCAGGGCGCCGCTTCTCATTCTCACGGGTTTTCGAAAAGGAATCAGCATCCGATGCAGATGATATTATCGACGCTTGCTATCGAGCTTTCCCTTTTCGGAGATCCAGGAGCTGAAATCTCCATTCCCAAGATTAAGAGCCGCTCCACATCTAGTCATACAGACTCCTCTGGCAGCTTCGATTCGAGAGCTTGACGAGGAGACGACCTCAGGGGAACACGAATCTATTGATGAGCTTTCCGACCCTCGAGTCTTCAACTCGTTCCCCTCGCTGAACCCTCCAAGCCTAATGTTTCATAAACGTTCGCGACCGCCATGGCAGAGGAACGAAGATGTGGGCTAACAATATTTCATGCTAACCGGACCGAATTGATTAACAGGATAACCCAAGTTCCGGAACGTAAGTTTTTCGGATTCGGTAATATATGCTACGATATTTCTGCCTTGTTCAAACTCTGCCCCGGCTCCTTCCCATCGTTTCTGCACTCAGCTCCGCTGAAATTAGTTCATTGGGGACCTCGACCAAGTTCGTCGTTCATAGAAACCAAGTTCCATCCTCAGTTGGCATGCTGCCGGTGTTCAAGCCCTTCAAGCATCTTTGTCGGCTTCTTAGAGAGGGACGGCGATGTTTTCGTTTCCAAAATGCTCCCATCAATCAAGATTGCGTGTGACAAGCCTGATTAACATGTCCTCAGCTCACGCACCTATCTAGCCTTACGAGATGGGCTGGCACGTTTTTCGGTTCTTTTCTTTCTTGTTTTTTCTCTTCTCTCGTCTAGCGGCTGGGGTGGAGGGTCGAAGCCTGTTTTGCTAAGGTAAAATTACACTTCGCGGCTCGCGGGTGCTTGAAATGAAGCACTCCCGAAATTCCGCCAATGCCATCATGATCAGACAGGCTTGCTCGCCGTGTAGGCTGTAGATACGAGAAAGATGAATGTTGCTGCAGAAAGATCTTTCGAAGGTCTGGAAGATGGCGAGTGCTCGAAGCTCGCGGGAGGAGCGAGTGCAGAGGACAGGAAGCTCACAGCAAGAAAATCAAACACCGGAACAGGATAAGACGTCCGCTTCGTCCAAGACCAGCTCTGAGATAAGCAACGGAAGCTCAGAATGATCTGATTGCGATATTCTACCTCGCTCTTGATCAAAGCACACGCTTATCTCCTAATTAGCGACCGGTTTCATTCTGCGATCCGAAATGAGTGAATTTTGGAGGCGAGAAACCCACAACCTCCGTTCATCCATAGACTTCCGTTATCTCAGCCAAGGCGCCGAAGCTCCGATAGAAACTTAGAAGCATCCGAGTAGATGATCCGCAAAGGAATCCGTTCCCCTCACCGAATGAACCCACCTCAATGTCTCGCGAATTTCCTGTGAATGTTCTAATCGAAGGCTCCATCCGTCTATTTTTTGAGCCTCTGGAACCTGCCCATTTTTTCGAGACTGCAAGGAGGCAAGCTCGGGGCTGCTCTCCGTTTTTTTGTGTTCTCGAAGATGAGAACGGAGCAAGGCTTCTTCTGAGTGCTATCACCACAGGATCCATCGTATGGACACGCAGGCTACACGTATCAGTCAATAAAAGCCAATTTCGGTTAGCTTTTCCCGTTCGGATATGAGTACCTTCGGGTCCAGGAGATGCCCATCCATTAGGGAAGACCGCCAGGATGTTCGAGACTGCTTCTGAATGGGAATATTCACGGTATCTCTGCGTACTGATGGAGGTGATTAGCTGAGGGTATTCGAACAATCGCTGAGGGAGGGCTGCGACATTCTAACGCGTAGGTCGCGTCGTCGAGCGCCATGTTGGGCGAATGCGACGACGAGGAGAAATACGCAGGGAATGGCGCAATCGTAAACAGTCGTAGCGATCTGATTCCATGGAGGTACAGAGAGACGTATGAGCGACAATGTCCGAGCCGATTCAAGTCGCACGATTTTGGGGGTCCGCTCCAGCCGATGGTCTCGTGTCTCGCGCGATTTTCCAGACTCGTTCCCTAAGACTCGTGTTCGTCTCATTGGGATGGAATTCGAAAAACTTGCGCCCGCTGCGCCGGAATAGCCGAGGCTTAGCCCATCTCGCTTCGGAAATGCTCTGAAAAATGATTATTGGAGCCCAACATGTGGCTCGAGCGCAGATGTCGAGCGAGGAAGCGGAACCATACCAGGAACGAACGAGAGTCTGCCTGGACGGGGGAAGCGGCTACAGGAGGATCTTCTATGTTTAGTCGGTGACTGCTACGGTGAAAAGTCAAGAGGCCTGATCGGCCATGAAACGCGGCGGTTCCTCTGGTTCCAAACCACGAGGGTGAGGCATGGAAACTTGGCTGGCTCGGCATCGGCGTGCTCTCGGTTTTCTCGCTTTTGTGACGGCCTGATCGCCTGCTAGTCTGTCTGGCTGGGAGTCAGCTGTTGGTTCTCGTCAAAGGAGGCGGCATCAACGACAGTCTCCGAGAGCCTTGGCAGCTCTGGACGCTCATAGCGTTTCGGCGGTTTGCGATGTCGCTATCTCTTATTTTGTATCTCTCCCACTCGCACACGGGCTCTCGCTTGTGATTTCGTCAGATCGGAAACTGTTTGCCAGGACAGCCCAGCCAGCAGGCTAGTCAAGAAGGCAACGTGCCTGTTCTCGTGTATGTAGTCTCGTTCTATTCGCGTGGTCGTCGCTTGTCTCCCACCTCGATCTTCGTAGACCATCTCGAGCGGGCGAGTCGACAGGCATGAGTCTGAGCAGCAGAACATACACGAAACCAGATGAGATGCTCTTCGATGGATAGATTGATGAGGGAGAATAAAGGAAGTGTCTTCAACGAAACCGCTGCAGCTGCACCCGAAAGGCCCCACCCGGACAGCCACGCCGCGCCATAGCCTCAAGTGATGTTCGTTCGTTGTCGCCGACGACCTGCGACGGCTTGGCGACAAATTGAGTTTCCCACACGATAGGGTTGAGATCACCGGGTGCTCTGCACTCGATGAAATGAACCTCTGGATCCGATCGATACATCGAACGCGTCTTCTCCGTGGAGGGAAAGAGATCGAACGATAAGAATATTCTCCCGGTCGTCCCGATCGAGAGACGCTTCCATTGTAAAACTCGAGACACGACCGTTCCGGTTGGTTTTGTTGTCTCCTCCTCCTTGCGGATGGCCTGATGCGGGGCTCACGCTGGGAAAACATCCAGGTCCCAGCTCGGCGACAACGCCAAAATAAACAATAGACCATGTGAAATCATCGGCTGAGGATTAGACGACAGGACTCGCTGCCGCACCCGTTGCCGCCATCGTTTCTGGTTTTTCCTGGTCTTGGCGGAAGTGGTGGCGACAAGACACCCACTCTGAAACAACAAAGTCGCTACGATTACATAGGAAGACGGGTCCGGCTGTTGCTGCCGAATGGCTCTGACTGAGTCGAAGCTGGAAACACATCTAGTCCTCCCGCCGCGGCCTAGGGTCTCGGGCGGCTTCCCAGCGGAATTTCGGAGAAGCCCTGAGCCCTCAGAAAGTTCTTCCTCTCGTTCCTCTTTGCATCGCCCTCCTCGACGACGTCGGTCGCTGCGGTCTGTTGAAGAATCGAACAATATCTCCATTGTTAACATTGTTTAGATCCCTTCCTCGCTAAAAAAAAGACGGAGAGGAATCCTTGAATAGCTAGAATCTACGCAGTCAACTCGTGGAGGCGGACAGGCTCCCGGCTGTCTTGGCTCGAGAGGTTTACGCTCTCCGCTCTAACCCAATTTCGAAGGCGCGCGTGCACTCTTGGCTGGAGAACCCTAATATGAGGCGGATGATCAAACCATAGAGCACGCAGAAGCAGCATGATTTTGATCTTGATTTTTTCGCCCTAAGTGATCTCGAACCACCTAGTGACTCCGGTAGAGTCGCTTCAAGAAGTGAACGAGCTCGATCCCGTTCGGCATTCATTTTCGTTTGGGGGAAGCTGGAATCTGATTTTTTATCATTCGGCACGAATAACGCTTCTTTCATTTCCAAATCACCGTGTGTTATTTTTAAATCCGATCCGAGGGCAACTGATGTCATTTCCCCTTTCCTCTATTCAGGAAGATGCTAACCGAGGCAAACCGAACTGGGAACATTTGAACGATGACCTCCACGTTTTGATAACGGTCGAAGATACAGAGAATCGGGCCGATATAAAAATTCAACGAGCTGTCGAAGAGGTCCAGATGCTCCTGGTGCCTGTGACCGAGGGGGAGGACGAGCTCAAGAAAAGACAACTCATGGAACTGGCCATCATCAACGGAACTTACAGGGACTCGAGCGCCAAAGGTCTCAACGGGACAGGTGAGTGACCCTTTTCGATACGGTATCCGGATTAATAGTCAAGTACACGAATGCTACACAAAGCTCTGTTGATGAATGTCTTGATCAGTATCCGTTAACGGGCGCCTTCGCCGCAGGTCTGGAGGCTTTCCTGCCTCAAGATTTTCAACGGCTCTTCAACGCTGCCGCCGGTGGCCCTGTGGCTCTCACATCGCCTCTGCGCACAGGGACTCCCTTGGGAGCGCCTCTGATACTCTCGCCGAGGATCCCGGTCCCGACCAATGCCGCAGTTCTCAACGGTAACTTAACTTTAACTCGTCACAATTATTCCCCATCACGCATGCACGAACACCTTTCCGCTTCACGATCTTTCCTATTTTCCGCGATGTGATCCGCCTTGCCCTGCGACAGCTTTCAAACTTGACCTTGGACCATCAACAACTTCAGGTGTTCCCGCCGGAGGATCTGGTCCCCCTCCACCCCTGATGTCCGCGGATGCCCAGCTCCTTTATCACTATCCCGATTATCATCAATACGCGGCTCTTCTGACAGCAACATCTCAAGCCGAGTATCAGTCAGCTCAAAGCCAAGCTGGCCAGGCCGTTACAGCTTCTGTAGGCCAGGATGGTACGTTTAGGTGACCCAATTACTTTCTGCCCCTGCTCCCATACACCAGGCATGCTTCGATGCAAGAAGCGGCCTTGGCATTGGAAGATAATTCTCGTCTTATTCCTGTCTATCAATAGCGAGAGTTCATTGTTGTGTTGTTAAGTTTGAGTGAGAGAATATTCAGACACAATACAGAACAGGCCCCCAGCCCTCCATCTACCAATCTTTGAGGGAGCAGTCGATGGATCGGACGGAACTTTTCCTCTGTCCAATCGCAATCACTCGCTTCGGGATTGCGAAGTGGGGTTTGAGTACCAGTTATGCGGCACGTGGAATTCCCGAGGACGCTCCCTCAGTTCTGCGGTATGCTCGATACTGATGAGTCCATCAGTCTCCGTACGACATGCCGACCTGCGAGCCTGGACCTAGGAACGATGCTTTCTGACCAGTGATGAGGACCTTTTTTCCGATCATCGGGCCCATGGGACCGAGTAAAGAGACATATTCATCTCGGAAAGCTGAGACCGATCTCGCCTTGCGCTCTTCAATCTTTCCGATCCGTCTCAATCGCTCATGGATCCGGGGACTGGACAGGATCCGATTCGTCTCCCTGTCTTGGGGATCGCGGTTCCGGAATATACTGCAGATTCGAAAGGCGCAGTTCCCTCTTCGATCGCTTTCCGTCCGTTCATTAAGAGATCGATCCAGATTTCCGCGCTCATCCGATATGATGTTCGGAAACCAATCTCAGCAGCCTTCTTTGCGATATATCGCCGCATATATCCTGAGGGATTCAACCGAGTGATGATAATTATTGCCCCTGTCTGGTCAAGCCGTCTTTTTCCACGAGCGGTCTCTAAATCGGTGTACGAGCGTCTGTTTCTGGTTGAAGGAACTCGCTGGTCGAGGGAGTCCTATGGGGGGAACCCCACCGACAATGACTTGGGAAGTCTTGACATCTCCTGAGAAAAAAAATGGACACTCCCAACACATGTCAATCGACGTCATCAAGAAGAAGGTCCTCAAATGACGCGTCTCGGAGGACGCGGGAAAACGTCGCATAACTGGCACGCTTGTCCCGCTTCGGAGGGGCAGAAAAATCGATGCGGTGTTCCGCGCGCAGAAGTCAATGAAATCGAGTGACTATGCACTTGAGGCTATGAGATTTTCGGCTCTCTCTCCTTTGTGAACTGAGCCCGCGCGGCGCGCTATCGCAGGTTCACAATTTTTGCGCACCGACGCGAGCTGGATACGGACAACATTTCACGAAAATTCCATTAATGAGAATAACTTAAGTCAAACGGCGAGAAATCCGAAAGGAATATCTGCTTCCGAATCAGATATTCAAGGAGTTCTCGGGAACGCTCTTTGATGGATCGGAGGAATTCAGTATCGGATATATGAGCTCATCGTCCTCATTTACCGCTGGTAATGACTCCGAGCTCCTGAACACGATCGGCTTTGGAGAGCGGGCTCCCACGAAAAACTCGGGCGATTTTCTTTATGAAATCTGAGAGTATTTCCCGGAGCCGTCTGTGATTCGGGGCATCCTGCGTTAGCGGATGATTTGCCCGCACAAGCAGAGCGCTCACGTTCTCGCAGCCAGCTCATCCTCTGATTAGGGTCAATCCGGGAGGTTCACATTTCGGAAGGCTCTCGGCGATCAGCGTAGTTACGTCCATGGATTCGATTCAAACCATCTTCATGGCGAAGCTCCGATCATGCTACCGCTTTTGAGCATCCTTCCCCTTGGAACTCGGAAGAAGAAAACCAAAGTTGATCAGATATTAACAAGCATCGAATTAACCGGAATAGTCTCGTTCTTCGCTCGAAGACTATCGGGGCCATCGTCAGCCACGCGGACAAATTTCGTCATTCAAAGACCAAGCCAAATCGTGCGATACAGTTCCAATGCTAGCGGTTCGCCAAGTTTTCCGAGCTTGTGCGATCTGTATTTATGTATAAACTAAGACGATGTGGGGGATTCCGCTCTGACTTTGGGCCGAATTTTCCTCGGCGGCCGTCATACAGTGTATAAAACGAAAGGGATATATTCGGAGCAGCACGGTCCCCAGCGTTGCGGCGTACTCGATCATGAAAACTCGCTCGAGTCGAATTATTCCGATTCGCGATTCCTCGCTCACGGAGTGGTTTTCGAGTTGACTCGTCTTCTGGATTTGGATCCTATGGAGAGCATCCGAGTTCCCGCAGCCCAATCCGATCACTTGAAAGAGGAGGAGACCGTGCGAGTTTTTTTGGGGGATTCCTGGCCCTGTATTGAGATTTGCGGAGAATCGGCTCCAGGGTGGGACAGAGCCCCCAGCGGAGGGGCCGCTCGCAGCGTGCGCTCGAAAGCTGGGATTCCGGGAAGCCCTGCCCGTGACTTCGAGCTTATCCCGAATAGACGAGCAGAAACGGCTGCGATCATTGGCTGAATTCCCTATCCGATTCCAAGAGCTTCGGCCGGAACTCGTTTCGATGAGCCACCGAAGAGCGACTCACGGCGTTCGGCTCCGTCGAGTCCCTCCTCAATGTATGTTTACGGCGCTTACTGTCGTTCGAGATATATTTATGGAAAGAGAGACTTTCCACTCACAATATATATATACATAATATAAATACGATGTACCTACCGGTGAGAAAGCGAGCGAAAAGTCTTTCAAACAGAGCGACGGTCGTGTTCACGGAGAAATATTCATCACTACCGCCGCTCGCTGTAGTCTATTTACATGATGACATAGAAGCGAAGAAATTGTAGGAAATATTTTACAAGAATCGTCGACGGTGCGTCAGTCAGCGCTTTGAAGAAAATGACGATAATGACATGATATAATGATCAAGGAAGGGGCTGGATGATGATGAATAGTTTTAGACATGTTCGTTCTTGCAGCGAGTAAACAACGGAGGGCTCTGTCGGGCGTGCGGGACCACCCGTACCAGCGGGGGTCCTAAACACGCAACGGCGTAAGCCTAAAAATTGACCCAGATGAGATGAATGAATCTCAAAGGTGTGTATCCTTTTTAGGGCTCTTAAATTTCTTTCTAGGCAGATACTTTATGCATCCTCGGAGAGAGCTCGGTGGGCTCATCTACGAAATAGCTCAAAGAGAACTCGATCATTTCGCGCCGCGTCGGCGAGAGGAAGGAGCGAGCGCCCTCGACGTCGATTCTTGAGGTCGGCGTCGATTTTTCGACTCCTTTCTGAGAAACCCGCTCTCCGGATCGGGCCGAATGCAGATGGAAATGCTCAGTATATGACTCGCTGGCGTTGACAACGACCCACAGAATCAATTCAAATCACGTCGACTAGGCGAAAAACCTCGGCAGCGTTTTTCGGTGCTCAAGGGCAGGCGAGCCTGGTGCAGTGCAGTGCCAAGTCGGTCGGAATCAGGGATCAGTGATAAACACAATGACGAAGGCGATTCATATGATTGCTGAAGCGCTTCGTGGCCCGCGAGACGATCGGGTCGTCGATCTATCATGACGCTTATAGGAGGGCTTAGCAGTCCCTGTGTCTACTTCCCGGGAGTGAAAAAAACGAGAGTTCCGGAGATTTTGTGCTTTCTTGGGAGACGCGGGTAATTTTGGCGTGCGGGAATAGCGCGTGCTCCGCTCATAGAATCATTTCGGAGCGTGAAAATTCCATAAGTTCTATGTTGTCGACGTAGGTCACGCTGAGCGAACGTGAAAAGGGGAATGGAAGCAGAGTCTCAATCAAAAACCTTCACTGGGTGAATGCTCACCAGTATCGAAAGTAAATTATTAAGAAGTAGGTGAATCAATCGCTTATTTTTGTAAATAAATTATTCAATGAATTTTCTATCTGAAATCGACAAGTCGAGTTTTCTATGATGATGACGAGAGCTTCTCGTCTCCTAACCTACGAGTCATACCTCTAATTATTCTAAGCGAGCGATGCCATATCAAAGTCTTCGGATCTGTTCTATTCCCCTCGCTGTTGTCTCTCTCCTTTAATTCCATCCTCATATGAATAACTCGAGACTGCGAGAGAACACGCGCCTTTCTCGGACACTAACCCTGGGAAAGATCCTTCCCACGTCCTGCCATGGGGGACGTCATGTTGGAATAATCTAGTCATATACAAAAGACAGAAGCACAATGCACTGACCGCCCGTTCGCCTGCCTGCCTCTTAGCAAGCCAGCCTGCCCATATCAACGCATATTTATCCCCCTCCCGAAACGCTTTGAGCGACTTTAACGGAGGAAACTCGACAATCTAAGACCGGACAGATATACTCGGTGAGAGAAACAATCGCATATTTAACTGGATGACTTGACACCTGTCACTACTACGAACACGCATCCATACGGAGAAGGGTTCATGGGTGTTCGGGTCGGATCTTTAACAATGGTCAGTGTGGAGAGCTCGACACTGGAACTCTGAACTCGTGGCCGATCGAGAAATGCGACACCGTCTTGATTCGAGCTCTCGGGAAGTCTTCCGACGAATTCAACTTGGATTGCAAGCATTCCCGGGGTCGGAGCTTTCAATCGTCACGCCTGCACGGTCTCGAATCCAGTCTCTCTCTGGGAGCGGAAGAGCCGACTCTGTTCGGAAGCTGTAACACTGTGATACCTCGAATCACCCGTGCATTCGAGCTCAGAAGGGATGCCACTTATATTGGTTAACATCCATGATTCCGATCGACTGTAACGAAAGCTTGCTCCGACGAACAGCATCCGCGCCTCGCAATCGCGGCTGGCCTACGATCACTGTCAATTCAATATTTTCGCAATCGAAAATGATAATCAATAATAATAATAATAATGGAAATAATCATAATAATGGATGATAATCTCTGTAATACGATACTAACAGTTGTCCTCTTCGTCCCAGATGATGGTTTCTGTTGTCTGGGTGAGCAATCTGGATGTCTGGATAACCCTGCTCATCAATTACTCTACTCTGTCAACTAACGAGGCGGTTCGACTTGAAGACTCCAAACAGACACAGGCAATCGTTCGAGACGACCAACGATCCAATCGACCGTGCGAACGCTCTTCAAATCGATCGATAAATCGACCAATCAGTCAATGAATCAATCAATCACTTACGCAATACCACCCATCCGCCTTACACCAAACAACGTGCAGTGAGAGACACAGATGGGAAGTCGCCGTAGCGCTTCTCTGTTGGAAGGAATTTGAGGTCTTCAAGCTAATCTAACCGGCTCAACCCGCAACCTTCTATATATCACGGTTCTGCCTATCTATCTGAACGCAAAAAAATACATTAAAACATTCTTCATATCATGGACTAACGACAATATCTGAGGCAATAAATAAGACGGGCGTTTCCGAGAAACGCGTCGACCGAGTGCAAAGGTTGGACATAGAAGGGGAAGAAGAATAAGTGCAATCGCTATACGGTCTCAATGCAATACGTATCATCCTCTTCATTGGCTCCTTTGGAAGACTGGAACATCCGTCGGGACGCGGCCACGTCATCGAGTGCATAGAAAACAAGACACGGAACATGAATTCTAGCAAACAACTTACCTCGCCAAGCGAATCCGTCGATGGAATGCTCCGCAAACCATCGCTGGGCTCCGGAGTTTCGGATTCCTAGGTTCCTGCTCTACTTTGCCCGCAATGACGATGATAATTATGTCGACGGATGACCGAATGATAAACCAATGAACTTATCGATCGACCCGAAGAACCCCATCTCCTAGGATCCTAGCGTGGATTCATCAGCATATTTTTCGTGCATGCTTAAATACTCGTAGTTACTTGCTGCTATCAGCGTTTCGCCTAAAGAAGTTGAATCACAATTCTGTCGAGATGTACTCCATTTCCGCTGAAAAATCTACCAATGGTGCCTTCTAATAATTGTGAGAAAGAGGCGACTGCATAGAAATTTATCATAATTTAACGGAACAGTGCCGCAGAAATCAATATGCTTCCGCAAACCCAGAATCGTAGAGCTGGTCTGGATCGCGCGTTCGTCATTTGATTCATACAGAGATGCTTGCTAATGTTTTATCCACTATGCCTCGGCAAATGGAAGTTGAATCTCATGAGGGAGAATATCATTATGCAATAAGCTTGCCCTGTTTACTTGTTCATATATTTGGTGCTGAAATGTCTTCTTCCTTCTTCCGCCAAACGTGTTACCCTCTTCAAGACTGGATCGGGGAGCCTTTTCCGAGAGATCGATGCTGATAATTTGATGTTCAAGCCTTGTAGCCTTTGAGATTCGCTGATCACGTGACTCGTATCATCACGACCTCCAGAAAATCATGATGAATAAAACGTTTCGGTGTCAGTATCTATTTATTTTCATCTTCGATATTAGAAAGGCTTAGAAGCCCTGCGACGGGACAGCTTGATGCGAGGAACTTCCCTCGTTACCCAACTATAGGCTGCGTCCCTTGGTTAACCGGCCGTAGATGACGGTTTTCGACTGACTGTGGGCAGAGTCCAACATTTGGGGATGAGCTTGAGCGATATCGGCGGGCAAAGAATCTGTTCAAGAAACCGGTTATGGCTGTACGCTGTGCCCGGGAGTCCGCCGTAACCAGGGGTATTGGCCCGGGCGAAGTTGTAGTTCGGAGCGATCCTGCGTGTCCATCATAAATCATAATCATAAGGTTTTCTAATACGGCATCCGAGAGCCTTCTCGAACCGGATCCTTCATTGGAGAGTGGCGTCGGCGCCGTACCTCGGAACCTGTCCGGAGTCCACAAAGAGTCGATCGTCGGACAGGGAAGACATGCGATCGTTTCCGGAAGGAATTTTATTTACACATCAGTTTTCCCTCCCTGAACAACTTTAAAAAGTATCAGCACCCGACGTTCCTCGGAAACTTCACCACGGAATCTGCTCGGGGTCATCAGTCATCCACAATCTCCCTCGAGTGTTTCTGAGCACCGATGAGTACTCCAGCGAGCAAATCAGGATGCGGTGGTTATTGCCGACCTCTGAAGCTTCCGCCTCGTCCACTACCGCGTACGGTGAAACTCTTATTCCCTCGAAAACGAGCTTTTTTGTTCGAGCCCCGCCGGGGTTGAGATCCGGTTCCCTCGGCGTCTTGCAGATCCTCCAGGTCGTCGAACTGTTTCCGTTTCGAAGAATTGCCGTGAAAATCGCCACGGCCACGGCCTCCACCGGTGGCGCCCCGATTGTTCGCCCTCCCTGGAATCGGATATTGTAGAAGCAGGCGTCTCAGAGAATCACTCACCGGAAACGAGAAAGAATCTGACCATGTGCTCCATTGCTCCATGACGATATGAGGAAAACATCTTACCTCCGCGGCCCCGATTATTTCCTCTGCCCCTTCGATTGCGCTGAGAGTCTTGTTGAGGGGCATTCTGCTGGCTGATTGCTTGATTGTAATCAAAGTCTTCCGGCACGCTCTTTCTGCTGTTCTTCTCTAATTTTTCTGTATTCGTCTCGCCGTAACTGCGTATAAGAAAGCGTTATTGGCAAAGTAGTTGACAAGAAGTCTCGCAACAATGAGATCCAGAAAGATCGAGAGGCAAATCGCCAGTCAGATCAACGAGGTTATATCTGACTCTGAAGTCAAAGAGGAAACTCCAGCCTATTTATTGATAATGAGGAGCATGCGAAATCAAGACCTGACTACTAGACTATCTCTTCTTCTCACGGAAATGCACGGATCACGAGCGCATGGCTCAAGACCGAGATCCTTCAAGACGGCTGTGATTCTTCTGTTCCACTGCAGCGGGGCTTGTCTGAGGCCATAGAGAGCTTTTTCCAACTTACTCACTCTCCCGCTATCATCGTCGTAGCCCTCCGGCTCATGCATGTAAATCTCTCCATCCAACTCACCATACAGGAAAGCAGTCGTTACGCCGCATCGCATCATCTCTACGTCATTCGCCGCCACCAGTGACGAGAGACACCGGATAGATGTCATTTTCGATACTGATAATGTCATTTTCGAAGAAGTCGATACCTGGTTTCTGCGAGTTCCCTTTCACAACCAGACGAGCTTCATAATGCTCCACCGACCCATCTGGGCGGAACTTGATGCGGAAAACCCACATAGATCGAATGACATTTGCTCCAGCGGGGCGCTCAACCAATCTCCAAGTCTTGTTCTGCATAAAAGAGCTGTATTCACTGGCGGCAGCTTTCTCCCACTATTCCGCGTCGAAAGAGTCCATCGCTTGGTTGTAAGTGGTCGGACACTCTGAGACTGAGTTCACTAGAGTCACCGAATCCATCGTACAATCCAGATCAACCTCGGACTCGAAACGCTTGGCCTCTGGACCTATAGCCGTCGACGAGTTCAAATCTCGCCACAGTGACACAGGGTCTTCTGGCTTACTTTGGACTTTCCTGCCGCTCAGCTCGAGTCAAGCTGAGAGGAGTTTTCAACGTAGAACCGATCCCATCAGCTCTCTCACAGTTTCCAAACTCGTTTCGGAACCAGTTCCACAAAACGAAAGTCCCGTGAAATCATGACACTTTTCGAATTAGGCAACCACATTCTATACGATCGGGATTTCCCATCGTAGCCGACGGGAATACGTCTTTCACTCTTGGCGTCTAGTTTATCGCGTTAACAAGTCTCGACATGGACATATCCAACGCTGCCCCATATACGCAGGTGCTGGCACCATGGCTGGAGGCTTGGCACCATGCCAGAGTTCGTACGTTGTCTTCCAGCCCAAACGTTCCAAGAAAACTTGGTTCCTCATGTGACAAGCCGCCACGCACGCTTCGGCCCACAGCATTTTTGGGACATCCGCTGCTTTCAACATTGCTCTTGCAGAACTCACAACCGTCCTGTTCTGACGTACTACTCGACCCCCTTGAGCACGTACGGAGTAATAAACTCATGCTCCACCAGGTGGGTCCTCAGGTAATCGGACAGTTTCGCTGATTTGAATTCGGGCGCATTATCACTCCTTGGGCTACTCAGCTTGAGACCCGACAAAGACACCTCCACCAAAACGTCTTGCACCGCACCGAAGATTTCATCTTTAGTCCGGAGAGGATAGGCCATGAGGAAACCACTAAAGTCATCGACAAAAATGGCACGCCAGCGGCATTTGCCTGAGGATTCCACGCTCATCGGACCGCAGATGTCGAAGTGTATCAATTCGCCACAGGATACTGCTCTCTTCTGTGAGGCTGGAATCGGCAATCGCGCTTGTTTACCGAGGCAGCAAGCCTCACAAAATCTTTCTTCTTCCGACATTCTGAGACCTTCCCGAGCACTGAATCCTGACACGGCTACATGTCGAGTTATTGCCTCGAGTGTTTGATAATTAGCGTGTCCGAATCTTTCGTGCCACACATCTAGGGGCTGGATTGAGTCTTCCATCGCCGCCGCAGTAATCTCATCCAGAACTCGACATCTCATGCGATATAGCCGACCGCTACCTTCCCGAACTCCGATGGCCACTTTTTCTCCGTTACGAGCCACTGTCGAGCCATTCTTCGAGAATACTTTTTCAAGTCCATGGTCAGCTAATTCACCGATGGAGATTAGGTTACGATTGATCCCAGGGACATGCAGAACATTAACCAATCTCGCACTGACTGGTTTTCCATCGACGATAGTTTCAATCCGGATCGATCCAGTTCCAACCCCATCCATAGTATGACCGCTGGCTGAGATGACAGGTCTTGGATTCTCAAGAGCTTTGTAATTGGTGAACCAGTCCCTCCTATTACACATATGGCGACAGGCTCTAGTATCGGCGAGCCAATCATCGCTATCATCTCTTGAGGAGGAACTCTTCACATTGAATAGGAATTCTTGATCATCGCGACCACTCCCCGAAGCAAACATACTTCAACTAGCAGTATTCTGCCCGGACTGGCCATCACGCTTGAATTTGAAGCATTGGCTTTTCTTATGACCGGTATTTTCGCAGAAATAACATTTCCCTCTAAACTTCCTCTGATCGTACTTCCCTTCCTTGAATTTACTCTTGACAAAGGCAACGGTTTCGTTCCCAGTGGGTTTTTCGCCGCCTTGCTCTACTTTCTCCGCCTTCATGAGGCGCGGGATCAAATTCTCGACGGTTTGCTTCTCTTCATCTAACATATCCCATACTAGATGACGACACTTTCTCGGCAAGTCGAGCAACTTCGAAATGCTCTGAGGAGGGTCAATTTTCTGACCGACATCCCTTAATCGCTGAATCATAGATTCGACATTGGCAATATGCGTATTCATGTCCATATCGTCGGTCATTTTATAACTGTGGAACTCCTTTAGTAGAAGGCTGACGGAAATCCTGCATCGCGATTCGAACATCGTCGACAGTCGTCTCCATATTTGACCCGCAGTTGGGACTGCCATCACCGTACGGACCACTTTTGTCTCCAAACAGTTTAGGAGGACCGCTTTAGCCTTCGCATCGATCTTTGTCCACTCTCTACTAATTTTACCTTCCACTCCGGGGCGCTGGGGTACGGTACCGTCGATAGTCCCAAACCAGCCATTAGCGATTGGATACGCTTCCAAGCTGGCGCTGGACCTTCCTAACTTCGAAGTCGCGATGGCCGTCGAATTGTGTGACTTGCAATTTGTCGATTGCCTCACAAGGTTTCGACTTCAACCACCGATCATGACCTGCTTCCTCTCTATTCTTTGTCTCGGATCCTTTATCAAGCGACTACTTCCGCAGTGGAAGCGTGCTGGGCCCATAACCTATTGGCAAAGTAGCTGACAAGAAGTCTTGCAACAATGAGATCCAGAAAGATCGAGAGGCAAATCGCCGGTCAGGACAACGAGGCTTCATCTGACTCTGAAGTCAACGAGGTTATATCTGACCCTGAAGTCAACGAGGAAACTCCAGCCTATTTATTGATACCTACACATGCGCTGGCTCCGAGTGCGCTTGCTCCGGGTGCGCTTGCTTTGGGCGCGCGTGCTCTGGGTGCGCTTTCCCGTTTCCCCGCTTTACCGTTCCCCCGCTTCACCGTTTCCCCGCTTTCCCGTTCCCGCGCTCTCCCGTTCCCGCGCTCTCCCGTTTTCCCGCTCTCCCGTTTCCCCGCCTACCCGTTCCCCCGCTTACCCGTTTCCCCGCTTTCCTGTTTCCCCGCTTTCCCGTTTCCCCGCTTTCCCGTTTCCCAACTTTCCCGTTTCCCAACTTTCCCGTTTCCCCATTTTCCCATTTTCCCATTTTCCCATTCCCCCATTTTCCCGTTTCCCCATTTTCCCGTTTCCCCATTTTCCCGTTTCCCCATTTTCCCGTTTCCCCATTTTCCCGTTTCCCCATTTTCCCGTTTCCCCATTTTCCCGTTTCCCCATTTTTCCCGTTTCCCCATTTTTCCCGTTTCCCCATTTTCCCGTTTTCCCCATTTTTCCCGTTTTCCCCATTTTCCCCGTTTCCACCCCACTTTTCCGTTTTCCCGACCCTTTCCGTTTTCCCGTCTTTTCCGTTTTCCCGCTTTTCCGTTTTCCCGCTTTTCCGTTTTCCCGCTTTTCCGTTTTCCCGCTTTTCCGTTTTCCCGCTTTTCCGTTTTCCCGCTTTCCCGTTTCCCCGCGCTTCCGTTTTCCGTTTCCCGGCTTTAATTCCATATGTTCTTCGATAAATCTATACCCTTCACGGCTACAGCAATTTTCAGCGAGATTCATAAGTAGAAAGACAGAGGTCAATGATGACGGCAACCCCCGATAGCCTTCTTGGAAGCACCCGAGAGTCCGCCCCCTCATGGTGGTCCAGCCGATGAAAAATCCAGCAAATTCCCGTCTTTCCATTGATGAAATCTTTGATTCTCGGTGAGAGGACCACTTTTTCTATTTTTCTCATGGTGGGAGGACCCGTCACATGAGAACGACGACCCTCATATGACCTTCCTGAAGCTCTCGAGAACCCACCCCTGAATTTCACGCCGATCGGTTCAGGCGTTTGTGGATTTTGCGTAGAAGAAGGTTTTTGAAGTCAGAAGAACTCATCGCATCGGAGAACTGACCCCCCTTGAACCACCCTGGGTTCTCCGAGAACACGCTCCTAAATTTTCACGGCGATCGGTTCAGCCGTTTTCGTGTCTACAGCGGACACAAGGACAGACAGACAAACATACATTCATTTTTATATGTATTGATGAGGAGCATGCGCAATCAAGACCTGACTACGTTATCTCCAACAGAAAGCGTTATTGAGCGTTGTTCACTCCGCTCTCATCGGGCCGCGTGTCCGATCCGCTCTGTGCCTCGCATCGAAGCTGCTGGAGATCTGAATTCTGTGAAAATCCTCACCTCGTTTCGTGACCTCCGAGCAGAGGGATACTGGGCTGGGGACGTTTGCGTTTTTTACTATTGCCCCGTATGATCTCCGGCTCGTTACTTTCGAGGGCTTTCGCATCGTCGGCGGACACTTCGTTCGAAACCTCTCCTCTTTCTTCCTTCTTAGACGACTCCATATCTTCCCCGTCCACTTCCTTGAGCTGGGAATATTCATGGTAAGAGTCAGGAATGAGGAGAATTTCACGAAATTCGGGAAAAAATCGTCTAGATTGATGCGGGAAAAGGACTCCGTACAGCTCAGGAATTTATGAAGAGCGAGCCGAACGAACGTACCTCAGCCTCCCTCTTGGCTTCTTCGAGAAGTTTGGAGAGTGATTCACCTTCCTTTTCCATTCTTTCGCGTTCCCTCGTGTATCTGCCACGGGAGTAATCAAGCTTAAGACTCCTCCGCTCTGGGACACGGCAGATTTTTTGGGAGCAGTCGATCGTTCTTCTCACCTCTCATATGGCGTGATAACTCGGAGGACTCCACCAGTTGAAGACTTGAAGATCATCCTCGACGCCCCACCTTCCTTCATGCGATCGATTTGCGGTAATAGCGAGGAACGCGCCATCCTAGGAACACTGAATTCGCAGGCAGCTCTTCGACTGTCTTTCAGCAACTCGCCGTTTTCATCTGTGAATCGTCAGGATCGTTGTGAGAAACGCTGAGGGCAACCTAGGCTTCGCAAACTCCCTGATCGCCTCACCTATTAGCGTTGGTAGACGGACTTCATCATGTTCGTGAGCAATGTTCAGATCATGAATCACATGAAGCATATTGTCGAAGTCCATCACGTGAAGGGCGGGCAACGGAATGTCGATTTTTGGAGCATCGAGGAGCGGCTGAAAGCGTAAATTGATATCGGTCTGTGATTCTCCACCGGGGTCCATCCTCGCGTCGAGGAACGGGAACATATTGAGAGGAGTTTTAGACCAGACTGCTCACATTCGATAGCTGGACCTCTCGAGCCTTCAAAACCATTTGGTGGAGCTCGTTCAGCTGCTGCTTCACTAAGGGGGGGCATGGATTGCAACACGACACGATCCCTTGCATCTCCCGTGGTAGTAGTTCGCAAATGTTCAGCAGCATGTGATTGGGTAGAACATATCCAGTGCTCTCATCCAGCTCTCGGGCAAGGCGGTCCCGCCAGGCGAATATGTGTTTCAAGGCGTACAGCTGCTTGTCATTGAAACGTTTGTTGGCTGTTTTCAAAAGGTTCCGATGACTCTCTTCGGTTAGAATCGGCTTCTCGTATCGTTTCAGACAGAGAAGCGAGCTCCTCTGCCAAACAGCCTTCATGAGATTCCCGGCCTCGTTCGAGGCGTTGTTGAGCTCCTCTTTGAGCTTCTCGCATATAGACAGAAGATAGTGCGTATCCGTTCGTGCGTACTCGATCATCTCCTTCGGTAGGGGCCGGATTCTCCAGTCGACGAGCTGGAATCTCTTGTCAGACTCGACTTGTTCGAATTTTTTCAACAGGTAACTTAGAGAGAGGCGCTCGTAATTCAGAAGTTTCGCTGCGATGCCCGTATCGAAGAGGTTCACTATGTATACGCCGAAATCTCGCTGCAGCCATTGCACGTCAGAGTGAGATCCATGAAGAACTTTAACAATCTTCGGATCTGTTGTAACCTCGTTCAGCACGTGAAGGTGACCCCGCAGTTCTAGAGGGTCGATGATGTAGTCTTTGTCCCAAGTCGAAACTTGGACCAAACATGTAAAACCCTGTGGTTGGAAGCGTATTAGTGGGGGTCTCGGTCGCCAAGCGTCTGATAACGGAGCGATTGAACGTACTCTGGTGCAACGATTCGATCAGGAATAACATGAATGGGATCTGGAAGGATATACCATGAATGAACGAAATGAATGGTGCTCGAGATCAATAGCTATCTGTCGGTGCTGCTTCAATTCCTCCAGAACCTTCTTCAGAGCTCCTGGCGTCGATACGAGTTCGAGGGGCGTCTCTCCCAGCGGTTTCGTTTCCTGAGGGAACATGAAAATCGAAGGAATAAACGAGTCTTCCAAGCGATCAAACAGGTGGACACAATCATTCTCAGCTCGAGCGAAAGTACCTACCCTCGGCGATGGACGCATTTGTTCGTCGGTCGGTGAGAACTTCTCGATTTCAAACTCGTAAGGATGAGAGTATGTCTCTTCCCCGTCGATTGTTTCAACCAAAATGGCCAGAGGTTTGAGAGCATTCGGTTTGTCTTTGATTATTGGAACGAAAGGACTGTTGGAATTGTCGATTTTGTCGGGGAATGACAACTGCGGCCTCGTGACGTTAGCAGCTGTCAGGAGTGTGACAGAAGACTCCCTCTTCAATCTCTCATTCTGAAACAATTGAGCAAAAATCCGTGAGGGTGATGGAATTCAGCTCCCAGTTTCCAGGTTGCGAGCGAGCCTGAAGAAATCCGGAGAGGAGCCATATCGGACCAAAACTTGCGCAGTGTACAAACAGATCTGTACAGGATAGGAAATCTCGATTGACCACTTCTGATTTTCGGAAATCGTGACCAGGGTGGTCGTTCGTGTTTCATCATACCTTCTGATTCCATATTGTGTCTATCTTCTTTGTGACAGTCGTCAGCTGGATATCGGAGTCCCGCTTCACTCCACTCGCAACGTCCAGCTCGATGCCAGCGCGCTCGAGGAGCACATCGTTGATTTCAGTCAGTTGGTCCACCTGATGAGTAACCCACGTGATGAACGAGCACCAGGAAATTCGATGAAACCTCGATGAACCAGATATGCGCGTATCCGAAATCCGAAGGCACCGCTCGGGTCTTCGTCGTCGTCCCTTACCTTCTCTTCGAAGTCCGTGCCTTCATTTTGGAAGAAATTCTTGTTCCCAATGTGGTGAGCCACGAGTCTTGACATCCTGGAATTGATTCTGTGTAATTTGCGCGGGCTGGATGCAATCAGTGTGCGATACCTCAGCATCGGAACTTACATCTTCATTATGTTTGTCGACTCTGCTTTCATCACTTCTTTGAAAAGAGGGAAACTACTGTAGTAGTTGTAGTCCTGTCCGGGGGTCGGCAGGGCATTCGCAGCTGCTGTGACTTCAACCACAGCACGCAGCATTCTCTGAAGGAACAAGGAGAGACTTCGAAGACGCATCTCTCGGGAGTTTGTACGGAGGCTCGGAGTCGACGTCGGGACCATTTGATTCACTCCATCACCTCAGGATTTCGATCACAAAGATCGGCAGGCATGCAAGAATAGTCCGGGAAATGTACCCGCATAGTGTTCGCCTTACCATTTGATAGTCGGCGAAAGTTCCGAACTCCTGGAACCACTGTTGTCCGGCGGGTTCTGACTCTTTCGAACCCGAAGCTTCGCCGGCCATCATGCAAATGCTAATTCTTGCGGGAGAATCTCACTAATTGGCCACCAACTACGACTAGATATACACAACAGAAAACGGGAACGGCATTCGAACATGAGGAGGAGAACTTGAGAGAAGAGCGCACATGTGTTTACGTCGGCTAAGGACCGACCACGTTGTCTCAGTAGTTTCGGTTTCTTGTTGGTATACATGAGCTGAGATTCCCCCGTCTCCCGTGATCCGTGATCGATAACATCTTCTGTCAATTACAGCAGTGAGGCACCCCGTGTCCATTCTCACATGTCACGTCCCAAAGGAAACGATTCTGGGGAGGCTATATGAATAAGCTTTGATTCTGGGAGATCAGGGAAGAATCACAGGAAAGATGCGGGAGACACGAAGAGTGCGACAACAGGGAAAACGCATTCGGTACGCGACTCGTTGGATACGGGAACTGAGATTGGAGGGTTCAGGCGATACAGAATGCTTCGAAAATGGGCGTAATGATGCCCCCCGGTATGGCGTTCCGTGGGGAGTAGCATTCCTAGGTAGGCTACGCCGATCCCGAACTAATTGCCATCCCGACCGTCATGCAATATGGGATCTCACATTACGCACCATTTTCGGTTTTCAGTAGTTTTTTTAGAATTTTCACGAAAACTGCAGAAAGTATGAAGGTAGTGTACACAGGACGGGATGATCATTTCCGATGGCGTCTACAACCGAACCGAGGCTCCGACGCGCCCCTGCAGTCCTGTTGCCCATAATGAATTTCATGGAATGTCTTCATCGAAGAATCAAGATGAAACCCGAATCCTCCTCGAGAATGCTACATTTCTTGGCTTCAAGACTCCCACAACCTCCTAATGTCTTATTACTATGGAATTCTCGCGGTCAATGTCGGCAATGGAGGAATACTATTCGGGAATGCCGTGTTGTCCTGCCAGCGGCCCACCCATTTCTCTGGCTAGAAGTTCGGAGGCTCTATGCAGACCGCGCTCCGGGGAAGCTCGATCGGAAAGACGATCTCCTCAGAGGTCAGTCGAGCTCCGTGTGACCTGGGAATTTGGAGCTGCTCGGATGATTTTTCGATGCTATTCACGTTTTTACGAGTTCTCCGAGAGAAATGTCCGGGTGATGCTGGGAGAGATTGAAATTGTCGCCAGACTCGGAGAATGTAGCCATTCCGGAACAGGTAAGAAGCGTGGTGCACAAAACTGACCGGAGGCTCCGTAGGGGGTCACTTCCGATGCATTTCGGCAGAAAGGGACCGCATCCTCAGCTGATAATTGGAGTATCATGCACCTTGCTCAAGAAGCCACTGAGGAGCTCCGGGAGATACCAATCAGAAGTCAGCGCTCGATCAGAAGGAAAGAAAAAGACCGTGAGCCGTGAGTTATTCAGGCTCCGGAAGGCTAGGACGAGACCGCCCGATCGCGCTCGAGCTCTCAGTCAAGATCATCATCATCATTTGTTACTGGTCTGTCTCATACAAATCCCGTCGCTGCTAAGTTTTCTCCCCGAGGTTCTCAAATGGCACTCCCTCGCACTTATGGGTTCGGTTGGGTGACTCCTCGGCTATTCGCATGACTCTGGTAGAGAAAGGCGATCAATCGTGCCCGAGATCGAAACATGTCACGGAGCCACAGAGCACACTCTCGAGTGGGTGTGTGAGATGTTTGTTTACATCTTATGTAGATCGTCTCATCCAACAGGCGGTCCATGTAGATAGTGCCCCTTTTTTGATGGCCCGCACCACTCAGGTGTTCTACCGAAGATAACCCATAGCGAAACACTTGCATACCAATGTTCTGATCGCACATCCTACGCTCGGTTCTTGGACACGGGAGGGAAGCTCGGTGCTGAAAATAATGTCCAGTCGCTTTTGATATTGGGTGAGTGGTTGGAAAGCCGTAGGCAGCCGAATGAGCATCGACGACTCCATCTTCCACCAACGTAGACTCAAAAATATTAGGGGCGAACGACTAAGAAGGAATCGAAACACTCGAAGCTCGATTGCTCCGAGGGCACGTCATAGAGCCACTCTCACTCAGAAGAGACATAGATGTTCAACAGGTGGCAGGTGCTATCATTCTACACGATTTCTTTCCTCTTCGCTCATCGGATGTGTTCATGATATCTAGCTCCAACCCATTCCCATGACGGGGTTTCGTTCCCACCGCGGAGAACCCCCTCCCGTCCCGGAGGGGGGCGAGGGAAAATTGCATTCTACCGGTATTCGGCATCCGCAAAATCGAACTGAATATGAGGTGGCCAATCATAGCCGGTGATGACCCCGAGATAGGGATATCATCGAGTCTTGGGAGGGGGGAATTCCTATCAGGATTCGTCGATTGTGGGAAGCCCGGGTCAAATCATGCGTGGGAGGTTGACATAGTCGAGCTTGAACGTCTCAGAGCGAGACGAAGACCAGCCTCGGCGAGAGAGCTTAGTCGCTCAGGTATTTTGGATTTCAGATGATTTCCTCGTAAGACATGAATATAAAGAAACTGCGGAGACGTTTTCTGGACTCTTTGACGCCACCACGAGCGAGATATCAATCAGATGAAACTTTGGATTTGAACGCCTCATCCAATTCGGTGACTCCGCCCTCGAAGCATGGTAAATTTCATATGTCCCAAAACTCTAATTGTTGATCACCGGGACGTATGACTGGCCCCCATTCAAGCTACGAGCAGCTCCGGGTATGAAAATCCTCGCCCGTCTTCCAGGCCCTGTCAAACCGGAACGGCCGAAGAACCGACTCTTCACAAAAACCAAGTTCTCTCTCTCGACGTCACGCTTGAGTGACTCACGAAATTCATGTGAGTAGGAATTCTTCGATTACCAACTCCCTAAGAACTCAATCCTCTGAGTCGGTTTCCCGCAGTCTTTGAATCGGAATCAAATCGCCAGTCGAAGCGAGACTCTGCGCTCGGTCAGGTGCTTTCGTCTCCTCGGCTACCGTGATGGAGTGCATGCTCATAATGCCAACGTTTCCCCATGAGTCCGTGGCGTGATGACGCCAGGAAGACAGTTCTCGTCGGGTGTCGATGATTCACAATTATTACATTTCCGGAAGGGGAGAGAAGTCACTCGAGCCGGAAACTCCGTTCTGCAGAACAAGGTCGTAAATAGACCCGCTTCCTCCTTTGGGGCTGGCGATTTTCTATCAATTAGAAACTTCCCTCCTCGAGAGGAAGCCATGCTCCTTGGATTCGAGGAACATCCGAGGTGTTCATGAATGGATAATCAGTGCAGAGCTCGTTTATCTTGAGACCTAGGTCAAATCATAGACTCGATATCGGGACTTCGATCCTAGTGCTCTAACTTCTGGTCATCAGTGAGTGAGAGCTCGTGGAAGAGTCAGCAGTATGATGAGCCTCCTTGCTCATGTTCTGATGAGTTTCTCTCATACGCAAAGCAGGGGCGGATCCAGGAATCCTCCAAGGGGGCGGTCGTGGGAGGGGCGGATTGATACCTGGGTCCTGCTTCAACCCGCGGAGGAAAGGAAGTCGGAGGCCTCGAGGGGGACGGTCGCCCCCCCTCGATCCGCCACTGCCCGCGAGCATCGAACGTGAAAAAATGTCCGAGATCGTTTCGAACAATCGTGGAGCGGTTGCGAGGCTCGCTATTCGGCTACGGACATTGGAAAAGCTCATGCGCGTTGAAGCATTCGAGTGCTTGCCCCATGAAACCTTTACGCACGAGTTGAGCTGGCCACTGTCGGAATGCCGGGTCTCTCCAATGAAGTCGGGCAGACAGCCCACTCGCCGCGCAGCTGATTGTCTCATAGGAAGACTTACTGGCCGCCGATCGCGGGGTTCGTCGCCGAATTCCCTCGCTCCCTCCCTGCCTGCCTGCCTTGCGAGCCGAGAGCCTTCCGCCCGCCCTCTATTGTGCGCTCAGCTCGCTCGATGGTAGCGTAGCCGGCAACATACTCTGGAGGAAGGGAGAAACCAACGATCGAGGGAGAGGAGAATTGGAGGGAAGAGGAAGGGTCGGTCATCGTGCGACACAAGCATGAACCCGGCGGGCAAGTGAGGGAAAATCCGACGGACCGACCGACCGACGGACGAGCTGACCCACAGAGCGATCGACAGAGGAGGAAGGGTACAGAGCAAAGAGCGCTAGCTGGTCGAATGGCTGCTCGACTAGCGTGTTGGCTGACTAGCAGACGATGTCGACTCAACACAACATACCGAAGCCGTAGCCCTTCTCAGACTTCATCTCTCCGAGCTGCAGCTGACTGCCGAGCTAGCTGCTTATACTGAGTACTCGAACGCCGGAGGGTTGCAGCTGGTGAATTTTGTGTGTGTTCCCGGCCAGCGACCAGTTTCTTGGAGGGATTGATTGCCCGACCGCCTTCCCCTTCGCCTTCTTGCTAAGCTGCTCGTCTGACTGTCAGAAGAAGTTGTGTGTAGTGGATGAATTTGTCAAAACGCTGTTGCTGGCGAGCCATCAATTCACCATGTCTTAGTGATTAGCAGATGAGCTCATCCTCGGGTCTACGGGCCCAGAGCGCTTCGCGACTCCCAGGAGCTCACTGCTGATAACGTCGTTGAACAGAAATCGGCGTTGATGCGCCGGAGTGCGGGCTGCAGCAGTTTGGAGTGTGCCGAGGAGTTGCCGAAAGAAGCCGCTGTTGTTGCCGTTCGCGAGGAAGAAGATAGGAGAATCGACGGCGACGTCAGAGGTGAAACAGCTGAGGTGCGCTTGCGGACCAAACAAACGAAAAATCCGAGAGTTCCTCCCTCCACGACTGCGGCAGACCAAGATCGCGGAGTGAACTCCCAGGATACACCAACAGACATGGAGCAGATTAAAGTGATTCACAAGAGCTCGACGTTCAGCAACTTCGGTTCGGCGTCGAAATTCTCTAACTGGTTGAGCTCATTGACGTCTGAGAATAGGAGTCGGAGCAAAGTGAAGAACTCGAAAAGTCTCAGTGAGTACAACACCGACGATTATTTGTCGTTATTACCCTGTAATTGACTTCCACGCGGAAGCTGCGGTTTGCAGCTCGCATTCCGACTCGAAGACATCTCGGGGCAAGCGCTAGCTCGTCCCGTTGAAAAGAAAGTTATCGTACTCGTGCCGCGTCCTGGCGGAAGAGCGCGGATGCTCGATAATTTTTTGAGCTTCTCGATTGATATCATTTTCGATATCGCCCTATCGCTTCATTGATTCCGCTCCGAATCAAGTTCTCTTTCCATTCGGGTTCCGTGAGAAAAAAGCTCAGCGCGGGAGAGTCCCGAGATTCCTGCGAATCTACAGAGAAGTAGGTCTTGGACGCTCGTGCCTAGGTCCTCGAGGGCTCCGTGATTCCCGGAAAGCTCGATCATGGGTGCGTCTTCGGTCGGTATCGAACTCTATGTTATACTCGGATTCAATCTGTTATAGGTAGAAGACTTTCGCCATTATCGGCGGGACTGCGTTCAGAGTACGCTTGACTCAGCGAAGAGGCTCGTAGCTACCAGACTGGGTGAAGGTCTCATGTGGGAAGACTCGCCGAGCCAATCGAACACGGCGAGGCGACACAATTTTTCAATCGTCCTCAAATTCGTTCTCGAGAGCCCTCGCTATAGGGAAGGATGGGAGATTTTGCTTACTATCAGCTCCTGACCAAGTGTGGGAAAAATGACGTGGTAACCCGTCGGCCACGATAGCTCTCCGCCTCTCCCTCAGCGTCGTTGCACCCATAAAGCTCGTCATAGAAAGCCGCAGTTTCCAGATGGCATTCGCGGACAAACCATTCGATGAGTCCGACGGGCGCCTATGAAGACTTATCGCGGATGTAGATCGGAGTTCCTTACTTCATATCGGTCCGTTACCACCGGCTGATTCGAGATTCCGACGCTGGAGGCGTTTTTCTACGAAGAGACATCAGTGACCATCTTCGGGAGATTCCGTGGGAAGGCGGGGGATAACTCGAATTCCGGAAACGTGTGACTCTATTGAGCCCGTTGCATCATTTAGAGTTTAGAGTGTGTGTACGAGTGATTTCCGAAAGGCCAAGGCAGCAGTGAGTGTTTCTCTTCTTCTTCATCTCCATCTTGTAGCTCCTCTCGTGAGCGGCAGGTCCGTTGTAATAGAGTCTTATCTTAGAACAGTCTGACGCATTCTAGACTCTACAACTGCTCGTCATTGAGTCGCGGTGTTTACTACATAGTGCGTGCCTGTCGAGCGCCGAGTGGAGTAACACAGCTAGATCCGAAAACAAGTTGGAATTTTTCAGCCTGATGAATCCTCGGCTGTGTCCGGCTAGCATGCCGTGAAGCTCGAGGGGAGCCATGCGTTGCTCGCTTTACGTCCCGACCACGGTTCTTCATCCCCGGGGTCGTTGCTGTTTTCCATGGGGACGGTAACCTCGAATCATCGGCCAGAAATCATAGACTTGAGGTCTGAGGTTTTTTTTAGGCTCGGGGACGATTCACTTTGTGCAAAACACCGCAGAGCATCGATGCTAATGTTCTGGCGGACGGAATGGACAGCGCCCCCGACCTGCCAGTCACGGTGTCGGGAACGTGCTCCGCTCCAGAACCGACGTCAGGGAGAACTATCCCGCTCGATTCTGGGAGGGTTCCTATTTAAAACGCCGACTTGAAGCAAGAAGCATTGTCCTCAAAGAATCAATCCTATGCTGTTAGCCGCGGCGAGTAGCTCATGTGTTATATGTCCATGTGGGTTCCGTGCTAATAGTTCCTGTGACCTCGGCACGCAACCTCTGAGAACTCTCGCCGGTCACCGTCCGCGCTGCAGGGACACAGTGAGCGGCTGTCATCCTTGTCGTCACCGTTATTATCATCGTTGACGCTCTCGCTTCATGCGGAACCCCGACAGGTCGGATTGGCGGAATCAGTTCAATCCTCCTGCGACGAATGGGCGTTAGGAATCCGAAGTTCGGAGTCCCTGTCACCCACAGATCGAGTTCCGCTAGGCTCGCTTCCGCTAGGTACCTACCGAATTCGCGAATATCTGTTTCACTCTGCATTTGAGATTGATACACCGTATGTTACCTCCAGATTAGGATCCGTGTTGACGAGCTTCTAAAGAAACAGGTCTCATCGGGCGAATTATTTTCGGTTCCGAAAAGCGAAGGCGGATGATTGTAGGAGGCCGAGAAAGTGGAAAAAGTAGAGGTCTGCTATTGTAAGACGCCGACGCTGGTGGAGAAATTTGAATGAGCCAGGCGAGCGCGCGAACAGACGACCTAGACGCCGCTCAGCGAGTACCGTTCTTTGAGTTTTTGACGTTCATAGTCAATGAGCGGCATCGTTCACTCTTGTTCCCCTGACTCATGCAGATGACAGCACGGCTCGGGGCGTCTTCTTCCAATCCAAGTCTAGGTTTCTGCGGCCGTGAACTTCTTTTTCCGTGATGTTTACTTGCGTGTTTGTGTTTACTTTTTTTACTCTTTTGTTGTCTTTTGGGTGTCCGATCGACAGCGAGCATGAATCGTAATGTGTGTCAAGATCCGCGTTCCAGCGTCCGGCGGAGTCCCAGAATATTTTGGAAGTATTCTTCGAACATTGTTGCAGAACTCTGGCTCCGAGCCGTTCCGACTTCCATGTCAACAGATGAACTCTTTCCCTGTTGAACTCATGAATTTCCCCGAGTCCTCAGCTTGGTGAGGCGCGACTCATGCTGCAGAAATTCCCAGAAAGAGTTATAGCTATATGATCTATTTTCTATAGATCTCGCGGTTTCCACGGCGCTTATCTAGACGAGTATGACCTTCGTTTGCGGCCCACGAAGTCACTCGCACCACTCTGCTATGAAAGTGTATGCTACGCTTAACCGCTGACTAAACAAGGAAGGCATCCGATACGAATTGATGAATTATTGAAAGACTTGAAATTCGAGTGGAATGAGCGGAATTTGAATTCCTGGCCCGAATTCCGCATTGACCCAAAGTCGCTCTCGATTGGTATATTCATGTCATTCACCCATATTCTTGCTCGAAATAGATTTTTCTCAGATGGATTCGTTGAATTCAGAAGATTCCCGTTCCCTCACTTGTCGTGTCCGGTTAACTATCATCGATGCGATCATCCGTGCTGCATACTCAGCGAATCGTGATCGGCAGTCATATTATCAACGCAGATCTCCTGGAGCTCTCTTCCGCGGTGCTCTATGCAAGTCGCAGCCGTGATCCGTTAGCTCAAGCATGCTTGGCTCCGTTCTTTGGGATCATGCGCGATGCCCGTGGTGGGTATATCCGCTCTGCTCCGCGAGAGCTCAGAGCTCTCACGGAGAGTTTTCCAGTCGAAGCTCCATTTTCTAGTCTGTACAGCTGCGATGATGCCTCCTGCCCTCATTGCACCATCATCGTTTGCGGTCGGGTGTTCTCCGTTGTCGACGACTTTCGCTTCCGTCCGACAACAAGCGCGCGCGCCTCAAGCGACGTCGCCTTTCAACAATCTCACACATCATCGCAATCGTGCTATCATAATCGTAACCGTGACCCAATGGTCCGCGGTAGGGGTCACTCGCGGTCTGTGCCTCACGTGTCCGGACTCGTGATTTTGCTCGCTCACTCAGGCAACACCGTCGAGCGTCTTTGAGGAGGTGAGGGGCTCGGTGTTTGATGGTGGTGGCGTCGAACGGCGAGTCCCACGAGCGAAATCCATGGGTTGCATGAATCGGAGGAATCACGTGGCGACCGACGCCTTGGCGTTTCTGATTCTCGTGGGACACACTCGGATTGCAGTCACCGTTGAAGCAATAGATAAATCTTAATAGACCAAATAAGTCCACTGAGGTGGCTCACCGCTGTGCAGGGTATACACACGTAGTACGTTCCACTGCTATGTCACCGAGCCGGGAGTTCGGGGAGATCACTCCCTGAGTTCGTGTTGTCGGAAATAACTTGGCCCTTCGCGTCAACCACAAGTGACACGCTACCTCGATTGGCAGGCAAATGCAACAGCGGGGAGCGCTACCGATCCGATAGCTATCTGCGCGACTCGGGGTTTCTCGATTAGGCGGGAGAAGACAGGGTTTCGGTCTCGAACAAGGAAGATGGCCGAGGTCGCTGCCTGGTCAAAAGGAAGCCATCATCAGGGTGGCGTCGAGATAATCACTGATCGAGCAGACTGAAGGTGGAGCTCGCCAAAGATAAAGGTTACCGGCGTACCGTACAATGGGAGAAGACTTCTCGGCAGAAAAATTGCTTCTCGAAAAAATCGGGGCTTTCGACAGGCAGGCTCCGCTGTAGGGGAATCTCTCCGCATCTAGCCTCGGAGTTAGAAAATGATCCATCCCGGCCGTAGCGCGGTCGGTGATGTTGAATTATCAGCGATGCCCGCGAGCCCCGGCTCGCTCAGTATGGAAATGCTACCAGGCAAGCACGCTTGCTTGATGAATGTGTAACACTCCATACAACATGAATTTGTGTATCCGTGCATGTACTTCCGGAAAAGCCCTCCGATAGTCCAGAGACGAACAAGTTGTAGGGGCCTTCTTGCTCACATGCACATGCCATGGTTGAGCGCCGTCTGAAGAGAACTCTCGACGCTTGTGTCGGAGCGAACAAATTCTCAGGATGAGGGAATCGGTTTCTGTGCTAAATCCGCTAGGATTCAAGTGCTTCCATTGAAGGAATCATCTGTCATACTGCAACAACCCCAGGGATTCTCTGATTTTCTCAATCATCTGGAGCGCCGCGATTTATTCTTGAGTGAAGCTACGCGATTCAGAGCTGACATGAGGGCCTCGGAGAGTCGTTTCGGCTCCGAGTTTCGACGCTTGCTTGCGTTCTCTCCGAATTTTTCGATGGAGTTCCAAAATTGTGGGATTCGCGTCCGGCTTTGAATTCATCCCTTGGGCACCCGACTGCCGGAGCTCATTCACCTCTGGTCCGCGTATCAACACCGGGAACGCGAGTCGGCCGAGCCGTATTCGGCGCGAGCTAGATCTCGGCGGCGGCGAGCTCATTAGGATTGCAATCTCCGTAGTGCTTGCGAACTCCGCTGCCGGGAAGCTTATTCCGATGATTGTCCACAGAAGAGCCGCATACTCTATGGGATTGCAGCTTCCCTGGACATATGAACAGGAACTGTACTTTTTAGGGAGACGAGCCATGCAGACTTATGGTCTCTCCATGTAAGAGAACCCTGTGAGCCCAAATGTGATGGGATTAGAGGAGGTTTGCGCCGGGTACGTGATCGGGGATGCTCAATAATTGTCTCCGATGCCCGTGAGCACAGGCGCGTCGGCTGGAACCCCTCTACTCTCTAAGGAGAACCCTGCCGACCGTTGAAGTACTGGTGCTACGTTTTTTCGCGGACGGAAACTGTGCGATTGGTCCCCTGGGGTTCCAGCGTTCGCTGCAGAGGGACGTCGAAATACAACGTGGCCAACTCTAAATTCAGGCCTAAATGCTTCTGTGGGAGAAGAAAGGACTTGCTGCTGCATTGTGGTGTCAGCCAGGACATTGTTCGAGATTGAGCTCGAAAGATGGGGAGGAGACGCATCCATCGTCGAATCTCCGCCGGGGGCGGAACCTTTCGACGGCGAGATGCGCGGGCATCGAGGAGCATCTAAATTGACTGATGCCTGTGTCGGCTCCCGCGTGCGACAAATTGGAATCCGTGCGGCCGACGAGGCATTTGGGGTCCTCGGATCGCAGCAGTGTACGATGGGTCCCCACGAGTCTCCACGACATCTGAATACGTTCCTTAGTCCCGTGGGGACTCCCAGGGAATAGAATAGACAGGAGAGGAATTTTCCTACATACTCCGTGCGGTATCGAATCTTGCTAAGCTACTCCACAAGACGCTCCCGATTGTCACTGTGCCGATCAACCGGCGCCGCCGTTTCCGAAGTCCTCCAGGAGCGATCTTTGCGATGAAGTCTGCGGACTGGCAGGCGTCGGCGATTATGACACGAAATAAAAGATACGTCAGCCGCTTTAAGCGTCGCTCACAGCGCCGCTGTCCCCGAGGCTGGACGTGTCGCTACAGACGCTATCTCAGTCTGTTGTTGGACTGTGATACATGTATGGGCCGATATCGGTGTCCCTTTATCTACGAAGGTTATATCTTCCGATGCTCGCATTGACTCCAGATGCGCGTCCCGTCCTCGACGAGATTTTCTCGAGAGCGAGTGAGATTATGTGTCGATTTGCCGCTCATGAAAATTCGAAATGCTCGGAAGGCATCGCAAAGGTAGCCGCTTCATCGATCCTTTCTGAGCTCGAGTCGAACGGTATGATACGCGCCGATTGGCACCGTAAATAAAACGAGCTCTCGCATGAGTACAGCGCTGTTCCGTCGAGAGGCTGCGAAGCGAGGAGATAGCTGCGGTTCCGCTAGACTCCATTTGCGCTTAGCTTTCCGAGGGAAGTTTTGAATGGTTCGCATGCAGAGAGGAGCTCTGAACTCGGCTCTGACATTAGAGGCAACGGAGGTGGAGGCATATTTCATAGCGGGAGGAGGAACGATGAAATATTCGCAGTTTCTCTCGGAGCGTGAGGAAATTGGTCGGCATTGAGCTGCTGTGCGTGGGGAGACCTCGGCTCGGCCCGAGTCTTTGTCGATGGCCTCCTTTCTCGATGTTGTTTATCCTCCTTGAATGGAACCACTTCCTCTGAGGGTATTCAGACGGGGCAAGCTCACACCTCTCATAGGAACAGCTACAGGCTGCTCACTTCAGTGGCGAATCCCGTAACGATCGACTCTTTTGAAATGATGGCCGTCTCGCGGAACTCCGACCGAGCGTCGTAAAGGGACTTCGGTCGTAATGCGTAGGCAAGCGGCACGGACGATCAAGTCTGCGTGTTTATGGATATGCTCGTCGTCAGGGAAACGCCACGAGATCGCCTCCGAGAATCCCGGGCGGGTGGGGTGCCTGTCCAGGATAGTTCCTTGGTTCGAATTTGTTCGCGGCCAACGGAACTCCCCTACGATGTTTCTGGTTCTCGGCGAAGGTAATCCGTGAGCGAGCTCTATGATCATGTATCCGACGACGTTCGAATGTTCGGCCTACGTTTGTATGCCGAGTGAGCAGAGGCGGAAAATCCGTGTGATGGATTCACGCGGAATGGATCCGCCACATATGTATGTCGAATCAAACCCTTGTCGGCACGTACGGACACTCGAGGCGGAGAGCCGTCTGCGTCGCTCGGCGAGCCCTCCCGGCGAATTATCGAACTTGGAACGTTTCCCGATTAGATGGTATTGAGCAGGACTGGAATCGGTCCTCAGATTGCTCAGTTCGATCTGCGGTTGAGATAAAGTGCTCTTCCTTCTCTCGTGGTTCCTCTCATGTCCGCACAAGATCGGACGGAGCTGAGAATAAGCCAAATTCCGATCCAAATTATGGACAAGTAAGAAAACGAACTGTTTGTTGCAGGTGTGGTGCACGAGCACCCTCGAGTGATGGGCTCCGATGGCGAAAGCGAGGAAGCTTCGGGAGCATCAGATGATCTCGTGCAGAACAATCATCACAAAGCTAACGGAGCAGGCCCGGGGAGCAATCAAGCACCAGTCCAAGTGAGTAGAACTCTTATCCTCTGGGATGAAGAAAGACATCCGAGTTGGCTGAAGCCTCATTGGAAGTCTGGAATCCCCCTCCAGGTCCGCATGCGTCACAAAAACGTCTCACGGGTATCCAAAGAAGACATCTCGAAACGACTGTCGCTACCTGCTGACCTACACTTGCCGGAAACTTTTCTCGCCAAGAGCCCCGTTTCCGCCATTCTCGAGGGACCCCTCACTCGGAATATTCGTCGACAGAGTTTGGTAAGCAGAGGATGCAGGCGATGGATTCCGGCAGCTGGATGTTACCTCGCAGCAGCTAGGATGTCGCTGATGTTTTTCCTCCTTGCAGGCTGAAATTGGGTTCGGGCGAAGCGAGACGTACACAAAGTTAGATAAACTCGGCGAGGGAACCTATGCCACCGTATACAAAGGCCGATCCAAGCTGACCAATAACCTCGTCGCTCTCAAGGAAATACGGTGAGTTCCCGTCTATTCGTCTCTTCGGGCAAACTCCCATCCGGTTGAACCGAGGCGGTAATCTACTGATTCCTAGAGGGAACTTGTGTCCGATACGTTGACTGAAGCGCCATTTCTCCCGCAACCCCTCCTAAGGCTCGAACACGACGAAGGAGCACCCTGCACAGCGATCCGGGAAGTTTCCTTGCTGAAAGACCTCAAGCACAATAATATCGTCACACTCCATGATGTAGTGCATACAGAGAAGAGTCTCACACTCGTGTTTGAATACCTCGAGAAAGATTTGAAGCAGTACATGGAGGACCATGGTAACTACATGACCACGAACAATATCAAGGTGAGCCTCACGTGGCCATGAATTATAAGGATTCTATGTGAGTCGAGGAGTCTTTAGCGCACATCACAGAAATATTTGGAGAAGATTTGTGAAATCACGCTCTTCTTGCAGATTTTCCTCTTCCAACTCCTAAGAGGCTTGGCTTATTGTCACAAGAGGCAAATACTCCATCGAGACCTGAAACCACAGAATCTGTTAATCAATGAGAAGGGAGAGCTCAAGTTGGCCGACTTCGGTTTAGCGCGAGCCAAGTCGGTTCCCATCAAGACGTTTAGCAATGAGGTTGTCACGCTTTGGTACCGGTGAGTGAACCTCTTGTTTCGTTCGCCCGGAGAGCAGTCCTCAGCTCCCGGCGGTCCTCAGAGAACCATCAGCGGAATGATTATGAGGGTCAGGGAGAACGCTAAAGGAATGAAAACTAAGCCCGCGATGTCTTTTCAGTCCTCCCGACGTCCTTCTCGGGGAAACAAATTACAACACATCGATCGATATGTGGGGCGTGGGCTGTATTTTCTACGAGATGGCCGACGGCAGACCTCTATTCCCAGGGATCGACGTTAGGGATCAGCTGGAGAACATTTTCAAGGTAAAGAGTCCTCACCCCATACCTGCTACCCCTCTTCCTGAGAATCGAGCCTCCGAGTCCGCGTCGACTTATGCGAATCCGAGCCATCGCATTCACGCGGAGCACCTGTTTCAATATGTGAGCTTTTGTATTTTAAGGTACTCGGCACCCCGACGGAAGAGAGATGGCCAGGAATAATGGAGAACGAAAATTTCCTGAGATATATGTTTTTGAGTCAGTCAGTAGACATTCATAATAGAGTTCCCAGACTAGGTCAGGATGGTATCAATCTTCTCTTCGCACTCCTCCGGGTAAGTTTACTGCATCCTTCGCGCTCCATCATGATCCATATTCTGGCTATCCACGGGGCGAATTACATGTACCACTCCATATCATACTGCTATAGTACCCTGCATGCAATGACCCTTTTTCACGGAACGTTCAGAAATGATTGAAGCTCTTATCATTCATTGCAGTACGAGCCGAAAAAACGGATCTCAGCAGCGGAAGGCATGCGGCACCCCTACTTCGATTCTTTCGGACCGAATATCCTCAAGTTGCCGGATACGGCCTCAATTTTCACCCTGCCCGGCGTAGCGTTATCTAAAACGAGTCAAAACTCGCGGATCGAGGCTAAGAGACATTCCTTGCTAAGTCTATAGTGAACTTTCATCGCCAAGAAACGACCGACTCGGTGCTGAGAAATTTGTGCATCAAGGGACGACTTCCCATGCTCCAATCAATCGAATTATGATAACCGCCAACCCTTCAGTCGGACTTCGACATCGACGGGTCGACTAAGCCGGGAACGAGCCCGAAGTGAATATTGTCCGAGCTGAAAGAAATTCTCAAAACGTCCGCTGGATAACCTTGAAGAAATGTATAAAGGTTTTTGATACCCTGTACTACTGTACATAGGCAGAATCCGTGCAGAGCTCAATCGAGCGAACATATCTACCATCCGTGGATTCCGTTTCCCACCTCACCGTAGACCTGATGGCGATGATGACAGGAGCAACATGACCGCGATGATCATCGACCGGAGTGATATGACCGTCCGCCTGGTTGACACACTTGATTGTTGATCACGTATCTTCTAGCTCAATTCTATTCGACCAAGCACGAGATTCGAATTGGTGCGAACATACCTTTCTGCAGTGTAAGTGCAGAAGAATCGGACGAGAGAGATAGAACTTTGTGTAAGCCTTTTGATACTCCCGGCACCGAATCCGATGTTTCTACAGCCTCCCAAGAAAGCTAAACCATTCCAAATCGAGTTTTCCCTTCGTCATCTTGTTCTCGAGAACCCAAGACAAAATCGCTGATCGACTCGGTACTGAGGAAGAAGGAGCGATCGAGCGTAAAATCAGCGCGTGGTGGTTCTGTCCCGGGAGATTCCCCCAGAACGGAAATCTTGCGCGAGTGATTCCCAAAAGGGTTCCTTGAATACAGACACTCCTCGGTGCAATGAATTCTCTAGTTGATGAGTTCCTCAAGTGTGCGCTCCAGATCCGGGAGCTTGCTTTACGAATGTTTCGAGTTGAGCGCAGCTCGTTCGGCAATACCGGCTATGCTCAAGACATGAAAGGCTACCGCTAATACGTGTCCCCGTCCGTGAATGCATAGAAATAGGAAGAGAAGTCTGGAATGGGAATGAGAGTTTGGAAGTGGAAACAATTTTGCTACATTCGCGTTGAGAGGGAAGTGACGCTAGCGCGCCTCAACTCAAGCTCTCGGCACACGTACTCCCGGTGTCCAGTTAGCCTCTCGGTGGATCCCTAGCGATTGGAGTCGGAACTCAAAAGAGTGAATCAAATTATTGCTCTTCGCTCATCCTGGGAAGGACTATTATGGAGCACTTCTACATACGTTTGCGGCTTTCAAACGTCATATCAGCTTTGGCCGCTTGGATATTTTACATTCTCCCCTCTAGCCACATTCCTCCAGTTGTGGGAATGGGCTTGGAGCCAGTTCATTTTCGGGGAGTCGTACGGGATTCGTTCTGAGAAAACCGAACCGTACGCACCCACTGCCATTCGTAACAGAAGCTTGTCATTTCGTTCGCTGCCCAGATGAAGTTCGCTGCGCAAAACCCAAGTAATCGATGACCGACTCTCCCCTGATTATATTTATCGCTTCATCATCGACGATTTGACTCCTGCAGTCGTGAACAAGACCCGCTCGACTCGCATAGGATAGAGAATCACCGTCCGCGTTCTAATTCCGCCTTGGAAACGATGGCTCAACACGAGTTCTCTCAGAAGGCCAACGTTTCCGAAAGGTCTTCAACTTTCGTCGAGTTCGCGAAAGATATGCAATGCCGTCCATTGTTTCGAGCGATTCCCTCGAATTTCCTATTTACTGGAAGCTGCAAGTGAGAGTGGAAGAGAACGGTGTGCAATCCTCAGTCATGAGAAGACGACCCGAACCTGGACCCTATCGTATCAATGACGTTGAGATATTCGATCGAAATCGGCTTATATTGGAAGTATTCGATTGCGCTCGGAGCTGACTCGGCCTGTTCAAATCCGTGTATTTCTGATCTGGGAGAACGAAGGTCCGGAATTATGGAAAATAATGCAGCGAATAAATTATTCTTACAATGATTATTCGGTCGATATACTGGCTGCTTGGGGTCTCATGGGAAATCGGCGAAGTCAGAAATTCTTGTCTTTTCGTCTGAGGAAACTGTTCCCGACATTCCGTACCGCTTCCATCTTGATCGAGATGACTGAAGTATGATCTTGCGACCTGAAGGCTCTTAGTTAGCAAAATTTTGTACATAGAATAAATTTAGCTGTTTAGAAAAGAGAAGAGAACGGAGATCTGTAGCGACTGTACTAATGAGCGAAGCTTATCACGAACCCTCGGGAAGGAGTTTTCACAGCGATGTGATTACTGAACTAAAATAAATGTCTTCATTGAAAACTTTCGTTCGCTCTATCGAATCACGTGGACGCTCGCTGAAAATGCAGCACGCAGGAGCGATTCGGATGACCGCGTCGAGGAAGAGGGAAACTTGAGCAAATTGGAGAGCGGTATTTCTTTGGACAGCCTTGGAAAATCCTGAATGCTCCACACGGGACCGGTATTACCGAAGCGAAAAGGCATCAACGCGGAACGCTTGAGCTGAGGTAAGAAAATTCACGACATTGGAAAGATATTCTTGCGGAATCGCAGAACTCGCATTCCTCTCCTGATCGAGAACGCCTGCGGCCTTGCATACGCTTCGCGTGAATGAGATCCGAGTCACCAGTATGTATAGGCGCTCCTTTGGGAGATGAAAGACTCCCTTCTTCCGATTTCGTGTCTAGTTTTTGGTGTGGATGCCTTCCGCAGCTCATGTCAGACCGCTCGTGTCGAGGATACCACGGCCTGGGGTGAAAGTCGTAGGGGAAGTCCCGGATCGGGAAGGATACTTTTGGCGGATGGAGGATTCGATTCGAGTGATTTCGAAGCGTTAGCACTCCGGACGCTCGAGAATCCATGGAAAACTCACACGAGAAACAAACGAATCATTTTTTATTGAAGTGGCTATTCAAAACTTTCTGAACTTTCTCTTCCAACATCGGGCTTTCGCCGGTCTTACAATTTGTCACAACTTTCTGCGCCCACTCAAAATATGCGTTCACTCGATCCTCTGTCCAGCCCTGGAAGAATTTCCGAGAATTTCAAGGGTCGTCTTGACGTATGAACCATATTGGTCGTCGCTCTGTAGAGATTCAAAATGCCGTTTTCCCAGCCGGAGAACATACTTTGGGTGTGCATCTTTGGAGATCCTCGAGATTGTAAAGCTTATCGGCCAGTTTGATGAGTTTCGCTTTGGGACTCGCATGGAGCGCATGCTCAATCTGCAGTTCTTTCCGTTTCATCTTCGGCAACGACTTGTCGTCACTGACCTGAAAATCGAGACAGAATTCGGCCGGCATTCCTTAGACGGTGGTCAGTCTTCTGACACCTGATACCAGGTGGAGCGAGATCTTCAACCAACCTCCCGGACGAGAGCTTCCACTTCTTGTCCAAAATGGTCTTTGATCTCTTCGAAAGTGGTATCGGTATCCTCGACCGTGTCGTGGAGAACGGCTGCACAAAGTAGAGCCGGGTCCGATAGACCGCAATCCACCAAATGATTCGCCACACCTAAGATCGGGAGGTTATTCGGTCTATCCAAGGCAGGAAACTTTTCTCGGAATCTCCGGATGAAAAGAGGTAGGCACTCCCACAAGTCTCTCACCAAGCGGATGATTGATGTAAGGTGTTTGCGCCTCGTCTTTCCTTCGCTGATTTGTGTGCTTGACCGCAGCGAAATGGCATGCTCGCACAAAATCCGAGAGCCCGGAAGCACTCATCCTCGCGGAAGAAGAATGTTTACGCTTTCCTGCGACAACTCGTGAAAAACTGTAACTATTCAGTTTTTGCCGCTGTCTCCGGACATGCTCGAACGAAATTCGAATATCACGGAGACCGTCGAGCGCATGTCCCCTCGCCGAGCGACCCTTTCCACGCTCTCTAGTCGGACAAGCTTCGAGACCAACGAACGAAGGTTATGACGCCCGCGTGCCGGTCGCAATGCCTCCCAACGCATGGTTCGAGACCGCGTGTCAATCAAAGATTCGGAAAATGCAGAAGCAGAGACGCAGAGCCGAAAATAGTCGAGCCCTCTGATGAGAGAATACGCGAGTAAAATACTGATTCCCGTCGCCGCTCCCCGTGTCTGCACGCACTCCTGAGTCATCAGAGACTCATGAGAGATATTACCGTATAAGAGACTCATCGCGGATCCCGTCTCCATGAGATCTCGTTTCGAAGGTCTCGCTTCCAAGAAACTGAAGGCAGCTTTTTCACTTCGGGTCGATGATCCGTGATTTGGCATCTACGAGGCGTCTTAGGTGAACCGTAGGATGTTTGGGCGAAACTGAGGAAGTCGGCATTTTGTACAACTTCGAAAATTCAAATTTCGTTTGACCGCGTGTAACAATAAGCTAAGTCGGCTATGAGCTATAAAGAAGTCCGATAATATCTCATGAGCTATCGCAGGCTGAAATCAGTAAAATCATTTTCTTCTTCTACTCAGCCTTATGTTGAAGACAAATGAGTCTTCACGTTCAGAGGAAGAGAGAGTCACTAGTTCGGCGAACGCCTCGAGATGGAGAAACTAAACTTTGTTCGAGTCGATCCTATATGATCGATAAAGTGAAGAAGCCGTGAAGAAGCCGAGGAAGAACTGGGGTTCACGATCACTCCCGAGATGATCGTGGCTCGCGGCTCAGTTTTCCAAGACTTTGGCTGCAGTTAGGATTGCTGCGGCAGTCGCGAGCGGCACCAAACCACCGTAGTTGCCCTTCTTTTCCAGTGCGCGCTGAATCCGGTGGAGTACTTTGATACCGCGTCACTCAAATATGGCCTCGTTTACTTGAGATTATCGAAAATTACAGGAGAGGTATACACACGCAGACACGCGTTTTGTGATGTGGGCAAGGAAACAATGCAACAGTGTCAAATTGGTGCAACTGACGGAACATTTCAAGCTCCATTTTCGCGTTTTATAGAGTGGAAGGATAGATACAAGGGGACCTCTCACGGCATGTCGGAGAACAATGGAAGGAGCACTTCAATGCCTCATCGAGTCGGGCCCGGCTTTGGAATGTTCCCCGATTTGAGGCACGATTAGCTCCTGCATAGCCAGGGTGATTCCATTGGCAGCCCATGTCGGTCTGGAGGAGCGCTTCAATCTATATGGGGACCGCTTGTCGCTCTCGAGGGAGCGATGTGGAGTTCTTCCTTCACGGATCCACTTTCAGTCATCATCCGTCCCCGTTCCGATTTAAACCCCAGAAATTCGTGGATGTCATGGAAGCTGACAGGCCTGAACCCCGAAGTCAGGGTAGGGATCGCTGCGTGGCTCCGCTCAGAATTTGCGCAAACCCGAGGTCCAATCGTCAACATGCGGACCGATCGACTCCCCGAAAATAGAATCTGTATATGGTGGTTTGTAGTATTTCTACATCTGTCGAGCTGATCATCAAAGCCAATTCATTTCGAAAATGTCAAATCAGAGTTCTCCTGAGCGATTGAGCATACGAGGTGGAAAATAATGTTCCGTATGCTCGTTCCGTCTGAAAGATTGCAGCAACTCGGAAAGCAATGGATGAGGTGTCCATTTTAATCTCTCACTGAAACCACGGCACTGTTCTGCTGTAGCTACTGGATGGATGCCTAGTCGTTTCTGTGCTTCTGATCCTGTCCGCCCGTATCCTTGTTGACCGCTCACTTTTGCTTCACGGTTCTGAACTCACTGTTTGGAATCGTGTCACCAAAGGCCGATTTCACAAACATCTACCCATCAATGTTGGATGAAGGAATCAAAATTTTCTGGAGTGAACTTGACAGAGCGTGTGACATGGCAGTATTTCCTCTCTGGACGTCTCTTGCCGGATCCTCCGCTCAAAAACGATAAGCCTTGAGTTGGCAACCAGTCTTGCATGCGGCGCGGCGTCAAGAAGCCCTCCCTGCGCATATGTGTACATACCGAATATGAAAATAATGAGCATCGATCAGAACTTTAGAGAGATGCCGAGAGAGATGATTCTTTTTCGCGACAGAGTTTCAACATCCCCAGATTCCAGAATGATGGGGAACATCGCCACCTGGGCCCGACATCAGTATTTATTGTGATTCGAACCGACCCTCTCGGGCATTCACGAACATTTGCCCGACTTCGAAGGCGGGATGAGGTTCTTGGAACGAACTTTCAACTGATTGTGTTTCGAGAGAATCTTGTACAAACACCCGCCCGGAGCAAACGATAAGATTTTGGCTTCCTCTCTCTTCCGACACTGGAATTCCGAAAGTCGTTCTAAAGCGACTTTTCTCGTCTCAACAGATGCGTTCACATCACTGGGTGTCCTCCAGAATTTCGAATCCAACCGGCAGCGGAATCGTACAAAAAGGCGTGGTCGTTCAACTGTCCGGATGAATGTTTGCTCTCGAGATTGGAAGTATCATGTCGTGACGGAAGGCATGCTCTGAGTTTTCAAGAGACTATGCGAACAGATGTGCGAGATGCGATTATGTTCGCGCGTTTTTTTGTGGAAGAAATCTTTCGCGGAGCGTGAACTCCCGCGAGTCGAGCGTCCCAGGAACATCTCTCATTCGGACGGAATGGTGAGCTCCCTGTCGACGAGCTGTTCCCAAAGCCCGATCGATGAACGTGCATTATCGGCGGATTTGAGCAACGCCGATGCCTCATCTGAATCGACCACTCAAAAAATGAATAGTTGAATATGCTGTCGATTGATCCCCGTTCTCGGTGACTGGATGGAAGCAGGGGAGACTCCAGTCTCTCGTCTTATTAGTCAACAGCTATACTTCTGCTCATGACAACCTTTTGCAACCCATGATCTCATGCTTGTGCAGTGAGAGGGAGAATTTTTTCCCTTGCCGATCTTCAAAAGATGGCCTGTGGCGAAACTCAATCACATTTCGCCCATCGCAATTCGGGCTTATTCCAGAGTATCGCCCGGAACACGGACCCGTGGAGGATCGAGATCGCTTCTCGCTTCGCGCAACCATGTTCGATCGCAGTGGTGCTCAGGTGAGGTTCAGCGCTTGAATTCCAGGCGCACATGTTCATAGTGCTCCTAATCGGATTGGATATCTCCGCGCCGGTGCCGATCTCCCGTATCGACTTGTGGAACGTCGATTCATCACTCTGTCTCAGGAAAATGTCAAGAACGACTCCTTTGTCTAGAGGTTTCCATGGTCTATGGTTAAAACCCGACTGCTTGTCTGAGGCTTGCGATGTTGGGCTTGAGATTTAGTTGGGAAGCTCACCTCGGCTCGGATATCGATTTCCGGCCGAAGACCTTGCTAGCCCAACTGGAGAGTATGCGGGATATATTCCTGTCGATTCATTGCTGTAGGGGCAGAATTCCGCTTATTCCGATCAAATAGAGCTTTAGGTCTAAAAATCCGATCGGCTGGTGGAAATCGCATTTTTCGAGGGCGGAGCCGTCGTACGACGAACCATGCGTCCCCTTCCAGAATTTCGTCGTCGTTCTCCTCTGCGCCGCTCAGATGATTTCCCGGACATGCTCATTTCAAAACAGCATCCTGCACACTTCGGCCCCCTACAGCCCCTACATTCCTTTGAGAACTCAATTCATACAACAGGGTGGCGCTGGCGCTTCTTGGCAGTTCAGCAAGAGCTCGTACGTATATTCCGTATCTCCGATCATACACCCGATGATTCGTCGATTTGGAGATTTGAGAAAAAAAGTCGAAGCCATCTAGAAACTATAAACTCGATACTGAGTCGGCACAATCTCGGTGAAAGCTTCGGAATCAGAGCTCGCTGGGGGCTGCGAAGACTCCCTTCAGAACCCGAAATCATCCATCTCTCACGCGGATATTTTACTTACCCAGTGGCGTGCCCACCTGGGTCATCACGACCACGGTAATTGAAACTCGCAACGAAACTCTGAACGCAACTTCGACGAAGGATGAGGATTTACCGGTAGGTCCGAACCTACGCGAAGAAGCAGTAAGTTTTGCCTGATCCGACGGGAATCAGACCGGTCTCCAGAACTTTTCAGAGCTCTCCCTAACCGAATCTGAATGACCATATATTCCTCGTGCTTTTTCGCCGCGATTAGATGATGGCGGCCAACGACAATGAGGATCCCGACTTGGAGTTTCCGATTCGTCATGGAAAAGATCCAGCGGTTCACGCCCGACCTGCTTTCGCAGATCCGGATAAATATGAAGAGACGACTTCGGAAATGCACAATAAACAGAATCAGGTCGGTAAATCAAGAGTACCACTTGAAACGCGAGCACGCATCCTGCATGCTGAAGTTCCTTCTTTCCGCAGACGGAACCCCGGGTAATTGTGAACCGGACCACAGTGGTCAAGATCGAGTTCCACAACACGCCCTTCCTGCCTCTGGTTCTGAATGTCGGTGACGCCGTCGGTAGTACCGCAGCGAACAACATTTCTTCGACGGTGAGCTGGTCTTCGTTAATTTAAATGGCGAGCTGGATCGTTTCCATATCGATCCACTAAGCCTTCATCGAGGAAATATCTTTTCTCACAGGAACCGACTCCCCAGAGCTATTCACACATCAGCCACGCTAAGAATCTACCCACGTCACTCGCGCAGGACCCGAGTGCCTTCGCTGTGAGGGTCGGAGGAAGTCAGTCTTCACTTCAGAGCGGAAGTGTACATCGAATCGGACTGACACCTGACTCCGCCCATCGAGCGACGTCGGAACAAATTGTACCTGAAGTTCGCTTTCCAAGCTATGTGCCATTCGACCGGACTCACATCTCTCCAATGGCTGCCCAATTGCCTCAGAACAGCGTGGTCTATCCTTACGCACGTTTTCTGAACAGAAAGTAGACGGGCTCCGATTCGAGTCACGGGCTTTTCATTCCTCGGTGTTTGTTCTATGACGGAATAATAAATGGAAGAAGCTGGATCTTCTGTAGAGGAGAGGAATACTCGCGCGATTTCTTCTGATTTCGGAATAGATGTCTGGCGACGCCCGAGCAGATTTTGCAGGAATTTCTGAATGAATTTTTTCTCTGTGTCTCAGTCATCGAATTTCAATCCAGAGGTTCCAGCGAGACGACTTCTCACCAAAAGCAAGCGTCCGCAGGACCCAACGATTATACCGCTGAGGTCCCCCAGTGGCCTTGCCGGCGTCTTGTGGGAGAACCTATTTAGCGCGAGACTCCACGGATTTTTGCGGGACGTGGCACAATGTATCTCTGTTTCAGCAAGAACGTGCGGATGGCCGTCCCGTCGAAAGCCGTCGTAAGCAGTACTTGCCCGCGGCCGTGAGGATCCGCGGCGGTCTTCGTCTGAGACCTGTACCCAGACAGTCGGAAGCTGCACTCAGAGGTGCGATTTTCATTGCGTCGTTCGTGCGGGCTCGTTCTATTTATCCCAACTGGTGGCTATCTGGGACCAGTTCTGGGGCACGGGTGAGTGTCTCGACCAAGCAAGCGAGCGACCGACGATTTCTGAGAAGAAGGTAGAAAAAGGCAGGACGAGGCTCTTCGAATATTGGGCGGCCACTCCACGCCATCATAATTGCTTGACCACTGGAACACGGGGAGCACGTCCGAGGAGTGGTGGTCGCTTCTTTTTGGACGACATCGAACCATCGGAGACCGGATCCAAATGAAGAAATTGAGACTAAATTACCTTCGTCCAATAGAGACACGAATCAGAATACGGGATTCACTAGCGCAGATGGACGTCGGTCACCGCAGCAGCAGCGACCGCAGCCACTGCTGTCGACGTCGCGTCGGAGCAGCGCGAGCCGACAGCGATCAACGGTGAGCATGCGGAGCGTAAACTTCACAATGGAGCGCTCTTCGTCCGCTCACGTATCGAAGACTTCCAAATACGCAGGGAGGGCGTCCTCTCTTGGACATAACGATCTCGGGGCGAAAAATTAGTCTTTCGATCATATGGTCAATGCCCACGCTCCTCGGCTCGGGACTAACTCTTTACCCCGAATTCGATATTTCAGATGATCATTAGTTAGAGCCTGGACTTTTCAGGCAAAATGCCATAAGTGTCTATAACTCCCTATTTCCGTGTTTTGCCCGACATTTTGCCGATTTCTGGTTTTCTTCAGGCATTTTGCCTGTTTCGGACTTATTCCTGGCGGATGTCCTCTCAATTCGCTTTCTGCGCTCTCTGTTCAATCTATGACGTCGGGGAATGGATGGAGCAAGCGTCTGTTTTCTCAATCTCAGCCAATGGCTAGCAACTGCCGCGTCGTGCAACGTTGTCGTGCGAAGTGACGGCGCCACGGGCAAGTGCGATGGAGACCAGCCGAAACACGCACGCAGCGCGCGTGGCAGGATGGAGCTTTTCGCAAGGAGCTCGGACCAACCGTGCTGACAACTGACGGCAGAGTCCTCACTTGCAAGGTCTGCGAGAAAGAAGTCAAGTACGGAAAAAAAATATTTCGTGCAGCAGTATTTGAACAGCGTCGGACATAAGGACCGTGAGCGACGCTGTCAGAAAGCCACGCAGAGCGTCTGTCTTGTGACCAACTTTCTCGAATTCTCCACCAGAGCAAGTGTTTTCAATATGGATCTCTGTCAAATGTTGGTGGAAACAAATATACCCTTGTACAAGGTGCAGGATCCGTCTTTCAAGAACTTCATGTTGAAGTATTGCAAGGAGATCCTGCCCGACCATACGACGCTCCGCAAACATTACCTTAAGAAACTGTATGAGGGCACGATCCATCGGATACGATCCGCTATCGGAGACAAACGGATATGGGTCTCTATAGATGAGACCACCGACGCGAAGGGGCAGTACGTGGTTAACACAGTCATCGGTTGTTTGACTGCGGAGGAAAGTTCGACTCCATACCTGATCGATTCGGAAATCGTCGAGCGGACAAACCATGCCACCACTGCTCAGGCGTTCATGAACTCCTTGAATTTGCTCTGGCCAGAAGGTATCCAGCATAACAAAGTGCTGCTGTTCGTCAGTGATGCAGCACCTTATATGAAGAAAGCCGCTGCCGGCTTAAAGGTTCTTTTCCCGAATATGATTCACGTCACATGCCTGGCGCATGGAATCCATCGAGTATGTGAAGAGATACGTGTTCTGTTCCCGGAGGTGGACAGCATCATTGCCAATGTGAAGAAAATATTCCTAAAAGCGCCTCCTCGCATCCGAGTTCTTCGAGCCACGGCGCCAAACGTGCCCTCGCCTCCTGAGCCCATACTCACTCGATGGGGCACCTGGCTCTCCGCGGCTCTGTACTACGCGAGGCATTTGGAGGACATCAGACGTGTGTTAGAGGAGCTCGACGAAAGCGAAGCCGCTGCAATCAAGAAGTCCAAGGATTTGTTGCTCAATACGAGCGTGAAGTCACACCTCACTTTCATCGCTGCGAATTTCTCGGCTCTGCCCGACTACATCAAAAAAACTAGAATGTAGCTCGCAGATGCTGAGCGTGACGCTCAAAATTTTCAACGAATTCAAACAACGCATCAATGAGGCCGAGGGACCCAAGGGAGAGATGGTAAAGAGCAAACTGAAACGTGTCCTCCAACAAAATCCAGGGTTTGAAATTTTGACCCAAATCGAAAGGGCTCTCTCAGGTGAGGCAGGTGGCCCCTCAATCGCGGAGATGTCTGTCGCCGAAATTTCCTGTTTCAAGTACGCTCCTGCAGTCAGTGTGGATGTAGAGCGGTCCTTCTCCCGCTACAAATCACTTCTCTCCGATCGACGGCACGGTCTGACGCCGGAAAATGCCAAGTTTCACATGATACCGATGTGCAATGTAACTCCAGTAGAATAAAGAGCTCCCATTTCGTTACGAAATCACACGTATCATGTTCTTGCTCCTCCTCGGTCTAGTTCGGAGTGCTTTTTCTTTCAAGTTTTATGTGCCTTCCTTGCCTATTTTGCCTATTTTTCATGCCTATTTCGCAGATTTTTAGTTCCTTTTGCCTGCCTATTTTGGAGTTTTTTAGTGCCTGAAAGTCCAGGCTCTAAATCATTAGAAATCCTCAATTTCGGACACTCTGATATTTCGACTTCCGAATGAGGAGAGATTATAGGTCTGATTGCAGTATCCTTTTTTTGCGTTTCCATCACCTCACGGCGAGGGATGAAACTCATCGGAGGGGATCCCCTTGTTGATGTGGTTGTCGGTCTCCGCTCTTGCGGATGGGATAGACATGGAACGTCCGTACTTCAGGATCTCTATAGATTATTAGTATTCGGGAGTAGTCGGAGCAAGATTCACGTTCTCGCAGGTGGATCGCTCATGATCTACCGATCTCCTAAGAATCGGAAATAAATTACGCCCGTTGCTGACTGCGTGTGAACAACTGAAATTTCGGAGGGGGGGATGATAACAACAGAAAGACATGCGACAGAAAACTGCGTTCCCAATTGGCATCATGTCGAGAGACCGAGTCGCGCGGAAAGGTAGATGCGGTACGGTTGATTTATTTTCTGCATTCTTCCTACGGAGCAGCGAGAATCAGCGCAAAGACTTACTACGATTCAGCCACGAAGCACCGCCACGATATCTAATCATTTCCAGAAGTGTTGCTCCCCCTCCCTCATCTGTCCTCGGATTTTTTTCAGTTGTTATACATGACCTAGTGAGCGTCAACACCGGGGTTCGAAGCATGATTGTGGAGCTCCTCTTGTCCCTCTGCTGCTACTACTGCTCGCTTTCCTTCTAGCACTCTCTGTCTCCCTCATTTTCATCATCGTCACCATTCTCGTCGGCATCATATAAAGCGGAATGTTTCAAGCTTGGAATATTCGGAGAAGTCGAGTCGGAAGCCCCTGTAGAGAAATCCAGTGAGGATCATCAACGATGTCAGCGAAAGCCAGGTCGGTGACGAGACACCCGGGTCCGATCAGGGAGATCCTTTACTCAGAGTGAAGTAATTCTGAAATTACCGAGGTGAGCCGTTTGATTCAATCGACCTTGCATTCCTCCTGTGTCTGATATTCCGATGCTCATCTGAGAGCGATGGAGCCGCTCAGACTCGAATGGTTCCTCGATTTCCGAATGGGGAATATCCCCCGCGCTTGATGCGGAGGGGCGACCGAAATCTCGCGCGGGCACTCACCTTCAAAATGGAGATCGATATGACTAGAACTAATAGCTGGGATCAACACGCGGATGGTTTCCACAAGCGATGTTCGGGAACGAGAAATGTTGATTTCAGGATGTGCTGTGCCGGAGTGCTGCCACCACATCCCGTCAATCAAAACGCTGGAGATCGCTACCGTCGGGAAACTATCCCCCTCCACGCCAATCAACGTCCACCGACAGCGGCTTATCGTCGACCGCTCTGGATGAGACGGTTCCGGAAAGCCTGGATTCGATTTCCATTTTGCTGATTCATGATGAAGTCAGGGAGATCCACACCCATCATCACTGGAAATCGTGAGAAAATCGGCAGGTTTCAAAGTGATGAATTCGCATGCCTCAACACAGTCTCAATAGAACTCCTCGAGGATTTCGGATGAGCGACGCCTCTCCGCCGGAAGATGTGGCTTGCGCGTAACTTACCTCCACGTTTGAGAAAGCTGAAGGGGTGATTGGAATAGTCAGATCTGACCATCCTCTGGACGAAAGGAAATCCTTTCGAAGCGGTCAGAGTTGACGGACGTGTCAAGAAGGAAACATAAGGTCGGAGCATTACCGACTCAGACGGGACGGCGTTCCTGATGTGAATATTCAGTTTCAGACAGAGGATTATCTCATTCGATGTCTCTAGAGGCTGGCGGGACTAATCCATGGATTGCCGATAACAATGTTTCGATGAAACCTCAAGTCTCGATTGACCCGGAGAATAGCTCCCAATTTATTGACATGGATGCTCTACATCTGAATGAATTTGCTCGAACAACTTCTAGGGCAGCTCGGCTATTCAAACTTCCAGCATACGAGGAAAGACCTAGTCTATCCCAACGGTATCGGACCGCTTGGAGAATCCGAATAGTTCGGCCACCATGAGATCTCGGAAGCAAGGGTAGGAGCCTCAGGAGGCAAGCCTTGAGAGAGCATAGACCTCGTCGCCGCAGGAATTATCCTGCGCAACACGCTTTCATGGAACAAATTCTGAGCGTGACGCCGGAAAATTTGAGGGGAATCGAGATGAATCAGCGTCCGCGTGTGGGTCTGTCTTATCTGTATCTCGAAGAAAACCGTGCATGATACATTATTTTTCGCACGTGGATTACGCTGTCGCCACTTTCGTGGATGACTCGGGAGCGAGATCGGAATCGATAGTCGATGATGCGCGATGCGTGATACATCGCGAGTTTCAATAAGCCTTCGCAGGAATCTATGCTCTGACTTTAGCGGCAGTAAACGCATCGAATTCAAACACGCGCTGTCGATCGATAGAAGCCGGGGAAACGTGCGAAGGAAATGCCCGAGGCTAAGACTTGGTATACCATGTGACGTCCGAGTGGCGGCCCATTACTAACCAGGACGGTTTGTCGTCCTGAACGTTGGAGCTGCCTTCCTCTGAACCGGGTGCGTCATCTGAACCCCGAGTCGCGCAGGTACGGTCCACCAACGAGAGGGACAAGATGGCGACTGAGCATAAAAGCGCCGTGAAACGAGAAACAGCCGCGGATCTCATCGCGAGTCTTGGTGTGCTGTAAGAGAAGAGAAGGAATTAGCCCCCTTTGGTAGCAAAGACCCTTGAAAACCTCAAATTAGGCGTATCCTCAATCTAATTAGGAATTCTTTCCGCAATTTTCCTCGCTATTATGCACGCGAAACTGCCCACGGCTAAGTTATATGAGTGATGCCATTTGCAGCTCGGTTACGGGAACTTAAATGAGAGGCACTCAGTGAGGAAAGCCACCCATCCAATTGAATTATATACCAGGGGAAACGACCGAGAAATCCGGTGCTGAGACAAGATACCTTGAAGGCTTACAACGTATAGCTCACGAAGCGAACACGCTCTCCATCTATAGTACGGCCCGATAAAAAGACACGACGCCCGCCGTCAGACGTTGGCCTTCAGCAATCAGAGGTTACATATCTATAGATTCGAGCATTCGCATTGCTTGCCTTGACGCACCACGACAGGGATTGAGTCCGCGAATGACGGTCGCCATCAGCTATCGATTCTCGAGTGGCGGGACACAGCCAATCAATCAATTATTATTCACCGCATCGGACGGCGGGAAACCGATGGGAGATGATAATATAATTAGTGCAGGTGGCGTTTTTGCGAAGGTATCCTATAGGAGAGAAATATGATCAGAGCACTGATCGCGAAATCTCGGGATACCCCGCAGATAGGCAGCGCTCGACATTTTTTCCGAGAGAGCTTCCTCTTCCGATTCTGCCCGAGGAGTTGGCGATTTCCAGCGAAGCCCGCAGGCCGAATGATTGAGACAATGGTTGTTGGCTTGTGCCATACCCCAAGCCTGCGCTTCTCCCTGCAGTTGTGGCAGATAAGCGCGGCAATGCGGAGAGGCAGGTTAATGGTGTGATCATTCGCCGCGAAGCAAAATGACTAACAACTCGTCGAATAGTTCCTCTCACTCAATCGTTCAACCGGTGCGGTGCAGGGATTCCGATTGGCGGCGAATGCCCATTGGAGCCGCGAGGGTGCCGATTTGGGTGAATTTCGATTATAGCGGTCAGAACGATATTTCCTATCAATTTAGTTGATCTCCCCCTCCAGGGGGAAAAGCGTCTTTCCGCTCGATTTGGTGATCGAAAGCATTCGGGCATCAAATATTCGAAGTCCAGCTCCAGTCGGACCTCTCCTCCCCGAGCACCTTGACGAGACCGAAGTTCTGTCCGAGCTTGCATAACCGGCGCGCAAGTTAGGTCGTGAACTTCTCCCGATCGCACTCCCAGTATGCCACGACTCCATAGGATTCCGAATAGGCATCGAGGTGCGAGGGAGTACAAGCTCCGAAACGCGCCCTGCGGCTGCCGACAACGAGAGCATTGTTTCTGAGGGCCTTATTGATCTCAACAGCATCTGGTGAGATCGCTTCTGCTTAACATATCTCAGCGATAAATATCTCGACAAAGCTGCCTTGGAGTACGGCTTGAATGGACTCTCCACCATTTCCTACGTTTCCAGGGCAATAAGAGAGAAACAAAAAAGCTTTCCTGGGAGAGAGGAATAGAGAGAGGCAATCGGAGGACTAAGCCTAGCGGCGCGACAATACTCGTCCGACTTAGACGTCGAGCCTAAATTTTCGAGGAGCCTTCCTTCGTGCATGGTTTGATCTCATCCAATCGATGATCTCGGAGTGCTTCGAGAAAACTCGGGGAATGCTGCGTGTGGGCAGCGGAGCCCGAGTTGACCTCCGAGAATCCCTGTCGAGAAGTATGTGACGATCCCCATTGCTGAACGTGACATTCCAACATGAAACGAACGATAGTGAAAAGATGGCTGACGAAGCACAAGATTCTCATCGGCGTGGTCTCTTCTGTCATGCTTTTCTGGTACTGCAACGAGGTTTTCGGAAACGAGGACATTGTCTCGTCCATCGGATCGACTCCGATACGTCGGGTCGGGATCGATCCGGATCACCATCGGTGGATGGACAATAGCACGAGATACAATTATAACTTCAGAATGCTGGTGGAACCGCGCCCGGTGACCTGTCCTTCTCATCTGTACGCAATCGTCCCGTCAGCACCAAAGAACATCGAGAGGCGGAGGGCGATCAGACGAACTTGGGCTAAGGATGTGCAGTCGAGAGGAAACTCACGACTTATCTTCTCCTTGGGGAAGTCGAATGACCGCAAACTCGACATCGATCTTAAATACGAGCAGGAGACGCATGAGGACGTGCTCGTTTTCGACTTCGAAGACTCCTACGAGAACGCGACGCTCAAAACCGTATTGAGCGTGGGATACGCTGCCAGGTGCCGACCGGCTTACTTTTTGAAAGCTGACGATGACACTTACGTGAACGTGGAACGCCTTCTCGCGAGCATCAAACTCATCGAGGGAGCCCTCAAGGAACCGTTCTTCGCAGGTCAGGTTCATTATCGAGCGAAGCCTCATCGGACCTTTTCGAAATGGACAGTGGACTACGTGGAATATCCAGAATATTCGTATCCTCCGTACATCAGTGGGAATCTATACGTGATTTCGGGATCCTTGCTACCCTCGGTGGCCGCTACCGCTATGCACACTCGACATCTCCATCTGGAGGACGTTTTCATGACTGGATTGGTAGCGACTAAGTTGATGGTACCGCGAGTTTCCATCGAGGGGATCTGGGATCTCAGGAGGGCGACAAGTCACAACTGTGCCTACGATCGATTCGTCTCGGGTCATTATATCGAGGCGTCGCTCATGGAACGAATACATGACGACCGACGGAATTTAGTCCAATCCTGCATATCGCTGTTCTTCCTCAGTTGGTGCAGGTGTGTCCCGAAAATCACCGAAATTTTCGTCGTTTGAAGAAGACGATCCAACGTGGAATTTGAGCCTCGCTACTTGTCGATGTCGCGTTACCGATATTCGACGGCTCACCCGCGCTCGTCGACTACTCAGGCTGTGTGGAGCTTCGCGCTCTAAGCAACCGCTCGGGGACCAGCAATGTGGACAGTTTACTGTGAATCATAGATATTTGAAATGACTGGTTGTGATTAAGGGTCTGTGGATACGCTCCGCCCTCTTTTTTCCCAGCGTGCGTCCACGCGAGCCCACTCACTCACTCTCTAGTGGCACATTTTTGTTCCCACGAACTACATACACTGTGATTCTCTTACGATCTCGTACGATGGTACAGCCGTAGAGTGTCCGGGACTTTCCTCCTAGCGAGCCGGAATAAACACTTCTGTATTATCAACTGCCCGGTTCGTTTTCTTTCTTCACGGAGGTATGGAGAAAGTAGATTTTCCATCGTCATCCTTCCAGTCCATTCGGAAACTCGACGCCGATCGTTTGGGGTAAGGTGGAAAATGAAACATATCTGCATTCTCCTCCTCCCCGGAAGAAGCGGTATCATTCACTGCTCGGATAATGAATCGGGAAAGAACTCCAGAATTCACTCTGGGTCTCATACAGTGCAGTCGCGAATAACGATTCATTGACACATCATACATATTCTTCTGGCCGAGCCGCGGGACTGTGAGATTGAAGCCGTATTACGTGGGTCGCGATACAAGGTCGCAATCATCATTCAATCTCCGAGCTATTTTTCGCCTCTGACAATTACAGCGAATAAGCAAAAAGGTTTCCTGTTGTGGCTCCGAGTAGGTTCTCAGATTACGGACTGAGTGAATCACTCAATCAGTCAGTCTGCTGCATCATTGAATTCATGCTCCTCGTGTTTTTACGCCCTCCTCACGAAAAATCTCCCATCAGCCAATGAAATTTTGGGCTCACTTTCCATCTTAGGGAGCGTTGGGCGGATTGCGCCGATTGGGAGCATCGGTGCAATGGTGGTGGAATCGCTCGGAGAGAGATTCCGTCGAAGGTTTGTAACAATTTAGCGCCGTTGACGTGGGAGGACCGGGAAATTCCTCGGTGTAACTATGGAGCGTCTGCGATGGCGACGCATTCCATCGAAAATCTCTAGCGCTGAGCAATTGTCTTCCGTACTACCTCAAGATGATGATGCACTACTCCGTCACGCCACGCACACGGAGTGAGTCGACGTCTGAAATGGGGATAGGATATTCGACTTCATCATGTGCTCCCTCCGCAGCCGATCGATAGACTGGTCAGAGAGCAGTCCAGATCGGACTGTCTCCTAGGGAAAAAAGCGTCGATTTCCCTCCCGTGCATTTGGACTTTTTGTTTCGGATACCTTCTATGAGATTGAATCGGCTCGGGCGGGACGAATTCGTAAATTCAAATCTTAGCTGTAAATTCCAGGGCTCCGAGCGGCGCATTCTCGTCGACGGGGGTCCCACGGAGCGAAAAAAAAGCGCTCTCCGAATATTGATGTTCCGTTTGGTCTGGCGCAGGAGACTAGGGGTCGAGAAGAGAACAAAGTTCTGTGGAGTCTCAAATTGTGATTTGGCGAAGTAGAAACGTCCGAAACTTCAAAACAAAGACACAACTGCAACTAAGACAATCGCTCGGCACGCTTCGGAGAAAGCTCCTCACAGCTGTAGCTTCTCGATTCAATTTCCTTTCCACTCCTCAAAAGTGGATGTGGGCGGGCCCTCTAATCGACGCTAGGAGAACGGTCAGCAACACCTTATGTTCTGTACAATGCTCGCGCATCACTTCGGCTTATCATCCACCTTGTTATTCGAGAGAAAGGCGCGCGTTCCTATTGATACGGAGTGTGTCCACTTGTAGGTGGTGTCGTAAAATTCGTTTGTCTTTTGTGACATTCTGATCACTATGAAGATAGTGTGCGTTCTCATCAATAAGATATAAGCGACAAGCGATGCGGAAAATAACAGGCGCCCTTATGATCACTTATTCATGGGAGAGACACTGGCGACGTTTGTCGACTGGAGCTCTCGGACAACGTTTCTCATGCAGGTTTACGGAATCCTCCTCCGTATCGCATTCCGCCTGAGCGGGTCAGCCTTTACGGAGGAAACCCGTCAATCGAGAAACACTTCGGGATTGACGAGCAAATCGTCAAGACTGCTTCGAGAATTCTCGCAATGAGGAATGCGATTCTATTCCAGAAATTCGGCGAGCTTCCTCTGTCCAACTGCGAGTATGCGAGGTATCACTCCAGACTCATATTGAGCGGGCAAACGACTTTTTCCCAGGCCTTGACGCCCACAAGGGGGAGGGGCGGCGGCGACCGGAGAGACGCTTCAGCTACCAGATGGTGAACTCGGAAAACTGACGGGGAGCTCATCCGGTTGCAGGCGGGCAATTATTATTGTACATGAGAAGAGAATGCGTCGAGTCCATCGTCCCTCCCGAATATCTCAATCGACCCACTCCGTTGAGAGATGTTCTGATTTTGATCGAAGTCTGTCGCGAAGTTGACCCGTGCGCGAAGTGCGACGCCTCAGTGGCGTCGACTGCCTGAGTTGATGGTGCTGGACATCGAGTCAGGAAGTGGTCTAATGACTTTCCCAATTCGGACTGTCTCATCAGCGACGCCACCAGACTATTTACGGCCATTTCCATCGCAGGTAGAGAGGGACGTGTATGCATTGATGACTAATGTGGGGAGACCCTGTGGCATAATAACCTTATTAACTACAACCCAAGCGTAGCTAAGCATGATTGCACATCGCCAGGGACAAACGAGCTCGGCGATGTCTGGACAGGGAAGGATCAATGCATTGTTCACATGATAGCGCTATCCAAGGCTGAAGTTGCGCGGGAAAAGTTCTCTGAGTCGGTCGGGCGACGGGCATCCCAGAGAGCCGAGTCTACCGACAGCATACATCGGGAGTACGGCTTGAGGCTCACGAAGATCCGTCCTGAGATCAGTTTTACTGGATTGCCGCTTCGGCCTATCCGAACCCAATGAATAGACTCCACATTTCAGAAGTCATCCTTAAATTGTGGCTGAAAGGCTATTTCCATCATTCCTCTTGAGCTGTCGACTATCGCAGGACTCCGCCCCCCCACTCTACGCGAGGCCATCATCAAGGTGTTCAGGGCCAGCTTCTGCATGAGATCGCGGTTCCACGCACAGCAGTTTCGATCAATGGTCGAAGACACTGCCGATTGAACTATGAATAATGAGAGAGTCGCAATCCAGAGTCTGGAACATACTCTTCTGACCCTTCGATTTTTTCGCAAGCGCTCCGAATCTCTCTTCCGACGGGGGGTTTCGCTAGGTCTGCTGTCAAAAACCGTTGGGAATTCAGGGGCCTCGGAGAGCTCTCTACTTCTATCAGATCTCTCTCAGCGTGACTCAGGAGCAATCACTCCTTTTTAGGGACTTGCAGCACGACGGTGCGCCGTGGACTTGTACGAGAAACAGTTGGATTTCGTGAAAAATTCTCAACTCACGTAGTGTGGAAGTGCAAGCGCCTGCGGTGGTTAGGCCCCGGGAATCACTTGATGTGCACGGATCCGGAGTTGTAGAGACGATAAGCACCAACGCGCAAAGCCTTCGTTTATTTATACGGCTCCTGGAAGGCGGGGTCTGAGCGCCCATTGGCTCTCGGACGCGCTCTTTAAAGGCCCCATTGGCCGTACACGTTAAAACGTCATCGTGGCCAACGCTCAGGACTTTGCAAACAGGTGGCGATGGGTGTGACGACTGTAGTTTCGGCATTTTATCACGCAGGTCCACGGTTCGCGAAAAATTGGGGATAGCATCGAGCGTAGAGAAATGGCTTCGACATATGGTTGCGACCGATTCGCTACAGAATCTAGCCCACGTGCGAAGTCGCCGTTTTTAGGGGATTTGTACAAGCCGCCGAAATCTCCCCCATTCGACGCGGCGTCACAGGAAACTCTCCCAAGGGACGAGAGGAACAAGGAGAAGCCATTTTATACATCCATTCATTGGATTCGTCAGGTGTTCCAAGCATACAGTACCGCACCCTAATTAATGTCAGACGCGGTCGTAATTCATTCTTCCCATCAAGATATTTTCGTCTAACGAGTCGTTCGGAGAATAGGAATGTATCAGCCACAGAATATGAACCGTTGCCGTGGCCAAATCGAATGAGGAACGGAACTCGACTCTCCGAGAGGTGAATCACGTCAAGAGATGCGCGGGGAAGGCTGCTCCACCGAATTTCCAAGATGCGTTCCTAACTTTGGGCCCCGGGAGCTCGCTTATTGCCGATTCGGATTATATTCACAAATTCATGGACGCTCAAACACGAGCTGGGATATCCGATCAATGACACGTCGAGGGAGTCTAGAGCCACTACCTGCAGACCGCCTGAGCATAGAAAGCTATCAAACTTACCGTCCGCTTCCGAAGGATTTCATCTTGTTTGCCCATTCAGCCGACAATCGAAGTGTCCGTGAGAGTAATAATTGTACGATGGGCACAATAAAAGACCGACTGGCTCGCGAAGCGATACGCCGAGCCTCCCGAATTTCAGTGCATCCTCGCAATACGACGGGCTCACCCGAAGCTTCTGATCCTGTGTGATTCGCGTGTCAGTCACTAAACGTTGTTCTACGACATTCGCAATTCTCAGGCGGATTCTGCCGGGTGGAAGTCAATCAGTGGCAGATTTACCCAGTAGGCTTAGTGGGCTATAGACTGGGGCGGCGGTTTTCGGGGGGCCGCGAAATCCTGGTTGGATCTTCCGTGATCCTCGACAACGCACTCAGTGAAATCATTCGAGATAGAGACGAGGACGTCGACTCTAATTCTCGATCAAAGGCGAGGAGGCGTCTCAAAAACGAACAGCGAGACATAATTTCAATTATTTTGAGATGGCATTTTTTTTCTTTCTCTGGGATTGACTGAATAAGTGGCGACGATTTCTATGTCTAAGGATCCTCAGGCTTTCCATGGGATAGGAAAGAAATCTTAAAAACTTGGAGCAGGCGCCGGGAAGAACCGGGATTCATTCCCAGATGGGTTGCATCAGGGCGGCGGTCCTGATTAAGCCTTGGGGCGGCAAATTCGTGAATCCGCCGCTGAATTTAATCCTCCAACAAGAGGAAACTCTCCGGATATCCTGGAGCCGCATGAGCAGTGTGGAAAACACAGGTAACACCACGGAGAGATATCCTCGCGATCCTTATTGATACCGAGTTCACCATATCCACAGGGCTGGAGGTACGCATACGTTCAGAAAGCCTGTAGGCTCCCTCTGGCACTCCCGAACAAAACAAGAGCCAATCTTCAGACAAATTGAATTCTATTTTCCTATGAAAACCGCTTTTCCGATGGATCGCATGAACAATCGAAGTTTAGCTTGATAGTTCTGTCGGGCTGTTCGGAGGCTCATCATAGAGACACGTTAAGCTCGGCGTCCGTCACGGATGCTCTGCTTAGTCATTTGAAGGAACAAAGCGAGTTCGACGAAGAAGCCGGGCTGAGCCGGAGAGACTCGGAGTCAGCGCGATAGCTCCCGTCCGACGCGATCTGTCGAACAACTCAAACGGCAGAAAACACGATCGAGGACTTAGGGAGACGGCTCGGAGCTGTTCACGGTGTCAACTCCAATTCTGAAGGAAGCCATTCCCCCGCGCGAACTACCGTGTGAGGGAATCATGATGTCAAAAACCCTGAATGGGGGGTTCTGCAAATAGAAGCAAGTCGGGACAGCTGAACGCGTCGAAGTCGTGTTTTCGACGAAGACTAGTTTGACGCCTCATTATTATGAGCCGCAAGGTGTCCCGAATTCCACTCCGACGGAACGATGACAGCGCCGAGACACTCTGATGTTTTGAGCACCGATCTCTCTACAAAATTGGCATTGGTTTTCGACTCGCAGCAAATCTCTGGAGGAAATCTGCTGAAAATAGGGTTGCCTCCTGTGGTCGAGGAAGCTCTGCGAGCCCACCGGACGTGGAAGTCTGCATGAGCATGGATATTTCCACACCTCGGGCTTTAGGAGGCCGGAACGGAACCGAAGACGAAGCCCTACTTGGTGGGAACGATTTCCCGCGGAGTCGCCGAATGAGATTAAACATTCACCCGGTCATCAGGGCACGTCGACTCTTGCAACATATGCACAAACTTTCCCGCTTGTCCAGTGATAGCTCCCTCACTAGCTTCCCCAACCTGAAGCGTCCGATGTTCGTATTCTCGGGATTAGATCGATTTGACTCCCACTGACTTATCTTTGTTCCACTGTGGAGCATGTCCGATCGAGAACACACTTCATTGCGCCTTCATCTTGGTAGTCGAAGAGCGGAGGAAGGAAGCTAGACCTCGAGCGCAGACGAACGAGTGGAAATAAAATTTCAGCGTCTTGTCAAGTCTTTTTCTGAAACTGGATAGAGACAAGTCCGAAGGCCCAACAAAACTGCATTCTGTATCGCGAATCCTAGTTCATCGCGGGAGGTCACAGAGCCGATTCGCCGAGATGGAGGAAGCCTCGCCGTCTACGGGACATGATCACGCGTGCGATCACTGAACGAAAATTTCGCTAGCGGGGAATAGAAATCGAATATCGGGCAAGAGATGGGAGCTATCTTCCTCGAGTCGCTCCCCACGTTCCACACAGCGCCTTCGGAAATCGAGCCTCTGCATCTGACAGGAAAGAGGAAAGTTCCTTATTCGACGAGTGATTCCTCTCTCCCCCTGATTCGAGATGAACCTTCCAGTGATCAGATGACTCCCAGAGACTCAAGCGAATGTTTCCTCTCGACCCGTAGGACCGCGGATATTCAGGGGATCCGGATGATGATCCGTTCGTCGATCACGTTTCACGATCAACGGCGCTCGCCTGGAACAGTGAAAATCTTCCCAAAAAGGTCTTTCTCTCCCTCGAACTCGGAGACCGGGATTGGGAGTCGAGGCTCGAGGCCAGGCAACCTTATACTTTGAGATCTCTCGGTGGAACCCAAAGAGCGGAAAGCCCCATTGCGCACGTCTCTCCAGAGGGGCCAGCCGCGGACTCGGAGGGCGTGGAGTCTTCGACATGCTCCATCCACTATCACGATTTCTCCGCGGGACTCTCCCAAGTTTCTCTCCCAGGAGGTCATCCAGTGGCGGATGACTAAAACAAAAGATCTCGAACCGGATTCGTATGCGACTCGTCCCTTCTGAGTGGCGACTCCAAGGAACGAGTCGTGATCCCTTCCCCGGTCTGCAGCCGAATCCCAGACAAGAACGCCATTCTTCCCCCAGCGTTGGTGATCAAGTCGGGTTTGCAGATCCTCCTCGCATCGACCGCGGAGAGCTGGTGAGTTCGTGAGAACGGGATCCAGAGAATACAAAACTAGAATCTCAGGGCATGGCCACGATGGGGGACGGGGACGGAGGACCAGAGCAAAAATTGCATCGAGGCGATTTGCCTGAGCGTGAAGAATCGCTCGAAAGTGCTAAGACTGAAGGCTTGATGGAAGGGGCTCGTCTCGAGAAACGAAGGAGCAGTTCCCATTGGGAAATTAGAGGACGATTCCCCACCTCGAGGACACAGTCAGCGACGGCCGTCAGAAAGACAGGGACATATCGTTGGAAGACGAGAAGAATCAAGGGGGCTAAGAAGGATAACAGCAATACATTCGAGTCTTTGAGACTGAGTGAGTACCCTTTAGAATGAGTTAGAGCTTCCTTGATCGCAGAAGGAATCGCACCGTTCGGATCGAGTCGTAGGCAGAGATCATAAGCAATCCTCGATCTTATTAGGACAGACCCCGTTCTCGTCTACTTGTGGGGCAAGCTTTCACATTTGACCGAAAGTTTCCCATACGCTCCCTACATCAGAGAAGCCGCCTTACAGGCGAATTCGAACCCTCTTCCGGAGTCTGCAGAAACTCCTCCCACCATCTGCCATGCCGCGGTAGCGCGCGAAAGAAAGGGAAGCTCTCGAACTCTCAGATCTGTGGCAGCTTTGTGGTGCCTGCTCGTATCAACGCGGCATAAGTCGTCCCTATGCCAATGTGTTTGCGCTCCAAAACGGCAAAATGGCGTCAGAATCGAGAGCGGTGAGTAAAAATTTCTTCCTTTTCGACTATAAATTCTTGTTTTCCCTTAAGCAGAGTCTTACTCAAGCCCGGGAATGGGATGAGGAGCAGGCTATCCTCTGTCGTGGGCTCGATCAGAGGACATCTACCGATAGAGCGCTCTTGGCGTCCGTAAACCGGTCTATGGCGGTGTCAGTTTCAAAATCTAAACATATCACCTCAAGGAGCTCGAACGGTTCCGTCTCTTCCGATTTCTACAGCCTTCCCGACGTATCTCCGGTGATCATTCTCTCCGGAGCCGGGGCATTACATCCCTGCGAATACTTCCTTGACCGCTTTCTTATCAGAAATCTCACACTCTTTGCTCCGTCGACGAAGTAAGACGACCGGCGTGCTTCACGACTTTGCCCCTGACGGAGCCTTGGGAAAGTTTGATCGAGCTCCCTCATCCCCTCAGAATTGTATCTCCTAATGGTAGTAATGCGGGCGGTTTCGGTGTCCGAATATTCCTTTCCATTGAATTTTGCTATTCCGCTTGAAAATTGATACGGCCCCTCGACGAACGGTTCTCTTCATGCCAACGACCAAAACTCGTGGCGTCTCCGGATATTCGCGATCGAGAACGAGGACTTCGGATGTAAACTTCCGATTGACTTCGAAGTGAAATTATTCCAAACCTAATGGAGTCTGTCGGATGAATCGCTCTTCCGGACGAGCGCCGGTTGGCTTGTTGCAGCTTTGAATTGACTACCATCGTACCTTCCTTTTCCCCACAGACGAACTTGCAGATCGGCGAGCCGGTATGGGCCCGCATGAAGGGCTACAAACCTTGGCCGGGGAAGATTGCCGCCCCGACAAAGGGACTGAAAGACCCTCCCAAGACGAAAAAACATTTTTGCGTCTTCTTCTTCGGGACTTTCAACTACTCATGGATACCGGAGGACTGTATAAGCCAGTGAGTCCCGCATGCCCGCTCCTCGCCGTCGTCGATATCAGATTGCTCTCTCTTGGGAACTTCAATTTCAATCCGAGGCTTCTTCCACAGGTATGGCGTCAAAGCAGAAGAAGACGAAAAACTCGTCAAGACTGGACCGAAAGGCGTGAAGTTCAAGGAGGCTGTCGATCAGATCGCCTCGTATTTCGCCGACTGGAGCGACGCAGGGAAAAGTGACATCCGACTTCCTGAAGAATCGCCTGCTGACGGCGAGGAGAAAGACGACGATAGCAAGGACGACGGATCCTCGGTGGTTGGGTCCGAAGAGCTCAATACAAGCGAGACGAAAGAACCCAAAAAGAGGAAGTCGGGTTCGTCCACGGGACCCGCTCTGAAAATCACACCGGCCAAGCGCGGTAGACCCTCTAAGAGGGAGTCAATCGATGACGAGATCGCAGAAATCGTCGAAAGAACCAATGAAATAAAGGAGAAGGAGCAACAGGAAAACCTCAGGGTGAGTCACGGAATATACAAATTGTTCCTCAACAGATGTTGTTCGTCGGAGGAAGGCAGAGCCGCTCGTATATGATCTCCCGAGGGGGTTTCATTGAAATGATTTCCGACTTCTCATTTATAGGTGCCTCCGGTGATTTTGAAGAAACGGAAGAGCGAGAACGGTTCCATTCTTAAATCTCCCGCTCCCGTTATCGTCCCGAAGGCGCCACCGAATAAACCCACAGAATATGTCCCCCGGCCTCCGACTCCGCCTCTCGATGTCAATGAGGTATGCATATAAGGTCGAGCACAAGGCTCATGGATATGTGTATCTTTCTTTGATGGTCGATTGGTCTATATTCGGATTCACCGAGGCTTCACGGAGATCTTCTCTCTCTGTAAACAGGTCAGCGACGTGTTGAAGTCGAAGAAAGTGGCTGCGAGCCAATTGAAAATCGGTGTTCTCGGACTCGGCAACATCGGACAGGGTGTTGTCAAGAATCTGTTGAAGAGCGGTCACTCGGTCATGGTCTACAATAGGACTTACAGCAAGACGAAAGAATTCGTCAAAGCTGGAGCGAGTAAAGGTAATCTCTCGAGACTCGGGAGGTGGCGTTCCCGATCGGATTTCGATAAGAAATTTTCATTCGAAGATCCTCGTGACTCTCGGCTCATGATCTACTGCACGATACTCAAATGTTCTGCTCCTCCTCTCAGCGACCACGCCCTCGGACGTCGTCCAAGCCTGTGACATTGTGTTCTGTTGCGTCGCCACTCCTGAAGCGTCTAAAGAAGTTGTAAGTATCCATCTCGTGTTCGAAGTCGCCCCGTCGATCCTCTACTGAGTGGGAAGAGTTCCCGAGAGCGAATCGTTGTCCGATGTGATTCTTACCGATTATACCTCTCATCCAGGATTTGTTCTTCCGCAGGTATTTGGGCAGTGGGGAGTCCTAATGGGAATGAAGCAAGGCAAGGGTTACGTCGAGATGAGCACGATCGATCCTGACACGTCGAGAGATATCAACGACGCGATCACTCAGAAAGGAGGGAGATATCTAGAAGCGCCCGTGTGTGGTTCACGTTCTCTAGCGGACAAGGGCGAATTAGTTATAAACGCTTGTGGGGAAAAATCCCTATTCGACCAATGCGAGTCGGCTTTCACATCCTTCGGTCGACTCTGCATGTATCTTGGCGAAAATGTTGGCAACGCTTCGAAGATGAATTTGTTTATGTCGATGCTGTCCGGCTCGATGACGGTGGCGCTCGCCGAAGCGATGGCGTTGGTTGACGCCTCCGAAATGTCTCACAAAGACTTCGTTGATGCTCTTGAGGCCACGAATATGGCGAGTCCGTTCGTCCTGGAGAAATGCAAAACGATCATCGATGGCAAGTACGCACTCGAGACGCCTCTGAGTCACGCCCAGAAAGACCTGTGGTTGGCATTGCAGGTAGCTCGTCAGAGCGAGGTGCCTCTGTCCGTAACACCCGCAGCTAATAGTTCGTTTGAAAACGCCCGTCGTCACGGCTACGCCGATCACGACGCAGCGGCCGTGTACGTTAAAATCCGTAAATAGTCCGCGAGAGCAGGTTTTACATCAACGGCGATGGTTTGATACCGTGGAAGTGCTTGGGCACCTGATCGACAATATGTTTCTATAAATACGAGCTGACATGCGTGGAATCGGATCGGATTCACGCACGTTCGGAGCTCGGATGAGCGCGGTGTAATCACGATATGATTAATCATCATCATGTAAAATAATTGGTGTATAATACTGAGCATGATTAAGAACCATTGCCATGAAAAATAATAAAATCGTTGCATAAAGTTGATTTGAACAGCAATGCGAAAAACCCACAACGAGCCGGAGCAGTCCTCGAAATGAGCTACTTGGAATCGAAACAAGGATACTGCGCAGTACCCGAGCGAACGACGCGCGATGGCGGAAACAATGATTGGCGTTCGGAAAAGGGATCAAACGGATTGATCGTGGTGAAAGACGCTGGATAATGAAAAGCCAGTCGAGGGTATCTGAATTCTAGCCCAATGAAATCCTTCCCCGAACCTCCGGAGTCAGTTTCAGTTTGCACAAATCCAATGTTCACTGTTTCCGCGCGAAACTCTCACGAGGCTGCTCATCATGATTAAGCCTGGAATACCATAGTGAGCCCGCGAGCCTTTGAAGTCCTCTCCTGAGTGACTTCAATCGGTGCAGGAGAGAACATCCCTAGATCATTTTTATCGAATCAATGGTACTCGCTGTTCTTAAAGGGACTATGACGAATAACAGGACAACTTGACGTTCCGCGTCCGTAAACTCCAAACACGGCTTCTCCCCGAAGAGTTGGCTAAGATTAGGAACTCGAGATAACTGTTGTACCGGAGAACTCAGGACGGAAAATAAAGAAAAATTCATTGAAAACGAGACTGAACTCTAGCAGAGGGACACCATGGTCTACGTTACAGAGGTTTTCAATGAATAGCCCATGCCTGAACGGAAAACGTCGTCGAGTCCTACGCCGAAAATCGGCGACACCTTCGACCTTATATGGTAGACATGAGGAAGGAGTGCGACTTCCGCGTCGAGCGAATCGATAAGAGGGCTGGAAACGCGACGAGAACGAGTTATGAGTGGGGCACACGAATTCCAGTCTCGATGCTGTGAAAAATTATCTCTGTTTCCAGAAAGGAGAGGTGATACGGATGAAACAAGACCTACTCACACTTTCCATTTGTTCGAGAGAAAATGAACGCGTCCTCAATATGCCCAAGAGTCTGGCTTCGGAGCCACAGTCAGCCGCAATCGAGATGGCCCGGAGGAGACTAATAATCGCGCTGGTGATACTCGCCCTATCAATTCAGGACTTCGCCGGAGGTATAGTTCCCAGTCGCTCGGTGGCCCTTTAGAGCTGAATCTCCTCGTTTCTTTATTTTGTCTCCATACATTCGGCGCAGATGAGCAGGCTGAAACCGGTACTTCGTTCTGCAGCCGTTGATACAGACCTGATTGATTTATACGCGGCGCACAATTTGCCGTACAGCTGCTTGCCTTACATCACGAAGTCTCCGATTCCTGCTTGCGATTGTGTGTCATGCACCAGAGATCTTCCGAGCTTCAAGGACCGGATGTGCAAGGTTGGTCCTGTCCGATCTGAAACCAGTGGGTCTAATCGAGCGAAGCCTCGTTTCCGCGAGATATAACCCAGCGTTGTTGCCTCTCGAAGTAAACGATGAGGGCTTCTACCCGCAGTTCTTCGAGGAAGCGCGAACAAAGGGGAAAGCGGACGCCCTCAACCAGGATTTGGTGAATGTTTGTACATCAATCAAGGTTCGTGACTCATGCGACGCTTAGGAAGTCGCAATTATCCTTTGAGATCCACAACCGGCGACTCGAGGGAGTTTTATTTGTCCGAGCAGGTCTGCAATAATATTCCGAATCGATGTTGCGACCCGAAGTCCGCGGAGCCGAAGGTGGGCAAGGGCTGCCCCTTGTGTCTTCCGAGCCTGAAGTGTGGGTATCCTCATCGAAGACAATGAGTTTTCCGCTGCTCTGGCTAGGCATAATCTATTTTACTCTAAGTGAGAAATTGATTCTAGCCGAGTTGGGCAAGAAGGGGCATAACTCAGTTTGCCTCCTGGCTGAATACGAAGCGACAAAACCTCCTGCCGCTAATAGCACCGGATGGAAAGACACCTTCGAAGTGTTTTCGAAGGTACATTCCTCTCTTGGTTTACCGACTTTCCTCGACAAGAACGGAACTCAATCGAAGAGAACCCCAGTGAAGATAAAGGAATCATTCTTTTCAGGCCATGACCGATGTTGGCCTCAGCAACCGATGCTCCTCGTATGCTTTGTACAAGACAGCAAAACTTTGCGACTGTGAGGACTGTCTTCAGAATGAGAATGATCTCCGGGGGAAACTCTGCAAACTGGGAGAAAAAATCCGAGCCGATGAGAAGATCAGGCGTCGCGGTTTCATGCGCAATGCCTACTTCCAGTGAGTATATCTGGGTAGATCCCAGTCGGAGGAGAGCATCGCCTCGGCAGATCCCAGTCGGAGGAGAGCATCGCCTCGGCAGCAATCTCACTCTCAGTCAGACCCAGAAAACTGAGGAGCTCCAACTTCAGGAAATTCTGTGACCTGAAAGCGTGTCCGACGATCCCGAATAAATGTTGCGCCAATCCATCCAGTCGGGATGAAGAAAATCCCGTCGATCGGCAAGGTTGTCCGACATGCATCCCTACCACAGCGGTATTTGGGTGAGCTGAGTGTTGGAGAATCGAGTTCTGATCGCTTCCATTCCTGAAAAGAAGTTCTCTTCGGAAGTGATCTCACGATGAAAATCTCAGTCAAGATGCAATTCTTCCGAAAAAAATAATCGATCTTCAATTCGACAGGTTCGGACCGAGATGCCACGCAGCGATTTCGAAACTACCTCAGCCGTCGAAACTCAAAGTATTCCAGCTGCCCTGAGCGATGCCGTTCCGGAAATGATTTCGGGTCAAGGAGACGAAGCTGCCGAACAATTCTGGAATAAAAATTTCTCTGAGAAGATGAAGTCATTCTAGCTATGATTTATGATCCGCGGAAAGCGTATACCCTTGATCGCCTTTGATTCGACCTGCGACCTGTCCTGAGGGCGGCTCCGAGACCGCGACTTCCGAAGCTCACCTGCATAGCAATCGGACTGGTACTCGGGAACACGATGCTCTGTCGCTCGGAGAGCTCGAGAATTGAATTTCCCCGTCGGAGCTTCGCTGACGGGATAACATCAGCAGAGAACAAGCGTCTGTCGGAAAGTTCCCTGACGACACTCGAAAACCGTGCACTCACGACAGAAATGGAGCGAACCTCAGTCGTCTAGAATTCTAGAGAGTCTGCGGGGAGGAAATTCCTGCACCTCTATAACCGTCCCAAATCTCCGACGTTGCTGAAAGAGGTACGGCTGACGAGTCTGATCCCTCCACATACGGGCTATTCCAGCCTTGAGCTTGATCACGTATCCCGAACGTCTCCGAGCAGGATAAGGCGGTTCTTCGGAACAGCGAGCCTGTCGGCGTACGCGAGCGACGGTATCCGAGCTCTTAGGGATCGTCTATTGCCGGAGAGAGGACAGTGCCTCGGAATATGAATAGGTACTCCCATAATGAAAGTCTGACAAAAGTTCTCGCATCTCCAGCTTCCTCGACGGCTGGATACGCGAGAGATTCTCGATGCAAAAAAGAGTTTGCTCACGAGAAGGGCTTATCGCGGATTTTGATAGGAGACTCGGCGATCCGGGATCCATACGAGATCGCGCGGCTATTGCACGACAGCGGCGCTGCGGTCGTCTTGCCGATCTAGCAGAGGGGAACAGCCATCCGCCATATTGCGGTCAGATGACTTTTACCTCTCGCGTCTCGCGAGTCCAAAAGGGATCATCCGCGCTCTGTGAATACTCTTCACAGAGAACCTCTGCGAGAGGACGGCCTGCGGGGAGCCAGCGTTTCGTTGAGTGATTCCACGGGCGTCGACCGTCGGAATGTGAGTATTGACTCTTCGAGAGTTGAGGTCGACTACTCCGGGCGGGAGCGTGAGAGGGTTGCGGTAGAGTCAGTGGAGACACTCCGTTCATTGCGGCCGGTAGCGCCGCGCCGTTGACAGCCCATGTCAAAACCTGACCGCGGAAAGTTACTATTCCGGAGGAGGACCTGATCTAGACGGGGTCCTCTGCGGGGGAAACCAAGAGAGAAGCCCCGGCAGAGTCAGTCTAGCTCAGCAAACGCCTAATCAGCCCGAGATGATGCCGAAAATTCATTCCCGAAGAGTTTCCGATGGCCCCCGCGTTCTGAACGCTAGCGATCCGACCCGGCCTTATAAATATATGATGCGCATGCGGCTTTTTTCGAGAATTCAATAATCTCGGGGAAGAGATTCGCTGACCCGGGGAAGAATCCCGGGAGGACCTGCGGAAATGAATGAAATATACAGTTTGTGATACGAGACGTTGCTCGCCGCCGCAAAGAAAAAAAAATTGTCTTCCCCCCCAGGTCCGCAACAGACTGGGATGCAGAACCTGTCGAACGGGAAAATGTCGCCGCCTTAGAGATAGAGGGCGTTATCGAGGTATGGATTCTCAAATGATGGACATAGACGTGATAACGTAATAATTGACGTAAGCCGAATTTCGGAAGTCTGATTTCCTCGCAAGTTCGGAGATGGAGGAAGCTCTCTTCATGGGTTTCCCTTGGACCAACCGAGATTGACGGCGATTCCATTCTGCGTCATCTTGACATGCTACATACATTGGAGCTGATAATTATGTTCGCAGAGCAATTACGATGAGGTTGTCGACTCATTCGATGACATGTCGCTCCGTGAGGAACTCTTGCGAGGCATATACGCCTACGGTTTCGAGAGGCCGTCCGCAATCCAGCAGAGAGCTATCCTTCCTTGTGTGAAAGGTCATGATGTTATTGCACAAGCGCAATCGGGTACGTCGGCAAAGACGGGAACCATATTTTAGACCCGTCGGTGATATACGAACCATGCCGTTCCCGACATACGTGCGTACACATACGGATGCAACGTTCATCCATGCTATCTTTTCACAGGAACTGGGAAAACGGCGACGTTCTCCATTTCGATACTACAACAGATTGACGTATCTGATCCTGCCTGTCAAGCTCTGATCCTTGCACCGACTCGGGAACTCGCGCAGCAGATCCAAAAGGTGAGAGAGTTTTGAGATCTCGGAAGAGATCGTCACTTCATGGACTCTTCAATTCTGGCACACTTGGACCGGGGAGTGACTCGAACTATCCATTTCCAGGTCGTCATAGCTCTCGGTGATTACATGAACGCGAACTGCCATGCGTGCATCGGTGGCACTAATGTGAGGGAAGATATGCGGAAGCTCGAAACGGTAATGCTCGTGTCTCGGCTGGATCCATGAGCTGAATTGCCTTGTGGCCGATGCATTAACCGCTTCTCTCATATGCAGGGCGTCCACGTGGTTGTTGGAACCCCGGGTCGAGTGTTCGACATGGTACAAAGAAACTCTCTCAGACCAGACAAAATCAAGATCTTTGTGCTCGATGAGGCCGATGAAATGCTGTCTCGAGGTTTCAAAGATCAGATTCATGATGTGTTTCGTCTGTTGCCGCACAACATCCAGGTGAGTCCTCGCGAGTTGTGCCTCAGCTCTCCCCCAACTCTGACAGATCTCCCTTCGCTAGTTCCTCGAGTCAGAACAACTTCATTCAGTCACGCCTGATGGGGCTTGACATTCGACGCAGAAGCGATGACGAACAGAAGCGTCTGACTTTCCGCATGCAAAACTCACAGGTGATTTTGTTGTCCGCTACAATGCCGCAAGATGTACTAGAAGTGACCAAATGTTTCATGCGCGACCCGATCCGTATCCTCGTCAAGAAAGAAGAACTCACTCTGGAGGGAATAAAACAGTTTTACGTGAACGTGACCAAAGAAGAATGGAAGTTTGACACTCTAACCGACCTCTATGAGACTCTGACAATCACTCAGGCCGTGATTTTCTGCAATACAAGGTTTGGGATTGATCCGGATAATCGTATTCATTGAACGGAGGAATCTGTGAATGAAGCCCCATCCACCGAACTTCTGTATGACGTCTCGGATCTCGAATAACTGCAGGAGGAAGGTCGACTGGTTGACACAGCGAATGACCGAGAGAGATTTCACCGTGAGCGCCCTGCACGGAGACATGACTCAGCAAGAGAGAGACGTCATCATGAGAGCCTTCAGGTACATATTGGCTTATCTCGGGATCACCCCGGACCTCAGAGTCAAAGAATCAAGACCAGAGATCGGGAAATCAATCCCTGTACTAATCGCGGATATTTTGTCACAGATCGGGCTCATCCCGAGTGCTCATCACAACCGATCTGCTCGCGCGTGGAATCGACGTTCAACAAGTTTCACTAGTCATCAACTTCGATGTGCCCACTAACAGGGAGAATTATATTCACAGGTAGGGAGACCAACCAGTAAGAACGCATGAAATTTTGCTCGGATCATACTGATACAAATTTCTGATTTCCCCCCAGGATCGGTCGCGGTGGTCGCTTCGGACGAAAAGGCGTCGCAATAAACTTCATCTCCGATGAAGACAAACGTACGCTCAAGGATATTGAGCAGTTCTATAACACTGATATCGAGGAGATGCCAATGAACGTTGCCGATCTGATCTAGATGATCTTAAGGCCGGAGAGTCGACGGAGCGTGATTGCGAGCGGAACCCGAACTAGAGAAACCTCGGCAATATCCGTTCGACTCCATATGCATCAGGAGGAGCGACTCTAGAAGAGCCGATGAGAATTTTTAGAAGGATGTTGTAAGAGCACATTGTGTCATTGTCTCAAATCCATCTCTCGATGCCGGTTCCCATAGATGGCTCGGATTTTCACAGAGCGATCAGTCGAACCGGCTGGCGAGCAAGCTTGCAGTTTGGATCTGCATCATTCCACTTACAGCAAGAGCTAGCACTCCCGAGCCGGCTATACCCGATTTACAAATCTTACGAAACTGTATTACGTGCCTCTCGAATGTCTCGATCTCATTCTACTTGTTGTTTTGATCTCATTTTACTTCCTACATACCTCAGCTTTGTTTAATATATTTATTTATTATTTATCTGAGTCGTTCCGGAAAGAGTCTGTTCGGGTGTTCTGATTGAGAGACCTTCCCTATCTTGTTTTCGAAAAATAAAGGAACGAGTCTTTCGATTTCGCTTATTCTCCACTTGGAACGTGTGGATCTTTTCCGATCGGATGCTTGGATCAATGTAGCTATTGTGGTCGTCGTAGAGACTCTTGCCACCCATTCGGCTCACCGCGAAGAGTCTTGGCGGCCTCGGATGCGGAAGCCAGGCACGACAGGCCATTCGGTGATTTGGATGGTATCGGCTTGAATGATATTCTGGCATCTTTCCCAAGACGTTCCAGCACAGTTTGCCTTCAGAGCCGATATCGTCGCCTCGATCACGAGGAAGCATAGCAGGATACGCGCGCCATAAACTCGTAGGAAAGTTATTCCGGAGACTTCTCTCCCAAAGAATATTGCTCAATGTAACCCCCACGCCCGATCCGATTGAATCCTTGTCCCGTCCACCAGGAGCATATTATACCAATGAGGTGTCGGCCGGAACGATTGATAAATCACCTAGGGCTTCTTTTGAGTTCTGCAATGCGAAACATGTATTTTTCGTACCCAGAACCCTCCGAGCCGTATCTTGAAAAGAGATGGATGACTCAAGTATTCTTCAATGAACATTTGTAGGAGATGAGCTAAATAAAATAGAACGAAATTGGGTTCCCGTGCTTATCGCTTCTGATAATGTTTCCCATCCTGAGTGCTTCGCGCGTCGACCGCAAGGGAGCACGTTGCGAGACCGTGAGTGGTCCCCGAGGGCGGGGTCGTGAAGGTCTCAGCATACAGATTTCTTATACTCTGCTCCGAGTCACCGACTTCCATGAACTCCAATATTGAACCCCCCTTTCGGGAAATCGATACCTAACACATGCTCAGAGATTCACAGAATGGGCTGCTGAATTTATTCGATGAATTCCCCATCTGAATATATCTCCCAGGTAGAATTTTCAAGAGCTTCCAAGCGGCTTCGATTTTGACGTAGGGTTCGCATGCCGGAAAATCTTCAGCTTGTTGTCAGCTGCTCCGCTCACCATGAGCTCTTCCAAACTCCAGTCACAACAGAGAATCTGCAAGAAACCATTGAAATACGACATTCTGATAAGGCAGGGGTGAAATCACAGCATTCGGACGCCCCAGTGACTACTTACTTTGTCCTCGTGCCCCTCCATATCGTAGAGAGGAGCTTTCGCCGATCTGAGATCCCAGAGTTTGAGAATATTGTCGTAGGATGCGGAAATGAATTGATTTTCAATAGACGGACTCCAACAGACGGAGCTGACCCAACCGGTATGAGATGTGAAGTTGGATTTGACGACTGATCCTGCAACAGACAGAGTGTTACCTTCGCCTTACAGTCGGTCGTGATGGAGCTCTGGTTGCCCATTATCGATCGATTTTTGCGAGGGATTCCGAATCCTTCTGAAGCCTAAATACCTTCTTTCGATCTCGTATCCCACAGTCTAACGTGTCTGTCGGCATTGGCTGACAACACCAAGTTATTGAGCGCAGAGTAGGAGAGATCCAGGAATGGCTTCGATCCCAAAAGATTATTCGTGAACCCGCCCACAGCGATGTCCCAGACTTTCATGGTACAGTCCATCGCGCAGGTGATCATCTCTGATGGAGTGGTGAATCTGAGACCTGAAATAATTGTGGAGAGACGGTGACTTATATGACATTAATTGTTCGATCGAGACGCTGCGGATCCATGAGAGCTGGCGAACTTACCCGTGACTGCCTCTGTGTGATTCGCGAGACTCACTAGAGGCGTTCTGGTGAGGAGACGCTGCTCGAGTTTGCTTTTCTTAGGCTCTGAATCCTTTTTGAGGTCGAGCTCTGTTGCCTCTGTTGACGTCGACCAAATCTTCACCACGTTATCGAAACCCGCCGTGGCGAACCTACGGGAGAAAAACTCGAATTTCGCAAGCGGCCTCATCTGCCCTGGGCTCCGTGGACTAGCCGATCGGCGCAGGCACAAGGCGGAATAAATGTCCAGTCATTCACTTCGATGCTCACCTGTTATTGCTGAGATCGACGTCGACGCAATCGACGCTTCTCTGGTGACCCTTACAGGTTATCACAGACTCTATCTGGTTTTTCTGATGATCCCACAGCCATAACTTCGCCGTTTCGTCGTGAGACGTGGACACGAAGGAGGCATACCTCTCGTCCGAATGCACCCATCGGACCGCCTTCACCGGCCCCGCATGCCCTGTGAACGAAAATGTGGAATCGCAGTACAAACGCGCGCTTTTTGCTTGGCCAATGTTTTCTAGGAATACAAAAAGTCCACTGACCTGACAGTGAGATGAGCTTTTTCCCGCTGACAGACCATACGGTCACAGAAGAATCATAGCTACCGCTAAGGATTAATTGCCGAGATCCAACCGTAGCGCAATGGATTCCAGAGACCCAATCTTCGTGAAGCAAACTGTCGACGGGCTCGGGACTGGGACATTTCTCGATGTATTCGATCTGGTGGAGCGAACCGAGGCTCGTGAATGACTCTACAGGGGAAATTATCCGGTTACCCTGTACCCGCCATCGACATTAAAGACCCCACTTACCTCAACAAGGGTCTCAGCGCTGATTTCGTGTTCTTGCAGATGCTCACGAAGCGTGCTGTGAACGATATTGTCCCGTATGAGAAAGCCGAAATCCACCGAGGTATCCCCCTGACGGCCCAGGAGTTCATTGATCAGCAGGCTGAGCTGTTCCGGCGTGACGTCAAGCTCCAGAGAAACCGGGTCCTCTGGAAGTGAGAACTCTTCTTCTTTCGTGAAGAATCTCGCCTGCAAAGAGTCCGACTCCATGGCGCCTTCTACTCGATCACGAACTCCTCAATAGTAATGCGACTGTATGCAGAAGGGACTGTCGTGAAGCACTTAATCGAAGCCCTCCTCACTGCGCTTTCTCATCGAATATCACGCAGGTGATGATGGAGCGGCGACCGCGTGTATTTGTTTTGAATCTACAATGCTGATGATTCCTGGCTACGGCGAGGGCTGCGCGAGCGAGCTTGAATTTGGCGCCAAGCTTCCTAACAGAAGAAGGGCGGTTCTGTGTTCTGTGGTTCATTCTGGTCGATCGTCTGCTGCGTGCCACTTTCCCTCTATTTATTCCTTTTATGTTCTAGCCGATGTTTTTGTGTAGGCGAAGAGCGACCACACTTGAGAGTTGAGAGCCAAGGGGAATATCAGCTTCAGCGGTCAGCTGATCGTGCTCATTTCTCGGCGACCCCAACAGGGACATCTACCATTCTCCTCACAAGTTCGCCGAAATGGCATCACCTCAACCTAAAAGCCCCAAACCCGTGCATTCCCCAAAGAAGAAAGAGGAGTCTTTCCTCGACTACTTGGGAACACTCGGCCGGAGGAAGAAAATCAAAGAAGGTGAGCTCCATTCTCCGCGATGAGCTGCAAGTGACCCGTATTCGAGGAGTTGATGTCTTGCGTGTGCGGGGGGAATGTGCTCTTCCCTAAGTAGATCTGAGGAAGGAAAATTTTCGAGCGGTGACTGTTCGGTCGATCCCACGAATGTTTATACAAACACCGACTCACTCGGATAAGGAGATGACCAAATCGGGAGGACGCCTTTCCCGGCGTATGTCGCCTCGAGAAATTTTATTCAGCTTCAATTCGGAATGTTCTCCGACAGCCTCCGTGATTCGGGAAGTCGCTCTTTTTTATTCGCATATCTGCTAGGCGCGGGAGGGAGGCTGGTCAGAACGGAAATGGTGCAACACCGGGACATCGAGGCACCGCACGACGGTTGGCCGCTGGGAAACATTGTACAGCCTACTCTGTTCAGATCGTCTGAGGTGTTCTCACTCAAGCTCCACCCCTTGCGTCTGAGCGAGATGCTGTCAGTCTCGAGTCATCCTGCCATGAATCGGGAGACTACCCTTCAGTCAGGCTCCGAAAGACGATACCTTGCATGGATGCCGCCTCGATCATAGCGCGGCTTTTGAGCGCATGGAATCACGGCGCTGTTACGTAATCGTCTTGGAAGCAGACTGACAGCTTGTCATGTCTGAGAACATCACGCCTAATTTATGCTCATGCTGTAACGTATGCGTACAGGCGGAATGTGGAGTTCAAGATGCTGTGCAAACCTTAAATCATCGGGTCGCTCCGAGAGCCTCCCAGTCGCATCTCAGTCGTTCCAACGCGCGTCAGGATGAGCGGTTCCTGGGATCGCATTGAGGGAATTGATTGGAGGGCTCTCTACCGAGAACTTTGGCAAGACACGTGCTCGCGCACTTTGCGCGTGAAAGAGTCCGGAGAAACTCTACCGCCCGGCCTGAAGTGTGCGTTAGGAATCTATATTGTCCCATGGTTTCGTTAATGTTGGTCATGAGTGCTTCAAGATATTTAATAGAATCGAGAGGATCCTGAGCTTCTCCGGTCAATTGCAGTGGAAGACTTGCGCATCGAAGAATCGAAGGCTATCGATTATGAGGGACGGATTCTGGATTCGGAGATCCTTCCCGAAGACTGCCACCTCGAGGAAGGCGAAGAACGAGCTGTCATCGAGCGCGAATCCTACGAGAGCGCGTCTTTCCAAGTGAGTCATTCTTCTTTCATTGGGAATTGAATCACGTCCTCTTTATTCACCCCGATTCCAAGGTCGACATCCGGGCGTACCATCCAACGTGGTATGAAATGCCCTTGTCCGTCTTCGAGCTCAATTCTTGTAGAGTGAAGCTTGTCATCGTAATCTCCCCCCAAAGTCTCCCGCGAGTTCTGCTCGATGATGATTGTTCTCGAGCTTCCGAGAATCTGATACTTGATCTATCGCAGGAACTCGTGAAAATTCTCATCGAGTGGATCAACGATGAATTGGCTCCAAACAGGATTCTCGTCAAAAGCATCGAAGAGGATCTGTACGATGGACAGGTGCTCCACAAGCTGTTGGGTGAGGAACCCCATCATCGACTTTTTCTCTCAGGCGTTCGGTAGTAGATTGTCCCGGGAAAATCTCCCTACAAGATGCGCTGCGGTATCTCATTTTTCGATCGTCTCCTTCTCCCTTTTCCCAGAAACACTCTCCGGAGCAAGGATCGATTGTGTAGAAATGACTCAGAGCAACGAAGGTCAGAGAGAAAAACTCAAAGTTGTCCTGGAGAAAGCCAGCCAGGCTCTCGGTGTGCCGACCTGGGGCCAGGGTCTAAAGTGGAGCGTTGATGCGATTCACTCCAAGAATGTTGTCGCCATCGTGCATTTACTGGTCTCTCTCGCGCGACACTTCCGAGCCCCGGTCCGGGCGCGTCTTCCGGAGAACGTCATCGTGTCAGTTGTGTCCGTGACGAAGCGTAATGGACAGCTTATTCCCGCCAAAGTGCAGGAACAACTTACGACGACCTATGAGTGAGTGAAACTCCTTGCTCTGAAAAACTAAAAATCCCCATCAAAATATTCGTGCAGAGAACTTAGCGAACCGAAATCAGAAATATCGGTTCGATCGATGGAGTCACGAGAACGAACGGAATTTGGATTCGTCTGACGCTGTGGGTTCCCTCATTGCAGTGAATACGGGATGAAGGTGGAACGCGATGCTTTCGACCAGCTGTTCGACCAGGCGCCTGAGAAACTTTCGGTAGTGAAGAAGTCTCTCCTGACATTCGTCAACAAGCACTTGAGTAAGATCAATTTCGAGATCACCGACTTGGACAAGCAATTCCATGACGGAATCAACTTGGCGCTCCTGATGGGACTTCTCGAGGGTCAGTATCAAGCGGATGTTCGGTAAATGTGTGCCGCTACTAGTGTTCTTGCCAATCATTCCATACGATCAGGAGACTCCTGATTGTATGTCATTGTCATATTACCCCCTGAGGGTAGTGCGTTGCTATATCTATAATGATCGTAATCTCCATGATGTTTTCTACACTGTCACCTATGATCGACTCATGAGCTCTCAACTTCCGCAGGATATTTTATTCCCTTGCACAATCTGAGCCTTACACCAGAAGCTTTTGATCAGAAAGTGAATAATGTTGCATTCGCCTTCGGTCTGATGAAGGACGCTGGTTTGCCAAAGCCCAAAGCACGCCCCGAAGGTAAGTCTCTCCAAGCTAGTTTCCGAGACTTTTCCAATGTGCCCTCAACCGTAACGGCGATTGAATTGATACGATCGATAGCTAATGAAATTCAATCTCTGTTGCAGACATTGTGAACTACGACCTGAAGTCGACGCTCCGAGTGCTCTACAATATCTTTTCACAGTATAAGAACTCTCCTTGAATGCCTTTCGTTCCGAGTGGGAAAGGAATCATGTTAATATGCTGCTGTTATATAGACTTACCACGGGTTCATAATTCATCCTGCGGACACAATTTAAAAATGCATTTAACGACTGAGTCATATAAATAAACAAGTGCCTTCCCTTGTACTAAATACGCATCTGGGACCCGAATAAAACATTTCAATAACCTCCGAACGATAGCAGAGAAAAATCTAGCCGCTGCCCCGAACATGAGAGCTGAACGGTAGCTCAAACAGAAGTTCTCTCTCCCAGAGGGAATTCGTGGAGCAAATCACACTGTCAGAGCCTAGACGAAAGGAGACGATATGCGCTGTCTTTCTATGAATCATCATTTCGTGATTCTGACGAGACGTGCCAAAAATCTAACTTTCCCAATTTCAAACACCATTGACCATGCTTCCCAGCACGAGGCCGCGAACGGCGGAGATGACTTGGCGGCGGGGGCGCTCGGAGTCTCCAACAAGGAGGTATTCCTAGTGTCTCTTCTCGGAGACCGAGTCCCTGTTTTCCCTGAAACATCCGTTCATTTATCCGTACCGAGTCGAGCGCAAAGATTAAGGAAGGAGAGCCCGCTCCATCTTCTTCGCTCGATGATGTTCCGCCTGGTCAGTCTTCACCTGCAACGTGGGAGTCCGGCATGGGTTAGCTCAGGGAATCTAAATTCAACCCTCTGACCCTCCAAGCGGCGGCTCATGAAAATTCGAACTTGAACAAGTGGGGATGCTTCCAGTTCGATTCGAAGCGAGGGTATCTCGTCTCTCGAGCTGATGGAATAGGCGTTCTCCCGATGAGTCCAGACCATCTGGAGCTAGACTGATTCTGAGGCAGACGATTGTAAATCGAGAAAGTCGAGGGTCTTCGAAGCCGTATCGTGTGACGAACCGATGCTGGAGGTCTTCGAATACCGTGTGACGCACCCGATTCGATAGTCTGCTGTTCTCGCTTCCTGGTCCGAGTGGGAACGAAGATAATCCCGTACTGCCCCTTGGCCGACAAGTCCGGTAGTTCCGAATGGGCGGCCCGATTCAAGGAAACATCCTTTCTGTCGCAGCCATCCCGCGTGACCGAAGTCTCAAACCGATCATCCATGGCAGCAGGCAGAGCGAAATCGAAAATTATGTGTTAATCCACCGATTATTGTGGGCACCAACGACCGTCGAGGCTGGCATTCAATCCTCGATTATAAAAACTCAATACTTCTATGTCTCACATCAAATCGCGGATCGTCTGACTTATCGCACGGGTCTTCGAGGGCCGCCCGTCTACGTCGCCGAGCAGCAAGCTGCGTGCCGGCTCCGATACTGTCCGGCGACGGTGAACGAGAGTGGATTATTCCCCAAAGATCTTTGAGAATTTCCTCCTCGATATCCTCACCTGGATCCTAGACCTAGAATGTCCAAGCTGCAGAGTTGTCGTCGCGTCGCCGTGAAGCCCGTAGACACGAGGAATGGAAATATCGGTCGAAGGAAACTTCGTGTGAGGGGAGGAAGAAGAATCCAGGAGACGTTTCTCAGGGGGAGCCGGTTTTATTCCATCACCTTCTGACCTTCGGGGGATTCGCTATTGCTACAAGCGATAAAATCTCACGATAGGCTCTTCAAAAGAACAGTTTCTAGCGCAAATCTCTCCGAGGAACCACGAAGACCGCATTCGAGAAGTGCGGTTCCTCCAAATGTTTTCCGGACAGCCCACTCTTGAATACTTCGCACTCGAACATTGTCTTCGAAAGGCCTCAGGGCATCCACGATATCCCATATGCACATTTCTTTTACCGTTCCCGAGTCACTCACGAGGGTATTCGTCGCCAGAAGAACTCGAAGCTCCGAGGGTCTGATATTTTTTCCCTTCTCCGAATAAAACTCCGCGTATGAGATTATTATTACGGCTTCACCTAACGTGGTAGCTTCGCGGAGGGAGATAACATCGGATGTGGAGCAACGGATTCGAATTTGGCGTTCGGGCTGTATAGGCCGATTCAGGATACGCACCAGATCCATGCGAAAACATTCATTCCAGAATGTTCGCGAATCTTGCGCTCTCCTGTGAGCCCGCGTGAAGATTCTCTCGATCGCAAAGCCGGCGCAGCTGCGAAGATGATCTTCTTTCGAATTCTCCCCTAGAAATTCTGGGGTGAAAGTTCTTGAGATGTCTCATTATCGTATTGCTTCCATCGCGATCATTGGTGGAGTCCCGTGTACATGCCTTCACGCAGCTCTTGCTGAACACAAGGATCCCCGACCAGGCCCTGTGAACTGATTTATATGCATGTAAGATTAGGCGTAAACTTGCAGCCATGGCACGGCAGAATCGTGACCGACATAATTGCGCCTTCCGATCCATTCTGAGTGATTTCCTGTCAAGCGATCTTTCCATCTAATTGCCTCGAATATGATGAACGAACTTGTCGAGGCTCTGCAGTCGGTCGCGAGAGAACTTTCTCCAGCGAGAACGCTCGTTATAGAGAGAGTAAGTTCACTGGTAAACCTGGAGGATTGAATACATCGGAACACAACTCTCGCCTTCCTTTCATGCCACAACTTTTCTTTCAGCCTTTTGCCATAGCTCAAGCTGTCATAATGATCCCATCAATTGAAAGCCTTCGCGGACTTTTCCACCGGCAGCTCGTAGGAGCCGACAGCAGCCGACGACCAACCAGAAAGCCATCGACAGGTGACGCCTCTGCCTTCCTTTTGTAGAAGCCTCACAGGCTGACATTCGTCTTCTATTTCATTCTCGCGCTCTCGTGGCCTCTTGGTCTGTCTCAGACTGTTATCGGAGTCAATCATGCTTCCGTTCTTCTTTAGAACTGAGATCATTGAGCCGAGAGCTTCTGGGGCACGATCGACACTCGACTTTTTGACGCATTGATTCACAGACCTGACGGAAGACCTATGCACAAGTCTTGAGGGAGCGGAGCTCGGTCTCTCCCTAGCGTCGAACTCGACGGGGGAAGCTGACTCTCCCTACCGTCATAAACTCATCATCGACAATAAATCGTTCGATGAACAGCGGTAGTCAACATGAGCAGAGGGTGCTTTTCGTGGCTCACGAATCAATTGTTCCTGGCACGCGCATCCGTAAGATGTCTCTCCATGATTGAGCTGAGGATTCGGATACAAAATCGATTCGCCATTTACGCGAGAAGTAATCCACCGACATGGTCAGCTACGTCGCGAGCATCCTTATCGTGAGTTCTCTGTTGAAGAAAGCCTTCGAGATAGAGTCGCTTCCTCGTTACTTCCGAGCCTTCGGTTTCTCTCCTCATGGATAATACGTGCAGTCGCTTCTCACGCAGGTGACCATTGTGATTTGCGTCAGCCAGGGTTCGTGTTGACTAAATAAGAGTCTTTACATTGGCACGATCCATCTGATCGATTCCATACTCCACGAACTTGTTCGCTATTGCTTCCACGGTTTATGAGAAAATCTAGAAACCGATACAGCAAATTAATTCCGATGAGAATATTTCACCTGAGCAGGCCACGCACAGAGATGCTCTCTGCAAGAGTGTGCGGCTCTACTGACAAGCATGTCCCGTCGCTCCTTCAAAAATGGGCAGATGGACGCTCTGATCTGCAGCGAAAACTCTAACCCAGGCGACAATTTCGTCGAGGTATCCCCCTGGATGTTCTTCGCAAAATTTCGTGATATACATATGCCATCGTAGATCGTAGAGCGCCAATTTCCCCCGTGGACGATGATCGTCAGGATCTCGCAAGACTCGTTCTTTCAGCCGATTTTCCCGAGTCAGGGCTCCAGCCGGACCTCTCACAAAATTTCCAAAGTTACAAGGAACACACGGGGCGATGGCTTTCTGGAATGGATGAAGTGAGTACCGATGCAGTCGTGAGTTTCGCACAATCATTATCCTTCTGCATTTCGTCTCTTCGCTTCGCTTCATATCTCAGATGATCAGAAATGTGTCTAATAAAGCTACACCCAAGAGATTGGGATCGATCCTCGTCAGCATCCAACCGTCGAGATGACGAGCTCTTCGACGGCACCGGCAACGATTCCTTCGGTTGAGTATTCAGTTTCAACGTGTGAGCATTCCAGTCTCGCTTGTTTCGCTCCAACATTTAAATTTATATCTCCGATACATGACTTGTTCAGCGGAGGAAAATCAGTACGAGGAAACAGCCCCGATGTTCAGCAGCGACAGAACGGACACGTATTCGCTCTCGAGGCCGCAAGAATCGAGCCCAGATGCAACGCTGTATCCAGGTGAGATATCCTATGAGACTCTCGTCCAGGGGCCAAAATTTCGGAGCCACGGAGGTTTTGCGAAAGCACCGTTTTCTGTTCAAGCCCTCGATGGGAGGAAGCCCGAGACTTCAAGATATGATCGGACGTCCTCAGACAGGAGCGGCAGAAGATCGGAATCACTGAGGGCGCGATCCTTCGCTCTCTCTGCAACGCCGGGTCAGGCTCGCCAGGTCGTACGAATCAAGCAGTAGGAAAACACCACTGTTCCCGGACGAACGAGCGACCTACCACATCGCCTGTGTCTCAGTATCGACTGGAGTTGAGAACCCTTAGGGGGTCGGGAGGGCACCAATGACAAAATGTATCCATTCGAAAAAACTCAGAATTTATTGAGAATTGCTCAAGAGACTTCTGCCATCGATGTCTACTTATATAGAACCTGTATATACGACCCCACAGCGTAGGCGAGAAACTGCACCTCGTCCTAATTTTGTACAGGCTCATTTTGTCGCCGAGAATCGACGGGATGGGATTCTTCAAGATCGGCGGGTGGTACGGGTCTCGCGAACGATACTACCGTGTAATTGGGGTTTGATGATCTCCAGAATAATGACTTTCAGGGATCTTATCACAGCTAGAGCCATCGGTATGGAAAAAATATCCAAATCCACCGGAGAGCGGAGGACTTGGTCCTGGTCAGTTCCAAGTTCTGCATGCAGCAAAGGACGAGTCTAAATCAGGAATCCCAAATTTCGACTCTCTTGCGCCAAACCGCTGAGAATCTATGCTGCACTATGATGGTCCCGGGACATCTCAATGAGCTTTCGATGACATCCAGACTGAGTTTCCACAAACAATGTCGATGCTCACTGTGTATCATATGAATCTTCGTATCTGAGCCGAAGTCTTCCTGGAGGCAAGGGGGTGAGCTCTTGAGAATCTTGACGAATATGACGCCCAGAGGAAGAATGCCTGTGAATCAACACAGTGATTCGAAACGAACTCACCTCTCCGGACGCTTGTTGGCCCGCAGACATGCCGGGGGAAATGACCATGGTTTTGACGGTCTTCACGACGTCCTCACAGAAGCCAGCTAGATCCCCATCTGTAGAAGCCACGAAGGTTTTCTTCGATCGCCCTGGAGTTCGAACGAGTGTGATATCAACGCCGCACGAAAGGTAGCTAGGGCTTCCCTGTCGCGAGCCGAAACCGCGGGTTCGAATCTCGCCGGCAGATTATGCAGGTACCAGGCATGGGTCGGCTGGGATACATTTGTCGTCTGCCTGCTCAATTCACATGATCCTGCTCGAATCTGCATCTTTCAGACCTCTGAACATTTCTTCCGGTCGGATAGGGATTCGGATTGAGCAATTTTTCACCTTACTCTCCAGGAAAGTATTCCTAGCAAGCGTGTGGTCTCTAGCCGACTAGCCGCGCTCCAGGGCCGTGATTGATCTGACTGAGAGCGTATGAATCTCGCTCTAGGCCCGCGTTCTGGTGCATCCTATGGATTTCATTTTATCAGCCGGGTGCCTTTGTCAGCGACGATGCGATCAACTCGCTCGAAATCATCGTCGAAGAATTACGAGTTCCCCTGTCTGACCCGACGTCGACGCCCTAACAATCATACGTTCGTCTAGGGGAAAAGTACCACTTTTGAAGCGTGAACCAGTTTCGGAAATAGGGATTTGACACAGTGTTTATGATCCATGACTGGTCACGGTGGAGTTCCATAGACCACTATGGGGTGTTCCAAAACGGGTCTCCCCAAATAGCTGGTAATCAATGTGAATTTCTCTGAGGTGTTCCAAAACCGCTTCATCTGCCCTACTCCCCTCTACACAGCATCGAGTTGAATTTAACTTACCTTCACCGGCGTTCTCAACAACCACGATCAGAACGGCTGTCGGGGATTCCGGCGAAGATTCCGAGGCCCGGAGCAGATCTCTCAATTCGCGTCTACTGAGTTGATGATAGAACCTTTCGTTCAAGAAGCCGAACATTCTGCTGCGCTGAAATCGTATAAACTGGCATTAAACTGCGTGAGAAGCCGGATTCCGTCCGTCGGAGGGTGTCCGCTGATAGTTAAGGAACGGCGGCGAGAAAAGAACAGCGAGCCAAGCGACAGAATTCCTTTGCAGAAGGTGGGTGTCAGTCCAGAATCCGTAATGACGATCCATCCCGATTCGAGCTTCCTGCGTAAATCGGAAGGATAAACGGAAGAGGCGTCATTTCCGGCATGAAACGGATTGATCTTCGCGTGGGAAGCAGGTAGTTCCTGGAAACTACCGAGACCCTTCACAGCGACGCGACGTCGATCGAGCTCCGGCAGGGAGGCGACTGCTCTTTCGGGCTCTCCGTAGCCGTATCCGCGACTGCGGATGGATCAATGGAAAATCAATGGATTCTGGACGCGATATTTGCTACGAATTGAGCGCAGTCCGAAATCTTTTGATGGATGTTCACGAAGTGTTTTGAGAGGGCTTTCCCGTCGAATCTCAGCCATCCGACAGGCTCCGTGTATTCGAAAGTGCGGAAATAATGCTCTGCGAAAAATCGGCCGATGAAGTCTCTGTCGGGCTCACGAAGTCCGACCAGTCTCACTGACAGAGTCATTACACGCGTGGTCTCTGACAGAACATTCATTTGGAGCGTCGATTTTCTCATTTCCGGTCCCGAGTCGCCTCGCATCATAGATGGCGAGACTTCCTGGCGCAATGAGCGAGACGGTCACTGATATCCCCTCGGATCTTCTACCGTTTTCGAATTCGGTTCGCTTCACAAAGAAATCGAAAGAGGGGACAGCACAGGAGATTGTCATCACGATCCGATTCGTGATCGCCTGAGGTCTGCCAATTGTAATGTCTTGCCTACTTCTGTGCTGATCCCACGCGTGCTATAAAACGCGTCATCATACAGCGGCGAAAGCAATGTGGAACGATGCGGCCGGAGCTTTCTGATGCGAGCGGAACTTACTCCAAACACACAGCAGGCTCCTTCGACTCTTTCGAACGCGGTTTCAGGGGTTTAATGTAGAGCTCTGAGCCTTACCAGGTTTTCCTGGATGAGTCCCGCACATCCGATACCACGATGGAGGGAGTCGGTGCTGAGGAGAAGCCGTCGGAGCACTGACTTGCCAGTGCTTCGGCAGGAGGCATTATTATCGAACGCTGGGAGCAGGTAGATCTACCGCCGGTAAGGCCGAACAACGGCAAGCATGTGCATCGCTCTTGCTCAGGCTCATGATGACGAGAGCGAAAGGGAAAGGAGAAGATATTAAAATAGAGAGCGAGGTAAGATGGTGAGCGGGACGGTTTCATATACAGCCCCGGAATAAATCACTCAGGTTCCTAAGCGAACTCCGGATCTGGGATCCCGGCAGTTTGTTTTGGACTTTGCTGCCGTGGCGTATGAATCATGAGCATCAGCCGGGCGCGTTGGCCTGGTAGAAAGATTAGCCACTCACTCAGTTGAACTTGGTCCCCTCTCTCTCTTAAGCTCTTTTTCCAGCTAGACGGCCATTCTGACGAGAGGGACTCCAATCTCGTGGCACACACAAGAGCCGCACTCGAATCAGGATCGTAAAGAATCGGTGGGTCGTATCCGGACGCGACAGAGATTTTCGGGCACCCAGACGAGAAGCGATGTGTATGTTGTGCGCCGATCTCAACAACATCATCCGGAAAATTAACGACGATCGACGGCCCAGCCGGCTCAGACTTGGACGAGCCACCTCTGTTTTTCAATCGTGTGCGTGAATAATTCGGAACGCCACCGCAGTGTATGGGCAGGGTTTCTGGCGCGGGGACTTTTGATATGAATGCAGAACTGTGTGTATGGATGCGACATTGTAGAGAGGAATGCTCGGTTTCAAGCGAGCAGGCGACCGATGCACGATCATTCGCAGAGCGACGCGATCGTTCTTCCCGGGCTGTTTGTTTGCGCATTGAGATGGTACTGAGACACGGACAGTTTCAAAATTCAGAGAGCTACCGAACTACCCATGAGCTCAAGCATCGGAGGGACCGCTCCCGTCGGATCCTCCAATGGATGAAACACCTGCACCGGCATCTGACTGATTATGACCGAAAGAAGATTTGGACCTGTTTATGAGACTGGTTTCGTACAAGTTTTTACAGATATACATATGTATGTACATGAGCCATCAGAGGGTTATACATTCGGGAATCAGCTGCCCAGGCGAATTTTCTGAGTGACCTTCCAAGATGTCAAGGCTATCATTGCGAAGACTGGATGGGCATAAGGACCACCCCTTGAGGCGTCGATTTGGCAACATATTGTATCGTTCCGCCGGGATTCTGAACGGCCTCGATCAAGGAAACTTCCGACACCATAGGATGCGTCGAAGAAGACGAGGCCAACTGCACGAGGTGCGGTGGAGCTGCAGGGGTTTGTGTTTGCAGGGTCGGAGCGCTTGCGGGATTCTGCTGCTGGACTATGACTCTCGGCTGGGGAATCGAGTTCGATGGGGGAATCTGCGATGGAAGCAAACGTTACGTTCCCCATCGGTCATTGGTATCGTAGTATCGACAGCACGGAGGGCGATGCAAGATAATCGAGAGCGTGCGGGAATCGTTTTGCCGACGGGACCGTGAACACTGTCGATCTTTATTCATAATTCTGAGTCTTTCCCCTCAACGTGAAAACACACTCGCTTACATTCTTGATCTGTTCGTTGGCCACTGTACCCAAGTACAGGAGATTCTTGAGAAGATGGTTCTGGACGCTGAAAGCAGAGTTCACTTAATAATAACAGCTGTACGTCATAGTTTTCTTTCACAATGTTCGACGGAAAATGGAAGATTTACTCACATCTGGCATTCGGAGACCTTGCCTTTATTCTGCAGATCGGTTATCTGCATGAGCAAATGATGGTTCTCATCGAGAAGCTGCGCGAGGGAGAAATTATTAGTTCGAAGATCATCATTGATTTGTTTGTAGTGAGTGGTCGATGAGCCAAATGACTAGTGCCCACTGTTTGGTAGAGATGGTGAAGAGAGATTCTCTTGGGAGGCCCAGTTGAGAGTATGGCGCGAAAAGTCGCTTGTATAGACAAAAACCTGCTCCTTCCCGAGTTCAAGTAGTGTGGTATAGACCGGTCTCTCGAAGATTTGAAAACACCGCGCACGGCTGACTCACCTTCACCAGGTTGCCGCGTTCAGGCAGGTCTTTGATTAATCGCGTTCCCGACATTGATCATTCGAGTCCGTCCGCATGGAAATCAGGACCGTTCTCACAGCTGACGGAGTCTCGATCAAAATCGAACGCTCCGACGTTTAGCCCGCGGAAAGAGCGGACTCGCCGCGGCGGTCGAACCCACGGGCCTCCTTCTCCGAAGGCTCTGCAAGATGACCGCTGACGGGCTTCATAGACAAGGGGGCTGAAAAACACGCGCGGGTGTATATTCTGAGCACACTCCCTGGATCGCGAGACACTCCCCTCTTGAACGGGCTGCGAAATTTTCATCAGCGAGTCTAGATCTGGATAGAGTTCCACAGCGGAGGAATATAAAGCGTTTAGAGAGAGCGTTCTCCCTGCTGTGCGAATGCGCGCAATCTTCCTTTCGAGCGAGCTCTTGATAATGAGCCTTGGCCACGGAGAATCCGTGACATGTCTGCAGTGACTCTCGCCTTTTATTATTTATCGATCAGCATGAGTCAAGCTTTCTCGAGCCTACTGTATTCAGGAAACTCGAGCCGGAGAGGAGGACTTCGAGGGAAAATAGCTTTTCTGCGGGTTTTCGTTCGATTCTCACGAATTCTCCCGTGACGGACGTGCAACATATCCATTACGTTTTCCGCACGTCCTTCTCCCCTCAGCCTGGAAGAACGACCACCCGAATGTCGATTGCTGTGTTCCTGACCGTGCGTCCGACAGGGGAATCCCCTGTCCGGCAGGTGAGCTCGGGATGAGCGTAGACGTATCGATGCGACTATCGAAAGTGCAGCGATGCGAAAAGGCTGCTCGCGAGGAAATCTGGAGCGCCGCACATCAACGTCAACATACAGATGAGCTCGTTTCCATTCCCTATGCTTCGCATTTCCACGCGCCAAGTTGCTGCTCGTGGATAGATAATAATTCACAATAACACTCCCGTAAGCGGTCGCCCAGCTTGTTCTAGTTTATGGCGAGCCTGAGGGAGCGAGAATGGGATACCGATTTTGATAATCAAAATTTCCTGCATAGAGAGAGTGCCACCATCGGATGCACTCGGGAGGACCACGGAGAGCTCTCTCTATCGATTCAAAGATGTTCTCCCGAAATTCCCGCTGTTCATCTCGGCTCCCGATCGATCATGGAGCTGAACCTGTTCACAGGGCTTGGTAGTTCTGGTCCACAACGGGATCCCCAGCGTCTGGATTTGGATTCGCCCTTCCAATTCTTTCCCGAGCCGGGAGGAGAATTTTAGGCGGTCAGCTTCACGCTCGATATTCATCATCGGAGTATAACGGCGATCCCTGGGAGCTTCAAACCGAAAGTCATGCGTCCCCGGGGATTCGGACGCTCCCTGGCTGACAGAAAAGTACTCATCAATGACGATATGCGAGCGCGATTTCGTGCTGTGGCGTTGGCACTGAATAAGCCTTAAACAAGTTGCTCCTTCTCCGGAGAGGCATCAGGAGTTAGCAGAGCTTGCGATTTCCTCCCGTAAGCAGCGAGTGTACACTCTGGGCTCTCACAATATTCACTCTTCACGGCTCCCATGATTCGCTAATCTGTCGAGCTCCTGGGACTGCTCTGGCATAATTGTGTCGCTGATCATTAGTAGCTCATCTCAGGTTGCGAGCGCTCAGAGCATTCCCGCTCGCGCCGATCCGGGACGAGTCGATTCCGGCAACCCTATTCCCGAAGGTCCCCGGGCTGGCGTATCGAGGCAACGAGCCCGATTTTTCATTTTGCTTCTGGGCGCTCGCCGATGTGATGGTCGAATGCGTTCTCCGTGAAGTGACGCCGCTTGAACGGTCGGAAATTCGGGGAGGCTTGCCCCAGCGGTTCCGCCAGGCGTTTCTCCGATCGTTCTGTCATACTGTCCGTCGGCTCACCCCTCAATGACTCCGTGAGCTGTTCCGTTGGGACTCCCGTGGGGTCCAGACAGAGGGGTGTGACGTCCGCTGTGAGACTCGCGCGCTTCGGGTACGACTATCGTTCCGTGGATAAAACACCAGTCGGGGAAGCGAGACCGCTAGACCGCGACGAGAGCCAGTACCTGTCCAGCTACTGGAATCTTCCGGGGGCTCCATCGACAAAGGCGCCAATCCTGGAGCACCTTCCAAGGATCGACACGTAGGCGATCCCGAGCAGGAGGCTTAATATGGCGTCATTGCTCGAGAGTGCGTATGTGAGCCAGTACGTCGCTGTTTCTCGAGCGGGTCGGGTCTCACCCGGGTCTGAGCCTAAGCGATCCCATGAGAACTGGGAGCGTTATTGGGGCTCCCGCTCCGAACTCTATCGACTCGTTTCAGACTGAACTCCCAGGAGAGGTTCCGGTGCTGTTCAGATTGAGGATTTCACAAACTGCGGGCCTGGTTGAGCGTCCTGTGAGGCCGCCTCGGTCGTCTCGGTCCCGCTTCCGGCTGACCTGAATCGGCGTCACACGCGAGATGTTTGTTATTGCCTCATTTGTTTCCACAATCGGATAAATAAGGATTTCAAATGGTCTTGCCAAACGTTCCATCGACGGAGTCCCGCAAAGAAGATCCTCCCGGATGAATATTCCTCGCCGCCTCCCTCATCCCTTGCCCATCGAACCCAGGTCGATCCTTTCCACGCTTCTCGATCGTGTCCAGATCGGTGCCGAATCCTCCGAATCGTGTCCGAATCGCTTCTCAGGAATTTTTGATTCCGACTTGCTTTCATTTGTGAAGATCGCTCCGTCGAGGATGTACAGCGGGGAACGGGGAATGAGCCTGAGCGTCGAGGAAGCCGTTTCGCTTAGCTTTAAGAGAACTTGGGACGTGATTGCGGATCTTTCCTGCTGTCCTCTTTGTTCCCGGCAGATAAGGAGGGAATTATCGGAATACGTGATGTCCATTTCCAGCGGAATCTGCGGGGCTCGCAGCTTAAGATTGATGACGAGGATCCTCCCACTCAATTTGACGGCGCGGCGTCAGCCTTCTCGAGAATTTCTCGACGCCAAGTGACCTTTGACCTCGGATACTAGGTAATCACAATCCTTCGGTGAGTATATGACGGAAAATTCTCACACGACGGAACCGCATGCAAGGAGGAGAGACCCCATTCTCTGAGTGGAGGAACGCTCCTTGTAAGTCGGCTCCGGTCCGATGTCTTCCACGATTCAGACGCGAGTGCATTCAACTTGCTTCGGTGTCGACACGATTTGCTGAACACTCGCCCTCCAATCATCGTAGATACCTGGTTTCCAGCATGGAATACATTATTCCCCATATCTCTCTCGGAGGAAGAGGGAATACCCATGCTATGCTTGCATTTAGCAATCATCGAGCGTGCAGCCATCTATGGTCTGGCTGAAGCTCCGCGGAAAATCTCGTGGCCCAGAACCTGTGGTATCGACAGATCGAGACTCAGATGATCCTCCATCATCGTCGAATGCGCGAGGAAACAATCGCGAGCTCCGGTTCTGTGAGCCGTAAAGCTTGGACCTGCCATCATTCGCTCAGTCGGGCCCGCGGTTGGCCATCCGCGCGGAAAAAGGAGACGGCTTAGGACGCATCTCAGGCCGGTGGCTGGCCGCCCCAGAGAACGGTATCGGTCCCCTCGTCCCAGCTATCGACCCACCCGATCGAACAACTAGACTTTCGGAAAGGAAAAGTTGAAGCAGCCTGTTTTGTTGCCGGCTAAAGCGAGAAGAGACCCTTTCAAGTTGAGGAACCTTGGCACGATAGGTACTCTGTGGGGTAGCTACAGATCCTGGAACCGATGAGAATTTTGAGCATCAAGAATCGAGTTTGCCAGAGAAGGACCGAGAAGAGTCTCTTCGACCTTCTTCGACTGCTCCGGAAATTGAACTTTCTTGTGTGGAGATTAGGTGATGCATCCGATGTTCCTCATATGCCCGTATGTGCGCTGGTCGGTTGGAGCGAGAACAAATACATGCGGGTATTCGAGCAGGCTCATGGAAGAACGCTGGATGAGTTTCAACAGTCGCTTCTAATCTCAAGAGAAATTTCATTAGCCACTCCGTCAACTAGAACGAGCGAGTGGCCAACCACGCGAGCGAGCGAGCGAGCGAGAGGCTGTGTCTCAAAGAAGAGATAGTGAAGAGTAAACTTCGCTCTAATTAGCTCCGCGCGGCTCTAGGAGGGCTTCAGACACCGAGCTTATCGCTCGAGTTCGCTACGTCTTCATGTACGTTCTCTGTGAACGAATCCGCGTATTGAAAGGATTTTTTCCCTCTCCAGAAGGGCGAGCCGGCTGCCGATGGAGACAGTGGCAAAATGATGACTCTGTAAACATCCGCTCCCTGAAAATTCCGCTTCGGGAAAGTTGCCCGACAGTTTTCCAACGGGCTCATTTCCTCGACAGACGACTTCGCATATTCTGCGCTTTACACGAGCTGAAGACATCGTCAGCTAGAAAAACAAGCTCCCCTGTCAGCAAGTCATCCACGAGACCCCGGCCGAATGAGAGAAAACTGAAACTTTTGTTTCACATCCGGGACGGCTCGCGGGCACACCAGGAGCGCGCGTTCCGGACGAGGCTGTTTCGCGAGGGCTCATCTCAAAAGTTCTGTATCTCTCCGGGCTTTAATGTGTCCGCATTTAATTAGATCCCGTTCAGGATTGACTTTCCGAGACTCCATTCATCTTGGTCGGGTTCGCCGACCCTTTTATCCGGCATCGATGTAACTTTTGATAGCTCCGCTCCCTGTACGGTACCAGCTGAGGTTCCGCAGTTCCTTACGCTCATCTGATGGAAGGCTGCTTGTCTGCAGTAGACATCGATTCAGAATCAAGTAGACGTTCCTCGGAGTTCAGAGGAGAACGTCTCGGAGGAATGCAAAAACAGAATTCGATGGCCTCCGATCATCTGCATCGATTTTTGCTCATTTTTCTGTTGCGCTCGATGAAATGCCCACGCTCGAGATCGATCAAGTGACACGAGTCTCTCCATCATCGGATTCCTTCGGCGCGTTTCTCCGCCGGCGGAGACATCGTTCCCATCAATATGCTTTCTCTTCTGCGATTTTGAACTGCTTCTCCGATGTTACTCGC